ATATTATATAGAGCCTCCTCTAAAGATGGATAAGAGGCTCCTAATATTAAATACTAATAATAAAATATATAGATAGAGCTAGTTAAACTAGACTCTATTACTTAAGCTCTAATAATTATACTACCTATAGCAGCCAGATTTAAAGATAAAAATTTAATTATACCCCTTAATATTATAACTAATATCTCTAATTATTAGGGAGCTAAAGAGATAATAAGAATATAACTAGCTTTAAATAATTATAAACTAGTTATCTTCTTTTTCTTTAAGATATAGTAATACTTTAAACTTAATTTATAAGATGCTAGTCTTTATAATAAGATAGCATTTTTAATATATTTATATACTAATAAACATCTCTTTCTAGTGGTGAATTATGGTCTTATGAGTATAGATAATATAGTAAAGAATATTAAGGACTACTCTCTAATCCTAGTCTCTATAATACTTAAATATAAAAGCCTTAAATACTTAGGATCTCCTGGTGAATATATCTAAGCTTTTAATCTAAAGATAAGTAAAAGAGACTAAGATAATACTTAGCCACTAAGAAGGGAAAAGTAACTTCTTATAATTAAGCCATCTATTAATAAAAATAACCCTAATTAAAGTACTTAAAGATGAATATTAGAACCCTTCTATTAATATTCTATATATAATAATAAAGATAAAATAATAATATTATTAACTAGCCTACTATCTTACTCTCTAGGAACACCGCATAGGGCTTCCTTTAAGGTAGAATAAGACTATAAAGAGTATATATAAAAACTTATTTTATCTAGTGGCTATAGCTTTTAAATAAATATAGGGGTAAGAAGAGGGAAAGAGGGAGGGGTATCCTTAAATATATATAACTATATAGAGTAAGATTATTTCCACACCTTAAATTAAGGATAATATATATAGAGATTATTTTACTTATTTAAAATAATTCTAATTATTATTTAATATTAAATTTAATATTAATGGCCTAACTTAAATATATTTTATATATAGAAAATAAGAGAAGAAAGTGCTATTAAATAAAAAAAATAAAAAAGAGTAGATAGACTATTTCCTATATTAGTATCTAATAATATTAATTTTATAAATAATTACTTAATTAGTTTTAAATTTAGTCTTACTAAGTTTCCGCTTCTTAAAAATACTATTTAAGTAAGGTTCTTTAATTAAATATATATTATAAAAGTATTATTAAAGATAAAGTACTATAGGATATTATTAATTAATATAGTAAGAGTAAGGACATTTAATAGTAGCTTTAGCTTAAGAAGTGAGTTCTTATAAGTATATCTTAATATAACTAGAGAATATTACCCTTATTAGTTATTAGTTAAATCTTTTATCTAATCTTTTATTAGAGTTATTAAGGCAGAAGAGACAAAATCCTAGGCTAATAAGTATATATTAAAATATTAAAAGTCTATATTAAGGATAAAGAGATTCTAAATACTTTTTATAGTACTATAATTATTCTACTTTATTAAGAAACTATTCTATATATAGATAGTAAAATTATAGGAAGCTATAAGTAATATACTAATAAGCTTATTTACTATTCTTATACTATTATTAATAAGGTACTATATTTTGACTTTTTCTATAATATTACAGAATATGCTTCACTTAGTACTATAGATTATTAATACTTTAATAGTTAATAATAATCTATATTAAAAGATTAAGGAAAGAGATATTTACCTTAAGATAATAATAAAGTAATATAGGTATTACCCTTCTACTAGAGATAGGCCTAGATAGTATATAACTCTCTTAATTAATATATAGATAACTAATATATTATAGAGATATTATTATTTAACTTTACTCTTAAGACTTACTTCCTAAAATAGGTTTTCTCTTAGCTGTACTCACTCAGGCATATATTTTTTAATAATTTTATCCTTTTCTTTAAACTTATTACCCCTAATATACTTATTATAACTTATATTTTATTAGTCTTTAATAAAGCTTTTAGTCTCTATTCTTAATCTCTTAGCCTTCTTAATATAAAGTTATAATTATTTAATAGTAAGATCCTTATAAAGGTCTGGGCGTTTTATGATTTTCTATATTAACTTTATAATCCTTTAATTAAGGCTTATAATTTCTATATCTTACTAAAACTTTACTATAGCTTTAGTATTTAGAACTTATAGAGTATTTAGATCCTAATAGTAAGCTATACTCTACTCTATATCTTAATACTTATAATTAGGTTTAAGGTCATAAAATGCAGCTTAAATATCTATCTTTTTAATATTTAATTAGTACTTAAGATATATTATAGGATTTTAATAATTAATAGTTTAACTTTACTTAGTAGAGGATCCTTTAGCTATTAAATTATTAGCTTCTAGCTTTATATATATTTCTTTAAACTTTATAAACTATTAATTTTATTTGCAACCTCACCTTAAATTCTATAAATATATAATTAATCTTAGAACCTATTGCGTAGTATAAGGCTAATAAAATTAGTCCTAAGTAATAAGAAAATAAGCACCTTTTTAGTACTTAGTCCTTCTATAGTAATAGCTTTATAAAAAGGAATATCCTTAACTTTATCTCTCTATTTAAGTATTTATAACTCTTATCCTTATAGTAGATATATATTTAAGACCTTATCTATAATAGATATTTCTCTAAAAGCTTTATCTATAATTCCTTATATAATAACCTAAAAGATAAAATTTTTCCTAAGTTTAGGGTGTTTCTAAATCTAGTTCTTAGGTCTATAAAAGCAGATTAAGTTTATTAGCACTTTTTAATAAATATAAAAAAGAGAAATTTAAATTATAATTTATAATAATCTATTATTATAGTACTAGAAACCTTTTAGAAACTCTAGATTAATAGTTACCCACTATTTAACACCTATTTTTATCTTATCCTATTTAATATTAAAAGAAAGATGCTTTAAATATTAATAATATTTTCTAATATTTAATTATAAAGCTAAAACTTATATAGTAGAAAAGAGCTTTATTTATATTTTAATAGGAGCTAGATTTAATAATAGCCCTAGCTCTTACTCTTAATCTTATAAATAAGGAGAGGGCTAAGGCTATTTAAACCCTAGCTCTCTTATAAATATAGTTATAATAATTATTATAAAATAGATAATAAATAAGGTAATTAATATCCTAAGCTATAATAGGATGTTTATCTCTTAGTTTAGTCTTAAGACTATATTTTTTAGTAATATAGTTTTAAATATACTTAATTATAGATATTAATGATTTATAGACTATTAAATTAAATCTAGTAGTATATATATTTAAGATATTATCTTTAATTACTTTAGGTAGTATTTAAGAGGTTTTATATTACTATAACCTAATAAATAAAATAAAGTAATTATAGAGGGTTTTCTGCCTAGAAAGAGTTTTTATAGTAGTAATATAATATTTTATAAATAATTTTAAAGCTTATAGTAATAGATCTAGCTACTCTTTATTAAATTCTTTTTTAATATTTTTATTATAGGAAAGTCACTAGCTAGAGTCTATTAGTCTTACTTAAAAAAGTTATTAAAAGTTACTAAGAGGCCATAAAATATATAGATTCTAGTTTTAAACTATCTTTTTATACTTAATTATAGAAGTAGAGGTAAATTAGTAATAGTAGACAATATTTTCTTTCTCCTTATTTTTATGCTAATATTTAATAATAAAGCTATAAGCTGAGGCATGCTGATGTTACGCCTCTAGTAACTCTTAAAGCTTAATAAGAACTTATATTATTATATAATAGAATAGTATCTTAATTAAAAGTAATTATAGGTAGATAAAGAATATTAAGATAATATAAGATAGAGTTTACTTATATATTATTTAATCACCTTCCTCTTACTCTACTCTTTTAAAGAGACTGGCTCACCTAAGTCTTCTCTTATTACCAGCAGCTCCGCCAGCTTACCTAGAGGTGATAAAGGGCTCACCTAGCTCTCCTCTACTTAATCTAAAATATTCTTTAAAGCGGCAATATTAGAAGGGCTTCTCTTTTAGTTAACTATATTAAATGTGTGGCTTAAGTACGGCTGAGCGGACAGGAAGCCCTATTTTCCACACCCTGTGGTCGTATGTACTAGCAGCATCTAAATGAAGGATTATATAGTGGATAAGAACTCTGCTCAGTACTTGTGGAAGGTGCATAGGTATACAACTGATGAGTTCGAGGTTGACAGAAGGAAGATGGATGGATATGTACGCCTGTTTTATACCGCTTGATAACAGTCAGTCTGGAGGCTCTACATATATATTAGTACTACTAGAAGACTCTAAATATAGGTTAAAGAGTGAACATTATTATTTAAAGCATACTCAAAACTCTTGCCAGCATGACTGGCAGCCCGCCAGCTAGCCACAAGTCGCTCTCTTTACAAGGCCTATATTTACTGTTGTATATCAAAACAGGGGCTACAAAGGGCAATAAAAATAATTAGAGGAGGGCGGAGTATCAGCTATAGACTCAATAAAAGTATATATATTTCTGCTGCACAACATAGAATTTGTATCTTGGAATTTCGCCTGTTACAGAGCCCGGCCATGGTGATAATGCTTTTCTACAGCCACACTTGATGACTAGTAATTACTAAATGTTAAGTGTCCTGCAGGATTAGTGGGTAGATGGAATGTATGCAATCAAGTCCAATACACACGCACGTGTCAGCGCGTCGGGCGTTGGGCGCAGCATACCAGGCGCCTATAATCAATAATTTAATAAGGGGCTCATAAGACTAAGAATCTTTTGCCCTTGTGGTTTATGCTTGAGCTATAAGATACTTAAGATATAGTCATTAAATAATATAAATTCTTAATCTATTAATGTTGATCATAATACATTATCTACATAACCTGCATCATGAGGGTGATAGAAATCAAGCAATAAGTAGGAGTTGACGATGTAACACTGGAATTACTCTAATTGGCCAGGTCTAAGCAAGGCATATGGGCCCACTCGCACCTGTCTTGGATCGATGAGGCTGAATCATAATCAGAAACATATTTAAAGCCGCCATAGCTGTGGATTTTACCTGTCAAGATCATCAATCATGGAACTAGCAGCCAGCGATACTATTCCGACTGATACTGTTGAACCAGTTCCAGTGCAGAAAGCGGCCATAAGCCCAGATGATACCAAAGTACAACCTCCACGATATGAGGAGTATGTCTATCTACCCCATGATATATCTATTATTGATATATTGACAACTCAGACACAAAAAAGAAGCACCTGCTCCATTTCAACCTCAGAGGGTGGAACTGACCCGGCTCGGTGAAATGCCAGGCTTCATCAACTGTCCAACTTGTAAGCATGATGGACTGACAAGAGTGAGCAAGGAAAGCTCATCTTCCACAAAGTAAGTCTTCCCCTCAGATCTATTTCTCGATACTAATATCTCAATACTAATGATCTCCAGGATTACAGCTTGTTTATGCTGTCTCTTCGGCGGGGTGATCTGTGTCTTTCTTCCCTTCTGCATGCAACTGTGCTATGAAAACTACCATTACTGCTCATACTGTGGGCAGATGGTGGCTATCGTGAAGCATAATGGTGAGGTGCAGGTAATCCCTCCTACAATGCACACACATCTGGGACTGGGCTGGTTCAGCCACCGCGGGCAGCTGCAATTCGGTATAGTAAATAGGCATAGTTACTTGCTTGTATTTATTTAGTAATATAATTAATTTTATATACAGTTCCTAAGATTAATTTAGGGATTAGAGATTAAGGATATTTGGCCAAGCTGAGATATTTAATATAAATTAAAATATTAGATTATCTTTATGGTTAATAATAAAGAGGTTCAGAATAACCTTATCCAATACTAGTGATGTGCCATACTTCCACAACTTCAACATCTGCATGCCCTTTCTCGCCGCCCATTCCGACAGTGTCTTTTGAGAGAAACTCTTGGACTCGGGATCAGTACCTTTGCCGAGTAGGAGGCCAACAATAGTCACAAAACCGTTTTCCATACTGAAAACTAAGAACAGTAGAGTGAAGGACTTGATAAATTTGTAGCCAGGTCAGGTTGCGACCCGTTTCCCACCAAAATGCTGACGATGGACTCAAGAAGAGAGTGAAGTGTCCCCGCCACCATGATGTCAGTTAAAATCTCTAGAAGACTGTATCCCTTATTTATGATATACACTATCCTATCTCATCTATAAAAAGTACTATTACTAGGAAAAAGGAAATGAACACTAAGAAAATGTGAGAAAGGCTCACCTATATGCTCTTTGAAAGAAACTCCTATACTCAGGTCTCTCTTTATTACTACAGACAGACCTAGAGGTTATAGAGGTTTTACCTACCTCTCCTCTACCTAGTCCAAAAGAGTTAAATTGGCAACATCATAAGGCTTCTCTTATAGTCAATTATATTTATATTGCTTAGAAACTGCTGAGCAGATGGAAGCCAAGTGGTTATATATGAAAAGAGAAAAAAGGGCTATAGAGGAAATTATAGCTGAACAGTGATTTATACCTTCTATTATAGTCCAGATTGAAGAATAAAAAGGAAGACTTCTTCATACCAAATATCTATTATAATTTTCAACTAAATCAACATCATAATGAGCTATTCTGCCGATCCTATGTTAAAACCCGAACTCCGCCTCGGATTTTAGTCGGGTTTTACCGACTATAGCCATCAAATAGTGTATCCCAGTCACCTCTTGACGAGCATCACCTCTCGCACAGAATGCCTCTTTCCATCCTCATCAGCGGCGCAGGGATCGCCGGCACGGCCCTCGCCTTCCGGTTATCCAAGCTCGGCCACCGAGCCACCGTGGTAGAACGGTTCCCCCATCTGCACGCGAGTGGCCTCCAGCTTGATCTCCGCGGCGATGGCATCCAGATTCTTAGGCAGATGGACCTTGAAGACGTCTTCCGTGCACACGCTGTCCCTGAACAGGGGATCCAGCTTGTTGACAGCGCAGGACGGCAGCGAGCATATTTCCCGGCCAGAAACCATCGATCCGGCCCCGTCTCGCAGGCGTTCACCAGCGAATGGGGGATCATGCGAGGCGATCTGTGTCGGATCGTGTACCAAGCAGCCCAGGACAGGGTCACCTATAGATATGGAACGTCGATCGAGAGCTTCGAACAAGACAGCGACGAAGTGGTGGTCCATCTCTCCGACGGGACCACGGGCAGCTTTCACCTGCTGGTCGGCGCCGATGGCCAGGCATCTCAGACTCGTGAGATGATGCTGCGCGGAACAGGGCATGCAGAGCCCTTTCACTCGCTAGACGGCTATACCGCCTATTTCACGATCCCCTGGACGCCGTTCACTATCGGATCCTCTCGCTGACTTCATGGCTGAGACTTGGCCGTTTTGTGGCGATGACAGATGAAAAGGTTACGGAGTGGACTGCCAGAGTATCCTCATATACTTGACTAGCCTTGAATTTATCAAATTAGGGTTTAGTTATTATTATACTAAAGTGATAGTGATATCTTATTACTATATCTCAGCAGCCCTATGAACCCTCCAAAAAGGACTCCTAATCGTGTCTACTACTAAATATATGATTTCACTCCATAATGACTGTCATATGTCTCGGTCATGCATACATTTGAGCGGTTTCAAACCATAACTGAGAGATTTTGAACCAAACCTCTGGCACGATGTTTATTAATCGTTTGCTCGGGAGCACCAAGAAGACTGTCGCCCGGAATTGGCCATAGTAAACTGTACTAGGGGACCAAGCCTTTTCCCTCGTCTACATGCGATTCGTGGTTGACCAGGGTGCTATCGTTGACATGGACGAGCAGTCACCATTCCACAAGAGGTTGGCAGTCATTAGGGTGTTTGTATGTCGATTTGCCGCCTGTTTGTGCCAAGGGAAATCACTGTTTCTATGATTATAATCTATCTAATGCTTCATAGGGCTGATGGAAAACAAGTTTTTATGGCCCTTTACTGACTGCCTTTCCTTCACTAGTCTTATATATATCACCTTGAGTCTGTAGAGTTCTAGATACTTCTCTGATTTAAATGTGAGAAGGTCAACCCAGGGCATAACAGTTCCCCTTTTATAATAAATATTAATTCCTATCCCTTTATATTTGCTGGTGTCAATAGAAATGTGGTTTATCCAGTCTCAGACCTAGAAAGCATTTTAGACTTATTTATCTTTTAAATCACCCTAATGCTTAACTTTCTATATGTTCTTCTAAACACTACCTATTTCTTTATTAATAAGTATAGGTGTTTATATGCTACTCCTGTTAGACCTTTCTTTTTAAAGCTGCCTTCTCCTGTTCCCTTTCTTTTTCATGCTCATGGTCAACCCTGTGACTCTGTGTTTCCTTGGCGTCTTGGGCCACTTTCTCTTTCTGAATAGCTGCATCATTCGCGTCCCTCTCTGTCTGGGCCTTCTTTTCTTCTAATCTCTTGACTTCAGCTGCCTCAGCAATCTTCCTTTGAGGATCAGTCTCTCTTTCCATCTTTTCCTGTGCTTTCTTTATCTCTTTATCCTGTCTCTTGACCTCATCAGATAACCGAGCCACCTCATGCTTCAAGTCATCAAGTATCTTCTGCATGTCTTGTAGGACTGCCTGTTCATAATTTGACACCCTGTCCAGCACAGAGGCATTGGCCACATGATTTGTGTAAGAGGGCTGTCCATCATTGGACTGGATAAGCTTTTCGACTGTTTGAGTAGCCGTCTTGCTCACAATCTCGATGATGCAGTGATCTTGGCTGTTCTTGTCCATGCAAGCAGCTGACGATGTTTTCTTCAGCGCTTTCCCAGCCAGTGAGAATAGCATCGCGCGGGGTCGCAAGCCCATATTGATCACCGGCCGAGCCAGGAACTGGCTGATCAGCTTGGAAGACGTATTGGCCCGGGAGAAGAAGATTTGTGGTCAGGAAGTAATCGAGGGGGTTTAAGTGGATATTGAAAGCTGGAACTGGGGGTCTGGAATCCTTGTACTGGGGCGGAATTTCGGACCTCTCACCACACAGCGATTTCCAGAATGATGGCTCATTTGATTTAGATTCCACCGTGAAATTATTGTCAAAAATGAGCGCCACGCCTAGCTGGTTTGGGTGACGAGTCGGATCAGAACTTCCCTGCCATTGTCCGGTCCCACTGAAGCTGAGGGTGACCTCAAATTCACCTTCTCTGTGGCCAGATGGACCTTTTCCTGCATCCCAAGTACGCCACCAATTGAGCCTTTCAGTTTCGCTAGTCCACTGCATGTTAAAAGGCCGAAAATTGGACGTCGGACGCGTTTTCCCATCAACTGTGAGATGGGAGGGTGCGCTATTGACATCAATAGAAAGCCCATCCAGATGATACGAATCCGAGCCCAAGCTGCTGTGATAGCTAATTCCTGGAAAGTTGACTTTGCTCGAAATTAAAGTGAAGTCAAGACCCAGCCCGGCTGGAACATATTAGACTGTAATATCCTAAGATCCAGTCGATTCAAAAGGTAAACTCACTATCTCCTTTTTTAGTGCTGCTTTGAATCCCTTTTTGCTCATCAATCGCCGAGTTTGACTGCAAAGCTGGCTGAACCAAAAAAGCATCAGTGGATGTCATTACTAATGTTCAGCCAATTCGTACCTTAAGGAAAAGATTGGTCATAGTGTTCTGGCTGAAGATGATGCTAGCAGTCCGGCCACTCGGAATCGGCGACAGTGATGTGGAATTCGGTGCGAAGATCAAGGATGTCTGTCCCGATCCGCGCGAGCCCGTCTCACGCCCTCCCTTCAAGCCCACCCACATCATCTTTGAGGTGCAACAGTTAGCAGAGCAATCAGGGTCGACAGCAAGGGTGGGGGATGAAACCACATACCAAGACACCTGGAATCACAGTAAAGCAAAACTCCGTGGGCTGGAGAACCTCGCTTGCACTGTCATCCGGTTCAAAATGGTTGTTGATCGCCGCGAGACAATACTTCAGACCCGCTGCTTGGGCGAAATGAACTTCCAAGTATGGCTTCAAGGCCATTAGACGCGCAAGATCTCCTTCGGGAATCTTGCCGTCGGGGCTCCCATCCGTGATATTGGCTTTGCATTTCCGGAAGTCAATACAAACGCCCCGGCCAGTGCTCTCCTGGGGCTCCAATACGGTGATAAAATCATTGCCCACAGGCTCTGTATCGTTTGGCAGCCACCCCTGCTCACTATGCCACTCTCCTTTCACATACATCGCATCTCCGTTCTGCTGCATTCCGGTGTGTCGGCTCTAAAGACCAATTCGCACCCCCTTCACGTTCAGTGGGCAGACAGTGGCGGAGTGACGCCACCGTTTACAAGGGCTCCGATGGTCATTCCAGCTTCTCTCCAAGTAGACCGTCTGGAGTGACGAAAGATGTGAGACGCGGGCTGAAAGTGGACCGGACCGGACCAGACCTCCCGAGATTGAGATGGGTGTTTTTCCAAAGCCAATCCCAATCCTGGTCCGCTCTCGTGAATAGTTTCCATTGTGAAGTTCTGTTCTAGCTATGGCTTCCGGGCCTTCATGCTGGTTGGCTGGCTCGCGTGATTTGGCCGGTTTAGGAACGCCACGCGCAGGCTCAACCAGCGTGAACCAGCTGATGTTTTGTTGAATATGTGTAGATACCAGACAATGCGGCACCCTAGCTTCACCTCGGCGGGTGCCTTGACATATAATGACATGGACCATGGAAGCACTGAATTGCTCGCAGACTTCATAATGCTTAGCAAACCCAAAGACACCTTTCCCGCCACCTTACCCACAATCGAGTCTGACCGTTATGTTGTGTTTGAGGGTCGAGATACTCTCCTTGTCTTGAGTGCAGAGTCAGTTGAGCTCTCTGAGCATCTCAATTGCACACAGTCCACCCTCCTGATTTATTCCGAGACTGTTACCGCAAGACGGCGTGCATCGACGTTTCTGGGGCCAAGGGAGAAGCAGGCACAGACAAGCAGAAAAATGGCCAAGCTGGTGGAAACGGCGGAAGCATCTGGCTTTATATTGAAGAGCCATCCTCTGACTTGAGCACCAAGCTGTCACTAAAGGCGTATGGAGGAGACGGTGGCCATGGCATGAATCAAACTGCGGATAGCAAGGACTCTGGAGGGGATGGAGGAAACGGTGGACTATGCGGTAGGAGTTCCCCTTTTCCCAAAGCTGGGTGAACTATGTTTGACAAGGATTTGAACAGGAGATATCTCGTGCTATCTTGGCTATGGCGCCGTGTCATATGGACGTTATCTGTACAAGGCGACATCCCAGACAACCAACTGGGGTGTCTACATCAAAGATATTGCGACAGATCTCACAAGTAATTTGAAGAGCCTGGCGGCTTATGGAATCAGCCAGACCATCATTGAGGAATGGAACAGTACAGTCACAGATCACGCAAACCTGGCTGCAGCCGGCCAAAAGCTCAGGACATCATTGGATAAGCTCATTGATGAGGACTCATTGGATCCAGACCATGTTACTCCATCTCAACCCACTTTACAAAGCGCTCACAAGCTATTGGAAACTTTGAAAGCGCTGTTCGATACTCACTCTCCACCTTGCGGAGAAATCGGTTTGAATATTGGAGACTTCAACAACTTGGCGGACAGCTGCGACTCCTTTAGCGGCGCTCGAGAGATGGAGCAGGCTCTTCAGGAGTCATTGCAGAGCGTCATGAATGCAATTGACAAGCTCATTCATGGTGAGAGTGCAGACCCCTCTTCTGCGCCGTTTAAGAAACATCTTGAGAAAATGCTCGATGAGTTGCGGGATGCAACCCAGCGCTTCAGAAACATCTTGTTCGAAACTGTGTGTGAATCAGCAGGAGGTACAAACCTGTCTTTCCCTCCTATTCCCTCAATTAGACCTATAACTGACTCCATTAATGAGCAGGCCAGGGTGGTGCTGGTGGAACTGGTGCAACCCTGAATATTGCCAATGGAAACCCTGGCAAAACGCAGCCTGATAAGCCGACAGAAGTCCAGGTTCTCTCATTTGATGGGCTGAAGGCGGACTGCTATATCACTCAGGCATGCGTGTTTCCGGAACAATGCCAGATGATTCTGGAATTGGCTGATAACCTGTATTTCACAAACGACTTGAGCAAATGTCGTGATGCTGCGGTGCTTTATAGTCGCTTAACCCGCCGGCTCAAATTTCTGGATGTTCTCGTCAAGGAAAAGGAGGTACCCTTGGCCAAGGCGTACAGTAACCTTGAATACCGATATGAAGTGACTGTGGAGTCACAGGAGCAACTATTGCATATATACACAGCTGCTCAGTTGCGCCTCAATCAGTTATTTCTCGGCCAGGACTTGTTTTGTCACGCCAAGTTCTGGGTCCCCCGATTGTCCATGACCTTTTACGAAGGAAGGGTTCATCAGATGCTCAACCACTACGCGCTGGTGACTGCGGCTTATAAAAAATACTCGGAGGATAGGCAGAGGGAGCAGATTTTGAATAACCACATCAGCAACCTCCAGCAGTCAAACCAGGCTACCCTTCAGGCGGCTAGGAGCCAAATCAACTCCATGACCGGGCCCGGCGGGGAGTTGGATACGATAGGAATCACCATCGTCCAATACTCACCGCAAATGGCTCAGGCACGGAGGAAGCTCGCCGACGAACTTGCCGACCTCAAAGGTTATATGGAGGCAACCTTTGAATTCTCCATGGACTCATTCATGGATGCATTGTCTGTACTTTCCATGGCTCCCCACGGTCTCACCGCGGCTGTGCAGGGTGTGAACGTGGCGTACAAGTCCTGGACGACCAAGGAAAATATGGAAGGTAATCCTGTGAAAAAGCAGTTCATCGTCAGTCAGCTTGATACATGCACTGGGAGTGTGAAGAGCCTGGTGGAAACTTATAAACATCTTGACACAGGAGAGCTGGCCGTCGATGACCCAGGATACGCAAAGATTGTCACAACAACCGACACGGTACAGCAGATTCTGAATGCGCAACGATGCTGTGATTCGATACAACTCAAGGGTGCAGTTTCTCCTAGAACTCTCCAACATTCTGAAGACTTGTGCGGGAGTATCACAGCGCCTTGGAGAGAGAGCGTTGAAGCTCAATCCACAGCTTCCAGCTATTTACTACTGGATCAAGCGAATGAAGGCCAGCCTGGAGTTTGATATCATGCAGCGACTGAATTATCAGGGACGCGCCCTTGCCTTCTGGGGCCCCATGGATATTCAAGGCCTCATCTCTACTCCCTCTGAGCTCCTTGACAGGGCAATCGGTCTCTCTGATGTGCAAAATAATCTGGAAAACAAATTCGAGGAATGCTACGGGAAATTGCAGCAAGGGGCGTGGAACTTCTGGCCAGCGTCAAGGGAGCTTAATCACCCTGGTCTTCTTATCGACATTACCGATGACGTCCTGGATGATCTCAAGCAGAAGCCAGATACATTCTCAAACGCCGTTGAGGCCATCTTCACAATTACCCCCCATTCTCTACCTGCGTTCTCGGATATGGCCAATGTCCGACTCACCCAAGTCCGCCTCTGGCTGCTTGGTGCTACGGTCTCTCAAGGCTCAGATGGAAAGTCCTTCTTGAGGGTCGAGCTCCATCACATGGGTAGGGAGACTATCTGGGATATTGGCGGTACTCCTTATCAATTCAGCCACGACCCTGTGCATCTCCAGTTTGTGTACGATACCAACAACTTCAACAAGAATATGAAGGCCTCGGGAGATCCAGAGCTGGTTCAAGGGCGACAAGCAATTGAAAACGATTATGCAATGGTTGGAAAGCCAACCAGTGATGATCGGCCGCCTCTGGGCCCTTTCACAGACTGGAGGATCCAGATCAGAGCGGACGCGAATCAGGGCATGGATTTACTGGGGTTGACGAAAGTTTGGGTTGAATTTTGTGGAAGGAATTTGCCCGCGGATGGTAAACTCAAGGAGCTGTCTTGAAGTGCGTTTTACATTTTGAATCTATTTGACTTCAACATGATAAGTTCATAGATTGACTGTTTTGATGTCTATAGGGTAATCCCATGGATGCCGTTCATCATTAACATCCTCTATCAGATCTTCTTGTTGACTTCCTGCCTGAAACTAGACTGTTTAGTATCAGTTATAGATCAGAAGGTTCAAGAGTAGATATTAGTTTCCTTATAGTCCAATACTATTATATTTTATCTTGCCTTAAAGACATATCACATTAGGGTTAGGTTAAGTCTTTATTATATTAAAATAATAGTAGATAACTAACTAATATCTTACTACTATGCAGCAGTCTAATATACTAAATAATAATTTTGATAATTAAACACAATCATAAAGTAATAAGTCATATATTATAACTAATAATAGCTTGGTCAGCTATAAACTCCTTGGGAACTCAGAAGATATCTACTACTAATATAGATCTACCTGAAACCTAGCCTTGAATTCAAATCATTCAATCTATCTACTGTCTTTCTTATTTTCTTATTTTCTATGCTTTGGCTAATATACTCAAAACTGTCGCCGTGACACCCTTTAAAACAGGCAATTTCGAGTTTTCCGAGGTGAAGCAAGAGACATTCAGATATCCCACGGCGTCCTTCTCCAGACGAAAGATCGCATGGTCGATCAGCGTGTACCTCCCCGGGACGAACGTCTCCATGTCGATGACCGTCGTGCCCCCCGGGGAGACAGTGACGGTCTGCACGAACTGCGCCGGGGGACTCAGCACGTCGCTGTCACGGTAGACATGCCTGGAAATGCTTCCGGTGATATGGAACGAGCTGGTCAGATTTGGACCTGCGTTGCCGAAGAAGATCCGCACGGATTCCCCGGCTGAAGCCTTCAATGCTTCAATGGATTCTCTGTCGTCAGGGTGTTTTCATAGCCATTAAACACCACGCTGCTGGGTCCTTCACGTCACGCCTTGGGATAGGAAAACGACTAGATCTTTTTCTCCCTCTTCTTCATCATCCACTTTCTCATGGTATAACTCGCTCTGCATTACATACACATAGTATTCACAGTCAACTAGGGAGAGATCATCCCCTTCCTCCGCCCAGCCCTAGGAAGGCAAGACAGTCGACGTTATGCGGGTTGTCTGGCTCGTCGCGGATCAAGGGGCCCGGAACGCTGCCGGTGAAGGTCCATCAGTTGTATTTGTGCTGGCTGGTGAGTCTCTCTGTCGTCGTCAGATGTACGTGCAGGAGAACGGGATGTTCGGTGCTGTCCTAGGAAAAAACTGTTCATCAACAACAGTTTTCAACAGTTCCCTGATATTGGCGTTTGAGAATGCAGTTACTGTTGCTGGCGAGTCTAGTGAGAGCTAGCCTTGCAGTCGTTCACTGATGATGATCCCGGTTATAACAGGTGCTGCAAATGCAATCATTCTACCGTAGCCACCATGCGCCAGCAGCCAGTGAGACGTTCTGGAGCCGATGTTATTCGAGAAAAAGTGCGGTGCAACGCCGTGTCGTGATACCAGCCGGCGGTATGAATTGTCAAGCCTTTTGAACATGTCGTCTTATACTGTATCATCTGCAGATTCTTTTCTCTGAATAGATTCATATTTTAAGTTGAGTCTCTGACGTCATGATAGACTCCCTAGATTTATCAGCTTAGTCAGTGCTTTATACTTTATACATAAAAGATATTATATACAGGAATTCAACTCAGACGCCAAAGCAGTCAATGATAATGGCTTCACAAGGTATCCGTCCACTCCCGCCGCGCGTGCCTGCGTCTGCATGTCCGCCGAGGCGACGCCCGTCACGGCGTAGATCTTGACTTTCTCGTCTTTGTCGACTTGCTCGAGGGTGCGGATGTGGCGGGTGGCGACCAGGCCGTTCATGACGGGCATGGAGATATCTTGAACTGTTAGCATGGTACAGTGCAGATGTAGGTATTCTTACCCATTAGAATGATGTCGAATGTATTAGATTTGTACTTTTCCACGGCGATTGCGCCGTTCAGGGCTGTTTCATATGTATACCCCAGTTTAGCCATGTATTTGGCGAGGATCTATTGTTATGGATAGTGAGGAGGTGAACCCTATGAACTGATGGATGGATGGGTATATACCTTTAGGTTGATTTCGTTATCGTCGACAAGCAATGCATGTCTACACGGATGGACCGGTTGGTCTTGAATGCAGGGCGCAGAGTGGAACTGCCCACAGATGCTCTGTAATGCCTTGAGGACCTTGCGAGGCGAGAGTCTTTTCAGTCAATATATATATTCACATATGTCTTTTGGTCAGGGGAACTTACGGCTGGGACAGATGTTCCGTCTTCTCTCCGACAAGGACAGAAAGAACGGCCGTCTCATCAAGGGCACTCTTGCTCAGCTCCGGATCGACGATCAAGACATCTCCTCTGGCCTGGTCGAGCGTTTCGGCAAAGGAAAGACTCCAGCCCGGCTGGGAGGGAATCAGATGCGTCAGGAAACGCCGGATGCAGAGCCGGCGTTTTGCCTCGGCGTCCAGCGTGCCTGTTGGTGCCTCTTTCAGATCGGGGAGGGCATTCAGTCCGATCAAACAGAAGTGCGTTGTGGGTACTGCCTCTTTCGGAGGGTTCTCTTGTACACTCACAGCGTTCATGTCTATCGGAATGTAAATGTCGACTTGGGTACCCACGCCTCGCTCGCTCTGGATATCGATCGAGCCATCGAGCTGGCCAACCAATTGCTGCACGATGCTCAGGCCCAGTCCGACCCCGTCGGCGAGAGCATCTTCCTGCGCGAACGGCGTGAAGAGCTTGTTCCGCAGGAAGGACGCCGACATCCCTTGCCCGCTATCTGTTACACGAAGATGGGCTAGAGATGTAGCAGCAGTACTAGCAGCAGCCCGTGAGAGACTAATCTCGATAAACCCGGCGGGCGTGTATTTGAGAGCATTGCCGAGGATGTTCATCACGATCCGTCGCCAGGCGCCCGTAATCGACTGCACGGTCCAGTCGTCTTCGATGCGAAGAACGACAGATAGCTTCGCACTCTCTTTATGCGGTCTACTGCTTCTCCTCCCCATGTACATTGTCGTGACGACGTCTTCCACCAGCCGTGCAAGATCAAACGTCGTTATCGTCGACCCGTCGGTCAAGCTGTTGATTTTCGTAAAATCGAGTCTTTCCATTAGACTCGAGAAACAAAGGAACAAGAATGCAATTACTTACAAATGATTCATCGTGTCGAGGAGAGTGACGCCGCAGGTCTCTACTGTGGTAAGCAGATCGCGCTGCTCGTCCGCCAGTTCTGTCGCAGCGAGCAGCTCCGTCCCGGCCAGCATGCCGTGCAGCGGCGAGCGCAACTCGTGGCTGATGGACGAGACAAAGGTGGACTTGGCCTGCTGTTGGACGTCCCAGTTGACGCGGGCCACCTCGGAGACGATCGAGTCGCCAAACACTTTGAAGTAGTGCAGTTCGTCGGGCCCCAGGGCGCGCGAGTGGCCGGCCGTCCAGAGAAAGGTGCCCGCGAGCCATTGGCTCTTTTCCCAGTCCCAGAGAGGGAGGAAGATGGCCGAGTGGGAGAAATATCGACGCAGTTCGCCCACCGGGCTGCTCTGTTGTTGTTGTTGGTCTCCTTCGTCTCCTTCTGTCAAATCGAATATGCCCCCCTGTGGATATGTAGCGACCAGGTATTGTAAGAGAGAGTCCATTCTGGTGAACTGCACAGCATCGCCGTCTCCTTCAAAGGATAGGATCTCTGTTCCACCCGAAGGAGAATGATCGTTAGTATGAGGAAACGGCCATTCGGACTCTGACTCGACTCTGATAATTAGCTATACATGTATGTGTGTGAGTGTAGGGGTCTAGTCTTACATTCCGCCATTGCACCGCGAGGCATCCAGGAAAAGCACTCCCGCAAGATCCATTGATCCCCTGAGGAGAGAAGCGGCATGGGCGAAAATAGCCGTGAGGCGACTTGAGACAGCCATGGTCTCGACTGCTCCCGCCGCAGTGGTCTCGTCGTCGACATGGTGGTGGTTTTGCTGATTGTCCGAGTCTTGAATGGAGGTTCCCTCCGTGTCGGAGAGTTGCCTGGAGCGCAGTAGCGAGGGCGACCTGGTCGTCTTAGCAGAGATGGACAGATCTTGCATCGGGGAGAGAGACTCGTCAACTGAATCACGGAGGCCCGACAGACTGGCTCCCCTGAGAGCATGAGTGGAAGACGAAGCGGAGCAAAGCTGCGTCTGGCCCTGCTGGACGAAAGTGGTAAGCCCCTGGACCAGGCGATCGGCGCGACGGTGCGAGTTTCGAATCCGGACATTCTCGAGATGGCTGGCGATCGCGTCCGAGATCTCCTGCAGGGCCGCGACGTCGGCGTCGCCAAACTCGACGCGGGGCTTGTTATCGACGACGCAGAAGCTGCCGAGCACATAACCCGAGGAGACGCTGTAGATGGGCACCTCTGCGTAGAAGCGGAAATACGGCCAGTCGAGCACGTAGGGGCGGTCCTTGAAATGGGCTTCGGCGGTGAAGTCCTTGACCACGAACCGCGTCTTGGTCGCGGTCATGTTGGCCGTGTTCTGCAGAACCGGCACCGGCTGGCCGGTGAACAGCTTCACGGCATGCGGACACACGCCAAAGGCCAGATCCAACGTGGTGACGCCAAGGTAGATCCCCTCGCCGGCGCGGTGGACCCGGCTGTCCCGCAGGGAGATCGACGCCGTCGCCTCGGCCAGGATGTGTTGGTTCTGGCCGTCGATCAGCGAGACAAACGCACGGTCGCAGCCGAAGCGATGCACCGCCAGCTGCGTCAAGGCCGTCAGCGCGATATCGCGCGATAGCGAGGGAGCTGTCGTCGTCTCAGACTCTGTCGTCGCCTCCGACTCCGCCGCTCGGATGGTGCAGTAATACTGCGACAGCTCGCGGATGCGCTCTCGCTCGCTCTCAGACGGCGGCGGCTGGTTCAGCGCCGGCGACGCGTAGGATTCCATTTTCCAGCTTTGCGGATGATCATCGCATGGGAGAGGCGACGCTTGCTGCTCTTCTGCTGCTGTTCAATGAAGCTGAACTGGAGATTCTCGTCGAACATCGTCGAGCGCGGTCTAGACCGTATAGGGCTTAGCCCTCGTGGCGGGCAAAAACCGGTTTTTGTTGATTCCTGAGGCATTTATTAATTGTCTTATTATAAGTAATTATTACTAATTATAACTAGTTTAGTAGGTTATTAGTATTAACTAATAAACTATAAATCTATTATTGTTGTCTTTACTGTGTGAATGTTTATTGAATGTGGGGTATTCTTAGTCTTGTGAATGACTAGGGAATAAGAGATATAAAGCTGACTTTTCCTTCCTTCTTTCTCTTATACTTTTATATACTTTTATATACTTCATATAGAATAGTTCAGCCAACAGCAAGATGAGATATGACGAGATCTTCCAGAAGGTCAGTCAGTCATACTTGGAGATTGATTGAACTAGTAATGAATCAGTTCTAAATACAGGAGTGGATAAACAGACTGCCATGAGATAAGATATTCCACAAGAGTCCTATCCATTGATTAAACTGGAGACAACTTCGTCAACTGGTGTTTAATATTGATCTACCAGCACACCATCAGCATATATTTTCTGGCTGCCAGGCTAGACAATATCACAAACTCCCTGTGTATTGTTCTATCCTAAATATGTTAGTGGAATTACCTTAAGAATTTGATAAATATGCTGACTATATAGATGCAACATTGACCCAATGGAGAGATATGCAGCCAAGTTATCTCCCTAGAGTCTGCAGTATGCGAGGGTCCATACTCTATAGAAAAGCCATCATCGTCGAATATTCTACCAAGCACATCCAATACTATAGAATATACCAAGGTATACTTCCGATGCCACCTTTGCACTGTACCGCGGATCGTCCGCAGCGAGCACATTTCCCGCCGGTCCCTGTCTTCTCGTGCTGAAGATCTCCGAGCGCTTCTCCAATCCAACGGGCTGTTTTTCTTGATCCTCACTGTCTGTTAGTAAAGACACTCGAACAGCAGTCACATTCTGTGGATTGTGGTCGAGATACCACCCAATGAAAGTCTGGATATACCTGTGCAGAATGACCATTCAACCCACTAATTGTCTTGATAAGAACGGATGCCTCAGGCAGACAAGGTGAATGGCGAGCGGTATAAGCTGCCTTCCCCTTTTCATTGACTCCTCAGATATCTGACGCGCTCACATTAGAAGTCATTAATATACTTTATTGATCATTGTTAGGGTCATTACATGGTTGTCTTGACTATGGATACTCATGGCTAATTTCTATATATACAACCATACACAGCATCCGTGGCTGCTTATCGTAAACAATTCATAAAGACTGTCTCTGCCAATTACCTACATACTACAGCGTATTATATACGTATCTATTTCTAGTCTGTACTGTCGGAAGACGGCATATCAGATCAAAAATAAACCGTTGATTGGCTCGCCAGCTTAAATCCGTCGTGCTTCCGTCGCGGTTCCTCCCGCAAGCCACGTGGCCACTCTGAATGAATCTCCCTTTTCAAGGTTAATGAAACCCTCACTGTTTCAGTAGACGAAGACTCCAGCCACTCCCTGGCTGTTCTACGCGGCCACTGTTTGAAGGAGTGTCTGGGACGCCTTGACCTCGTTGTGGGAGAAGCAGATGCCCATGAACTTGACCATTCCGGCGGCTGCATAGTTAGAATCACGGCGATGACGAATTATTTGGAAGAAAAAAAAGAAAAAAAAAAAAAGAAAAAATACCGTCAACCCGCTTCCCCTCATCCTGTCCGTTCAGGAGGGTATATTCCATGACAAGATCGACTCGTGGCCGACGCCCGGTATCGTAGAGTTTCAGCCGGTCGGGGATCTGCTCCACGGTCGTCTCGGCGGGCAATAGGACAGCCAGACTGACGGCGTCTTCTATCGCCATGGCGCCGCCTTGACCGAGATCTAGGAAAAATTAGAAAGAGAAAAGTATAGGAAGAGATGGAAGTACATGGTTGGAATGGATGCGCTGCATCTCCGAGTAAAACGGCACGCCCCCTCACCCAATCCGGCAGGGCAGGCAGCTGGCGTAAAGTCCAGGCTTGAGGATTCTCGGCAGATTCCGTGATGCGCTGGACAGCCTCTGGGAAGCCAGAGAGGCTGGAGCATAGAACCGGTTTGATATCCTGTCCTTCCGTAGTTCCATCTATTCGGTTAGTATACATCGTATAGATGTATGAGGACAAGTGTGTGTATACCGTCATCTACAAATGCACACAGGTTATATACCTGGTCATTCGAGCATGGATACGCGACAAGACGTCGGTCCGGCCCCTCCCACTCGATAAACACGCCTGGTCTGGCCACCAGCTCTGCGGTCGAGGGGTGTTCTTTGAGTTGGCTGGTGGGCAGCAGCCAGCGGAAGCAGACCTTGCCGGCGGGTGTTGCTGCTGGGGTTGACGGGCTGACATATGTACGGACTTGACTCTGTAGCAATGTGAGTGTTAGAGTGGGTAGTATCATATATCATAGTATCTTACGTGAACTCCGTCTGCTCCTAAAAGTAGATCGGCAGTAAAGACTCGCCCATCCGACAGCACAACCCGAGGCGAGGTGTAGTCAATCTCCTCGATGCGACAGCCGGTATGCAGGGTGGCTGTCTTCAAGGCATGCTCCTTCAGGTGGGAGTGAAGGTCGACGCGGTGCACGAGATACCATTCGGCCTGCCAGTGGCCTCGAATGGGGGTAAAGTCTTTCAGGTAGGTCACATTTCCTATTCATCAGTACGAGGACCTTAAGTGACTATGGTCTATCCTTAAATACCTTTAGAATCATACCGGTGGATCTCAATATGATGATGTTAGTGACAATGCAAATAGTTATGTATCTTATACTCACCTCTCGCAATAGAGTCCCCCCGAAATCAGCAGGGTTGATCCCCATCCACTCCAGGACCGCCGTGCAGTTGGGCGGGATATGGATGGCGGCCCCGACTTCGGTAGCAAACTGCGACTTTTCAAGGATCTACTCGGGGTTTAGAGGAGACTTTCAGTGCCTCGACCTCTTCTCATCACTTACTACTATCCGGTGCCCCTGTTTCCCCAGCGCAATCGCCGCGGACAGACCGGCAATGCCGGCGCCAACAATCAGGATGTCGAGAGGCATGGCGAGAACACCTCGGTTGTGTACTTTGACCAGAATACGAGATCTCCTCAACTCCCACCTGATATAAATACCCAGGAATGTGCCTCCAGGTACCTATATCTCCGATCTGGAAACGGCAACTCCGAGTAAATGTCCGGGACGAGATGCAGGCGCCTCACGACCGGATTGAGAAACATGCATGCAGATCGTTCGGAATACCGGATGTGATGGATATCCACGTCGTACCACCTGCAGAAGGTTACTCTACGGAGTACTGTGTAGGATATACAGTGTTCATATGAAGATCGAATGGCAATGTTGGCAATTTATGGTCAATATCAATATGGAGTATAATGGTGTACAGCTGTGGTATACACTGTGCTATTACAGGTCCATACCTGGTTCGGTACGCGCTAAAATAGGGAGAAACTAATACTAAATAGAATGTCATTAACTACGCTATCGACTCCTGATAAAGAGGGGGAAAAAATGACCAAACAAAAAAAGAATGACCAGACTGGGGCTCGATCCCAGGACCTTATCGGTGTTAACGATACGTGATAACCAACTACACCATCCGGCCATTGTTGAGGGAGGGCCCAATATTTGGCTCTATGAGTCAGGATTACTCGAGTCATTGTATTTTTACCTACTAAGTTACCTAGGTATCTAGCTGTGGACTAGATACCTCCAAGTTCATACAGTATTGAATATTTATCACTTCTAATAGTATAACCAAGCATATACCCTTATCTTATCAATCTACTTGGTACTTAAAATCCTAGACTGCCGATAGTTATTACCCTCTGATAGCTCTGATACCTCTGGATATATAAAAACTACATGTACCTGTACCAGAACCCTGCAGTGGTGCAGCAGTGGCATTGGGCAGCAATCCAATAACAACAAAGGTGAGTATGCCTTTATATACTTACATATTATATATTAGACGCTGACTCAACGATGGATCTCCCCACCGAGATCATCCTCTGTATCGCCGATTCTCTCTCGCCCAGAGATCTCAGCAGTCTATCGCAAACATGTCGTTTTTCCCACAATGTCCTCGACTCTGTCCTCTGGAATAACAATGCAAATACCGCCCTCCTCTGGGCCGCCGACAAGGGCAACCAGCGGGCAGCACGAAAAGCGCTCGGTTTCCATGCAGACATCAACACGAGGGACCCAACCGACGCGGTTCTCCCCCATTTTCGATTCTGGAGCCACGAGAAGAAGAAGTACAAAAGAACCGGGCTCACTCCGCTCGCCCTGGCCATCATCGCGGGTCGGCAGGAGATGGTTGATTTCCTGCTCTCTGTGGCTGGCGTCGACGTCAACGCACGTGACAACCCCGAACGCTTCACCCCCCTGACGCTCGCCATCGTCACCGACCACCACGACATCATGCAGAGGCTGCTTGCCGTCGACGCCATCAACCCCGAGCTGCGAGACCGGTTCTCCGCAGGCAGTGCGTTGATGGTCGCCGTCCACCTGCACCGAATAGAGCTCGTCAAGACACTGCTGGCGCACCCCAAGATCCATCCCGACCGAGGCAACCTGATCTCGCAATCGCCCCTCTGGCTAGCGGTGCACCAGAAGAACCTGGAGCTCGTGAAGCTGTTTCTCGAGGCGGGTGCCAGTCCGCACCCGCCCTTACCGGACCCTCACAACGAGTACGGATGGTACGCCGAGCCGCTGGACAGCGCCGTGAGCAACAACACGCCGGCGATCGTGCGGGCACTCGTCACGTCGCCTCTTTTCGATGTTTCGCGGGTCTCGCATGACCACCGCATCGAACGGTTCGAGTGTAAGGCATTGTGGCATAATAGAGTGGATCTCTTCGAGGCGCTCTTCGCCACCCTCGGCTGCGAGGAGGTCAACTGGGCGCATGGCGATGGTCGGACGTGTCTCTGGTGGGCGGCTGCTCATGGACAAACGGACGTCGTACGGACGCTGCTTTCTCTACAGGGTGTGGATGTCAACACGCGCGGTATTGGAGTCACCTATACACATGAGTACGTCGAGAGGGAGAGGGTTCTCGGACCGCCGGGTTACGGCGAGGGCGTCACTCCGCTCATCGTCGCGACGAGGGGAGGGCATCTCGAGGTGGTGAGATTGTTGCTTCAAGCCGGGGCGGATGTCTCGATTCGAGATGCAGAGGGGGAGACGGCGTTGCAAGCTGCGGAATTTGAAGAGATAGCACAGTTATTGATTAATGCTTAGATACTACCACGTATATATACTATATATTAAATTCTCCAACTATTCAAATATCCAACCCCAGCGTTCAGATACGTCGCATACCCCAACCACAACCCATAAGGAACCATCAGCGCGTACGCAGTAGAATCAATCTCCTGATACGTGGTGAGTAACCACCCCACTGCCCCCGAGAGAACCAACATATCCACCAACGCAAGGAGCGGCTTCTTCACCCCGAAGAAAAGCGGCATCCATGCGTTATTCAGCACCAGTTGGGCGAGATACACTCCCTGCGCGGTCCGAGTCAACTCGCGCACCCTGCTAGACGGAGACGACAGTCCTGTGATGGTCGCACGGTAAGACGCGTAGCCCATCATTCCGTAGAGAAGCGTCCAGGCTGGTGCGAAGAGCCATGCTGGGGGGGAATATGGTGGTTGGCGAATAGACGCGTATGTATTTTTTGTTCCCCCTATTTATTATTATTATCATTGTTCTTCTTCTCCTTCTTCTTCTTCTTCTTCTTCTTCTTCTTCTTCTTCTTCTTACGAGTGCTTGCAGCTATTGCTGTCCCACTGAGGATGGGAGTGAAAATGGCGAGGACCGGGTTGGTGAAGAGCGGGAACATGATGAATAAAAGTGAGTTGAGGAGGGAAGAGAAGGAGTCGGTTTCTGTCGAGGGCCTTTTATATTCTTTCTGATCGATCGATCGATCTTCGGTGATGTCATCGAGCATGTGTGCCTGAGGCAGAAATCATTTACCAGGACTATATTGTATAACCTCAATGATATAGAAAGAAAAAGACCTTGATAATGAGGGTATATGACTTAATAATATGCATTATTAGGCTGTTCTGTCAAAATATCCAGTTGCTGCTTCCTCCGAAACCTCTTTTCCTCCTTCTCCCGCTTCACTGAGCCATGTCGGGAGAAATTGATCAGGCAACGTTGAAAATGATCACAGAAGTCGTGGCTTCAGAGCCGTGACAAAATTTAGAGCAGCGAGTATCACGTGGGAGCCGCCCTCCTGCCGAAACGAGAACGTCAACAACCTCGACGCGTCTTACTCTCGAACCAAGACGTTTCCACACCCACCATCAGGGATACGGCAGACGAGAACAGATAGCTAGCAAGATGCCATTCTTTCATCTTATCCTACTCTGACTCCCAGACACCATTTCAGGCATTCGCTGCGCTGCTCCAGTCCAGACACTCCTCTGTTAGCTGACGTCTTCCCACCCTTGACCTGCGGAGAAAAAGAACCTTCATCAACTGACGTTGCTTGGTCAACATTTTACAGCTTGAACTCTTGCGATTCCCAGAATGTTCTCTAACTTCTGGACCGATTCTAGACAACAAACGCGGTTACTCGAGTGCCATCGCGTTTCACTCCCATCGAGGTCGCTTATTCTCCACACCGTTCACCTCTGAAAATGAAAATGCTCGTTTACGGTGCTGGGAAGAAATAAGCGTCATGGGCGCCTCGAGCTGCGATCGGAGGTGTATAGAATTTGCGCGTCTGGGAATGCGAGAAATGAAGAATTTGGCGTACGCAGCGGCCGCAGCGGCTGCATAGTTTTGCCACAGCTTGTTCTTGTGAGAATCGGCGTAATCACAAATTCCTCGAACGACAAGGCACGACGTGGTGCGCATCACGCCTGCTGCCTCCATCTCGAAGCAGAGAATATTATTCCTCTTTGCCAGCTCATCTCTGAGTTGTGCATCCCGGATCACTTTATCACTGGAGGCGATCAAGCCATAAAAGACATCGGGGCCAAGACTCTGTCGCGGACTTCGTTCTCGAGGAGAACCACTACAGGAAGCACAGGTGGGATTTTCCTTCTCGTGAATGTTGTCGGCTTCAAATAGGATATCATTCTCCGCGCCAGGATGCTGATATTCAGGTCGCCTGGCTGTAACACGGTCGATATCTCTGAGCAAAGGGTTTGAATTGTTGTTAAAGGAGCATCGAGGGTCTGATTCGATCTCGCTCAAGATTGAGCCTAACCAAGGTGGAGGTCTCTGGATATTCCCTGTCGCATGAAAGGTAGAGTCCTGGGTCAACTTCCCTTTATCGAAATGTATTACCCCTGTCCCGACAACCACATCTCCCAGCCGGATATCATGGCTTGTCGAAGGGACTCCTCCTCCAACTCCGATGACTAGGCAGAATCTCACTGCTGCAAAGCTTCGAACCAGATGGGATGCGACATTTGTGGCGGAGCTCAAGCCAATATCACCCGTAGGCATGCCGACTGCCACCACATTATACTGTTTGATCCGACCCAAGGAGTAAGTATTCGGGTCATTATCAGTGGTCTCCAATGGAGGATGGGAGTCATCGAATAAAGCCCGCACAGCGAAAAGCTCATTTGCCAATGCACAAACAACCCCAATGTCATAGTCGTTGTGAGTGAAATTCTGGTTTCGAGGCTCTGCTGTAGCCCGTTCATCCATAGCCATGTACTCCTCTTCCTCGTACAAAGACTGCTTACCCAGACTGGTTCCAATTCCAGTATCATGAAAGATCGATTCATCAAACAGATCATCATAGGAGATCTCAGATGGCGACAGAATCTGTCTCAAACTAGGCAGCCCTATGTCACCCCAGGTCCAAGGGAAATCTTCGTTATGGCCAAACACCACTGCTCCCATGGCCCAATCTTTCCATGGTCTCGGCCCCGGACTCGGCAATTCCTTTTTGAAATGTGATGGTAGAATCACTTGGGTTTTTGCGCAGTGCCTAGAGTCTTGCGGCGATCCCGTACATTGACAGCCCCCAGCGCTGAAAGTCGGTTGCCAATAGAGGTCCTTCGCAAGTCGGATAGGGTTATCGTCCGGATTGCCAAACCTCTCGATCAATCTCTCAAGATCAGCACCGCTTGCTGCTAGATATGAGTTCATCTTTGGCAGTGCTACCCAGTATGGACAAAGACTAGGGGAAGACACTGGCTGGAGGATCTCCCTAAATCCTTTCCCAAACAAAGTTACGGCGCCGATTGCTCTGGTCAAGTCCACCCAGCCTTTGCCCCGGGTGTCCAACTTATAAACTCGGAGGTCAAATGGGTCTTCATGTGATGCAAAGTCTTGGAAATCCCATCCGTATAAGACTCCTCGCGGAATTGTGTCTGTTTGTCTCAAGAGGTGTTGCTGATGGTCGATGACCTTCTCTAGGAGGTGATACAGATAGTCCACTCGATCCTGGAACTTCTCTCCTGAGGCTTCATTTTTGTCGCTTTGGTGAACTGACGCATGCTGAAAACTCGGTTTTGCACTCTCAAGTCGCGAGTACAATTCGAGGTTTAGGTTATCTTTGTTCGTCAAGATCTCCATCGCCGACTTCACTGGGTCGATGTTCTTCGAATTTTTGATAGCCTCAAACTTGAAAGAAAACATTGATTGCAGCTCATCAGTTCGACTGCATTCCAGGGAGCCATAAACAAGATACAACAAGGCGCTGACTCCGTTCACAAGCCACCCTCGTCTGTCTTTGACGTCCCACAGCACAACGTACTGCCTGGAGATCCATCGGAGTCTTTCAATATAGCCGTCTCTAAGCATCCGATAAGGCAAGTCCTTGTTCCCCTTAACCACACAGTCACCACCAACTATCGCTCTTCTAGCTGAAACAGAGATATTCTTCAAGTTGCTTTGCGCCGATGGCCCGAGAAGTCTGGATCGACCGACTCGAAAGTCGGCATCTGTAGCGCCTTTCATTCCAGAAAATTAATCCAATATTCCAGTTAACTTACTTTATCACGCACTGGTGATGCTCAAGGGCCTTACCTGCAAAGTACTTGACTTCAGAACACCAGCCCACGATGTGGCGACTGTTTTCCAAAGCAGATATCGAAACACTTTCTGCACGAGCGATATCATCTTGTGAGTATGAGATACGTTCTCCATCCGCATCGTAAACCAGATGCCAAGTAATTAAATCATTCTCCCGTGATTTTGGAATCAGCAAAGTTGAATAGCCCTTGATGAGCCATTTATCGTCAAACTTATCAATATATTGTGTCTGCGCCAGGCTGGCCATGATGTTAAGGGGGATTTCAAGACCAGTATTATTTTGGGTCCTGCGCGGGATGGGAAAGCCCTGAACCACAACTGGATTCCGGAACAGATTATGCCAACATTGCCCAGAGGATGGTGTAAGTTGCTCCCCCTGAGTGACGCAGAAAGATATCCTCCAAGATGGTAAGTTAGAAGAAGCCATTAATTCAGACTCTTTCGCCAAACTGGGTGTGCAGTGAGCGATTCCATGTTCATAGGGTGACGAGCGAAGTGCAGAACCCAGCCATGACAGGAGCTCTCCAATTTCTGCCAAAGTCTCCCTAATCCCGGTGACCTCAACAGTGAGCTCAGCTCCTCGAGTCGAAGCATGGATTTGTGTCTGGTCGGGGAGGGTACCTAAGTATCATCATTTAACAACCCGCGAGACCGTGATGGACTGGAATTGACATACAATAACGGGATATACCAGATAGACCGAATACAGTCTCTTCAATCAATTGAAGCACATGTCGTCCATACAAATTCCATGTTTGATGAAGATACTGCAAGCATGTCCCTGCTTGTGCATCAACTCCTGACCCGGTAATCGTGATTATATTTCCTAGGCCGTCCATCGTGATTTCGTCATACCCTTGCTCCATGTGGAATGCCTTGGGATCCCAATCAAGGGTGAATTTTGCCTTGAAGACAGAAGGGGAAGCATGGCGGCTGATGAGATGAGGCCCTGGCAACTCGTTTAGAATCTGCTGCCTAATAGCGTCTTGATGATTAGTCTCTGCTGGCATCAAAAAAAGCTCCCTACGGATGCTTCCTTAGAGCCAGTCGTATGCGGGTGAATTGGAAACCAGCTGCCTATATGCGATCAGCTCCTGCATATCCTCGTCACTTGCCTCGTCTTCATAGTCGTCTGCGGCAGCACCGAGAAACTGAGATGTCTCATCTTCTTCGGTATCATCCAAATTACGATGCCAAAGGCTCATTAGGTCGTCTAACTCCATGTTATCACCCTGACGCGAGAAGCCAGTATTGGGCTCCTCATATCTCACGCATTTCGTTCCCAATTGATTGGCAATAGCACTTTTGAACAGGGCCCTGTCAGCAATCAAGTCTACAAAAATTTCATAAATACCCTTCGGGTCGCCTCACCTTCGTTGCCGGCGAATAAAGACCATCAGGTCCCGGTATATCTGACTGGACCCTGCATGGGCCAGTTTCATCGCGAACGTACCCAGGAGGTCTGGGATGACAAGTGAAATGGTTTCCGTAGAGAAATCACCAAGCCCCTCTTGCTGGATCCTGTTGGACAGGTCATCCACCAGTGCTGATATGTACATTTGCTGCTTGGTAGGAGACAGGTAAGGGCCCTCCGTGTAGATCGAGCGTGTGTCGGTATCATCGACTTGCTCTGCTGTTGGGCCTGACATATCTTCTTCTGTCGTCTTCACCGCACTAAAATGGGGCATAGACGCAAACCCAGAGTCTGTAAGTGGGAAGTCCGAACTGTGTGACTGGGCGCCAGGGGGGGCATTGGATGTAGGTGCCTGATAATCAGCAGCAGAATTCTTATCTCGTTTGCCTGCTTATAGAGTAAGTGAACTAGTAATCCAACGTTTAGTACAGATCATACTGACCATCATTCTGGGTAGCGGACGTGGTTGCCGCATTCAAGCCAGATACAATTCCACGAGGAGCCTTCGTTCCAGATATAAGAGCAGGAGAGAGGAAAGATAGCAGTGCTTTTGCATACGCTGCCGCCGCCAGGGCTGCATACCCCTGCCAATCCTCGTTGTGGTGTGAGTCGCAGTAATCAGAGATGCCTCGGATATCCAAGTAAGGTCTGGGAAGCAGCAAACTCGAAAAATCATCCTCGAAACAAAAACAGAGGATTTGATGTTTCCTTCCAAGTTCATCCCGGTCTGGCGCAGATGTCCTCCTATCCGGATCCCCGGATGCAATGGAACCAAAGTGAAGGTAAGGCGTATCGGTTGGCCGCGGGTCTCTATCAACAAGCTGATTTTTATTACAGGCTGCACATGTACGTCGGCCTCGATGGCAATATTCACTGTTGAAAAGGAGATCATTGCTCGGCCGTTTGAAGACCGTGGTGTTGTCTTGTGGTACGGAAGACATCGCCTCTGCCAGACGGACTGCTCCCTCGTTGCGAACAACCTTCTTGTCCGGGAGGAAGAAGGCTGGATGGATAGGTCGCGAGGATAACGGACTGGCTAAAAGGCGGTTCTCAATATCATACTTCATGGCCCCCTCAGTACCAACAACCACGTCGCCGAGACGAATATCTTTGCCTGCCGCCATCGGAACCCCGCCTCCGAGTCCAACCCGCAAGACAAAAGAGACGTTGGGGAAACCCGCCAGGATGTTCTTGAGCGTCGTGGGAGCGGCCTCTGAGTGATGTATACCAGGTGGAAGATAAATGACCGCCACGTTGAGAGCGTGTAATCTGCCGAGAACGTACATTTCTGACTGTGAATGTTGCTCATTTAGAACAGAGATTGCTGCTGTCCTCTCGATGGGCAGCGTGCAAATCCACGCGACGGTGTAGTCGCCATGGCTAAGGACTGCAGGAGGCATACTGATGACCTTGAACAAGAAGTCTACCATCTACATTGGATATGTCCAGAAGGATGCGGATGCTCAACGGGATTTCTAGTAAAAAATCAGCCTGAGAGGACATTAAAAGTACCACGTCTTCAGCCTCGTCGCAGTGTTTGTCGTCTCATCGAAGCGGGGTAAATCACATTGCATCTTCGCTTCAGCCTTGTCGTTTTCAGAAAAGGACAAGAAGAAATTAATTCCCCTCGTTTGGATTCTGATACAAAATCCTCTTATTTCGACGACGTTTCTTTCAAAGTTCAACATGTCGTACTCCGAGTAAGTTCCCTTGACGAGCAGCAGACAGACTGAATGACTTGGAACAGATTCCTAAGCTCAGAGACCATCGCCTTGCGGACCGAAGACTCCTCTTGTCGGTACAACATCCACGAAGACCTTCTCCGGTCGAAATGCCAGTCGATCGGTGCAGCCTTGAAGGGAGGATTCGTCGAGGGTCAGCAGCGAGTGTACACTTGCAAGGACGCCTCCGATGGCACTCTGATACGCTTTATCGAGTGGGCGTACAGGGGCGATTACGCAGAGAGCGTTGGAACGGCGGAACCCAAGCAGGCACAGCCAGAGGAGGATGGGTTGGAATCCTCGACGGACGAGACGGCGATCATCGACGACATTGACGACGGCAACTGCCCACTGTTGGTCCATCTGGCGCTTTACATCTTCGGAGACAAGTACCTGGTGGCAGATCTGAAGCAGATCGCCTTGAAAAAACTGAGAGACTGTCTGAAGCAGATGGACATGCCAAAGACTCTCAACAACAGGCTCGCCGTCATCAAGACTCTACGAGTGGCGTTTACGAACCTCCCCCATACAGATCCGTTGCTCGCCTGGCTGGCGCAATATGCCGCATATGCCCTTCACAAGCTCTCATGTACCGCGCTCTATAGACTGCTAGGCGAACTACCGGATCTCGCTTCACGCGTGATTGCCCGGGTCGCAGCGGCCTCGCAACCGCCATGGATACAGGACGAAAGACGGCAAGGACCGCTGAGAAATAAACTGTTTTATCAGTAATACCAATTGGCCGTACCATATGCAATATTCTTGAAGAGACACACCGCCGATTGCTAATATCGGATCTTTAGAATAAGAGGCCAAGACCTCATTCATCCCTGACCTTTTACATTCTACCGAGCCAGTACAGCCATTGCATTATAAATTAACCAAGATATCACCGACTTAGGCTAAACAACAACAGCGTCAAGCCGCCGAGGCCCGGGATGGAGGCGTAGATGGCGAGATACCAGCCAGTCATACGATAAGCGACTGATCTCTCGTTATCTCCAGTCGCAAGGTGGACTCATCCTAATTCCATCAATGAGAAGGCTCCCCCAGAGCGTGGCTGGAATCAGTCCAATGGTTCCCCGCAGGGAAGATACTCAAAGAGCAATAGTTAACCAGCATGGCTTTGTTCCTCTCCACAATCCCCGCTGGAAAATACCCGCATTCGAAAGGAAATGCGGGGTTCCCCCAGTCATATCCCAGTTATAATGGGGCATACATACCCCGGAATATAACAAACCCAAGCAAAGGCTTTGCAGGGTTTTGTATAGTGGTGAAGACAAGATGAACCCCAAGCTCTACCAGTTCCTGGTCGCGCTGTTCGCCGCGTTCGGCTCGTTCCTGTACGGGTACGACCTGGGCGTGATCGCGTCAGTGGTGGCCTCGGACTCGTTCGTCGACAAGTTCGTCGACAAGCACAGCGCCGTGTCGGGCACGGTGGTCGCCCTGTTCACGGCGGGAGCCTTCTTCGGCGCCTTCGGGGCGGGCTATACCGATCCGCTTGGGCGCCGGAAGACGCTGGCGCTTGGGTCGGTGTTGTTCATCGTCGGTGGAGCACTACAGACAGGAGCCGTGGATATCGGCATGCTCTACTTTGCGCGACTGCTGGCAGGGTTTGGCATCGGTATTCTCGTCGAGACCGTGCCCATGTTCCAGGCTGAGATCGCCCATGCCAGTATCCGTGGTATCCTGGGCTCGTTGCAGCAGACCATGCTGGGGATTGGCTCCTTGGCGGCCTCGTGGATCGGGTATGGTTGTGAATACCACTGGGCCAACACGGGAGACAGCATTCAATGGAGATTGCCGTAAGACATTGCCTGGAATGGAAGTAAATTGATTGTTGTTGATATTGGTAGGCTTGCGCTGCAACTCGTCCCTGCCATCGGTCTCGCATCCTGCATCTTCTTCTTCCCCGAATCGCCTCGCTGGCTGATCGATCACGACCGCCACGAGGAAGGCCTGCGCAACCTTGCGACGCTACATGCCAACGGCGTCGTCAACGATGCGTACGTGCTGGCCGAGTACGAGATCATCAAGCGGCAGATCGAGGAGGAGCACACCTACGGCGCCAAGTCGTACAAGGAGCTATTCGCCAACCGCTCCAACACACGACGAATCGTGATTGCCTGTGCCTGTCAAGCTTCTGCTCAGATGTAATTCTTCGCTGAAACACGGGTCTTGTGAAGCATCTGGCATGTTAACCTTCCTTTAGGACCGGCGTTTCCGCCATCCAATACTTCTCGCCCGCCATCTTCGCGCAGATCGGCATCTCCACGTCGCGCACCCTGCTGTACCAGGGGATCAACTCCATCATCGGCGAGCTGGCGCAGTTCATCTTCTTCTTCCTCATCGACCGCGTGGGACGTCGTCCCCTCCAGATCGGCGGGAATATCATGTGCGGCGTCGCGTTTCTGATCGGCGCAGCCTTGATGGCCAAGTATCCGACCAGCTCGGCCAACGATTCGGCGCACTGGGCGTTCATCGTGTCGAGTACCTGGCTGTTCAACTTTTGCTTCTGCGCTTCGGGCACCATGTCGTGGATTATCCCCGCCGAGATCTTCAACACGGCCACTCGTGCAAAGGGCATCTCCCTGTCGACAATGGTCAGCTTTGCCTTCAACACGATGATTGCGGAGGTCACACCTATCGCCCTCGACCGGATCGGCTGGCGCTACTATATTCTTTTCATTGTGTGTGATTTCGGAAACGCCCTGTTCTTCTACCTCTTCCTGCCGGAGACAAAGGGCATCACCCTCGAGGTCATGAACGATCTGTTTGAGAATTCCCCGCTCCTCGTCCCGGGCAGTCACTGGGAGCCTAGACCGGAGAACGACGTCGACCAGGTCAAGGAGACCAAGATGATTCTGCAGGCGGCTCATGTGGAGGAGGCATAGTAGTCAAGGAGTAGCAGTTCACGCAGTTGTCTGAATTATCCACTATTCTAATAAATTCCCGACCTTCATAGGCGGAAGTACAGTAAAAGGCAACCTCGGGGCAATATACTCTGGAGCCCAATGCACGATTCCATACCGTAGCCAGGCCGCGTACGTCCCCGGCACGATGTCAGAGCCAGGCTGATCGCGCCATAGCGAACCGAGCGTCGCCTTGTGAACTCGTAGAATCAGGCCATGGGCAAGCTTGAACCCGAAGCTGCGGGATAGGCAGCCTTCGACGATAGCGCGGGCCTGTCGTTGCTCGTTGGATTCTTCTCCTTGCTCTTCCGGCATGCGTAACGACATGAGATCGAACGCCTTTTGCCCGTCCCAGTCCGTGAGCTGGTTGATCAGTTGCGATCCCTCCATGAACTCGATCGCGTAGACATGTTCCGCTACGTAGGTCGGACCGTCCCATCCCTCCGCGGCGTCGACCAAGCCCATCACCAGCGTCATCGCCTGGCCCTGGATGATGTAGTCTGTGAGCAGACGGCTTGTCTCTTCTGCATCGATGACCGTTCCGTCGTCTTCGGTGATGGTGAACGCCCCGCCCATCAGGGGCAGCTCTCTTAACAACGGAGAAGCGTGCATCCCTTCGGTGCTGGTCTTGCCGCCGTCAGCCGCCCATAGAGCGAGAAGAAGTTGATGCGACCGCGCGAATAAAGCATTTTCGGGCATCGCGCACAGGAAATAATTCGTCAGCGACCGCTCCTCTACCCCCCCCGTGTTGTACGTGAGGATCTCGTAGGGAGATGACCGATCCGCCACCGTCTGGCTCCATAGCCGGTCGAGATCGCCAATCTGCATCATCCCCACGTCGGCGTAGACGCCGCCGTAGCGCAGCAGCAGCGGCCACCGCACCAGATCCGAGGTGTGTTGTAGACCGTACGTGCCGGTGATGGTTCCCTCTGCGAACGCGCGCGGGAACAGGCTCGGATCGGCGGGATCGAGAAACTGCGAGATGTTGCTCTTTGAATCGGGCTGTCGGTCAATCACGCGCACCGTCCACCCATGCTTGCTGAACCGGCGGTGCCAGGCCCGCACGTTGCGTTGGCTGTATGGGTGCATGTGTGTGTAGCCTGAGTGCCAGAAGAACCAGATGTTCTTAACCCCTGTCACCGGAGGTGGGTTCTGCAGCTCAACGTCGATCTCGGCATCGGGGCGGAGATCAAGAAGATCGGAGGGGATGACCTTCACCCCAGAGGGGACAGGGTATTCCATGACAGTATTAGTAGCAGGAGTAGCAGGAGTAGCAGTGGAAGTAGCGGTAGCAGAAGTAGAAGCAGTCAGCATTGATGGTTGAATTGGTTCAATTGAATTGTCTGTTCGAATCATTCGCACGAGGTACAACGTATTTATAGCTACCTAGGCCCTGGTTATATGCATTAACGCCCAGACGACACAACCAATCATAATGTCTAATTATGAGTAATAGTGACTCGCGAATCGCATCTCGTACCTGAATGAGTCCGGATCCACCATCATCCACATTCATGTCTTATCACTTATCAATAAAGGAGACAAATCCTTCAGAGTCCTTCAGCTCGAGGATCATTCTTACCCCTATTTGATCAAAAGGCAATCCGTCTGCGATTGTGAAGGACATCTGCCATGCAATTCTGCACATTGTCGAAGCGCATATACGCACACGAGCCACTCTCAAGATGGTTGCACAGGGCCGCGAGAGTGGAGAACTCCTTCCCGCAGGCCCCCCGACGGTTCGGACAATGGTACACGTTTTGCTTGTGCGTGGGTGAGGTGAGGTGCTGGTTGAGCGAGCTACGAGCGTTGAACTCGCGGTGACACAGATAGCATTCCCACGCGTTGCCGTTGTATGCCATATCGCTGGCCGAATATTCCACCTCCCCATGCCACTCGATCTGGCGGATGGTGATGGCGCCGTTCGTGTCGAGCTGACGAATCATCTGCAGCAGGGTTTCGCGGTTGATATGCTGCGCCCTGGGACACGCCCCTCTCTCAAGGTGATGGCTGAGACCACTCGCAGTGGTGTAGCCGGCCTTGCAGAAGGGACAGTTGATACTGGTGCCACGGTGGACCTTTGAATTGAGGTGCTACTCGATAGAAAATAAGTAAGTTGAAAGAAGAGAGAGAGCTGTTTCCATAATTGAAAGAATACCATTTTCAGATTATTGGCATTGTCAAACCGTCTGTCGCACGCGCTGCAGTAGTTTTTGTAATGGCCTGCGTGCCTCATGTGCTGATCTGCCTGCGCCTGGGTGTGCCACATGGTCGAGCACGTCTCACACGGCACTGTGGGCCTCCAGTGATTCAACGCGTTCATGTGCTGGTTGGCTGCATTCTGCGTGGGGAAATCTCGAGAGCATGTCTCACAGTCGTAGCGGGGGGCCCAGTGGTTGAGGTCGTTCATGTGTTGCTGGCTCGCCCGGTGGCTGCGGAACAGTTTATTGCAGGTCTGGCACTCGGACCAGTGGCCATAGTCGTTCATGTAGTCATCGCAGTATTCCTGATAATAGAAGCTCGCATCGCAGCTAGCACATTCGTACATAATGAAATATGACGCCGATTCAAATGTGTGTGGGAGGGAGAGAGAGAGAGAAGAAGGGAGAGGAGAAACGGTGAGGGGAAGAGGGGAGTAGTTGAAGGCCTGAGGCAGCAAGAGTTTTTACAACAGTCAGTGTCAAAATAGCCACTTTAGAAGATACAAGCTTGATATTGATTATGGTTTTGTTTACTATTGACAGCTTTGATTATCTTGATTTATTGCCTGCCAATCAATTTGAACTATAAATAAATAAACCAGGGATGACTATTAGTGGCTCTGATGTCATACTTATCTATTTCCCAGGGTACAATTCTTCATTAATAGTTTATAAGGTATTGATTGATATAGCTAACGCCATTGACTCTATGGATAAGAATGACACATAATGTCTCTAATTGTTACCATGCCAGAACACCGCCCGGAGCAGCTTTGCTCGCTAGACACTCGAGATCCGCACACACTGCAGATAAGTTAGTTTATCGGGTTAAATCCCATTCAATAAGACTTACACTTCTCCGCCTGCGCGAACCGTTCATGGCCTCTCTGTTCCTGCTTCGTCGGGTGGACCTGTCGGCCGAGTGTTTCTTCCAGCTGGCGGTGCATCTTGAGCCGGATCTTGACCTCGTGTTCGAGTTCGACGATCGAGTCGGAGATTTGTGTTTCTTGCGTCGTCGCGTTGATTCTCTCTTTCAACAGCGTCAAAACCCTTTCCGCTGTTTTTTGCTTGCCTTTCTCTTTGGCGTACACATCGCACCGTACCCTTGTCTCGCCATTCTCTTGGGGCCAGGCAGAAACGGTATACCACATCGACGTATCAAGAGCATACACGGATGAAGACGGGAAAAAGAAATGGACCTTCTTCGCAGTAGACCACCACGACGGTCGAACGCAGAGATCAGGGATTCCTTCTGAGTTAGCCATGTAAAGAGAGTAAGTAGATAGTGAAGTATTCTTACCCTTCCAGTCAAGTCTGGTCTCGATAGAACAGCCACCCATCCAAAGAGAATCAGCCGCAAGGTTGACAACCGGACTGTCCTCCCATTCCATCGGCGGTTGAGTACTCGCACTCAAGTTGATGAAAACCATCCCATTGGAAAGAACCTTTGTGTGGATCGGGAACAGCCCGTTTTCCCGCCTGTCGAAAGACGCAACATTCTCGAAATGCGGCGCTTTGATCAGTTGGCCGGCTGTATTGTAGCTCCAGCCGTGATACCGACACCGAAGCACGGGCGCACATCCGTTTTCCTTGCTGGTAATGCGGTATGCTCTATGTCGACAGACGTTATGGAACGCCTGGATTGCCCCCTGCTTGTCTCGAATAATAAAGAAGGACAGGTCGGCGATGGAGAGGGTGTAATAGTCGCCTGTGGTTTGGAAGTGCGAGACGTGACAGATGTACAGCCATTCCTGGGATCGGAGATCAATAAAAAAAGAAAGAAAGAAAGAAAAGACTTTCATTGAATATATCCACCTTGCTGAATATTGCTCGTCGTTCGAGTTGGTAGTCGGGGTTTACTTTGCGAGAGGTTCGAGTGGGAGGTTTGGGAGGTTTCGAACACAACTTCCAGTAAAGACAGAAGAAAACGGGTATAAGAAGGCAGAACACCAACTCATACATCTTGCAAAATTGAAAAGTCTTGACAGAATCACACGTTGATCATAGTTTCTATCTACCAGTCGGTTATATGCATCGGATTATAAGATGTGCTATAGGTATACCCTTATCAGTATGGACAACAATACTCGATTAGGCAAAACCATCCATAATCAATTGCGCAAGTTTTTGAATCCTTCCATCACCATCTCAAACACTCTTTCCTGGTAATCTGTGCGTTGGTTAGCGTGCGACAAATCATATGTAGAAAGAGGAAAAAGAAAAGAAAAGAAAAAAGAGAGCGTACAGATTACACCATTCTCTCTCTCCGGGTGCAGAATCCCCTCCGAGTATACCCCGCGCTGCAGGTTCTCCTGCGCGCTCTCACACAGCTCATAATCTTCCAACGCCACTTGTCTGACGAATTTGAAGTATTTGTTAAAGGCCTCCCCGTCCTCACGATGATAATAGTCGAATTCCATCCGCGTCACCCCCGGGCTAACCGGACACACGCGGAAACAACTCATCCCCCCGCCGTACAGGTTCAGCGTGCAGATGGGAAAGAAGAAGAGAAATAGCCCGTCGTCTGGCTTGGAAGGGTCGGTAACGTGTTTGCAGTAGTTTTTGTAATTCGTTACCTGGTAGGAGGTGGATGGGTACAGTACCGAGAAGGAAGGGTGGGTGTATGCGCAGTGCAGACATTCCTGATAACCATCGACCCTAATACTTAGCGGGAACAGAACGGAATCTTAGTATCGTTCATTCTTCGTCTTACATGGCCTTCCAGTTGAACTTCCCGTCGTATGATATCCCATGACGGTACGGCAGCTTGAACTGCACCGAGGCCAACAGATCCTCCAGACCAGGGAAATACTCGTCGAAGGAGGGAGCCTCATCGGTGACGGTGGAAAACAACAGCCCCGTCTTGGTAATATGGTGCTTCACCGGCTTCTTGGTTTTTGGGTCCACCACCGTGACGAGTCCATCCTTCTTGCGGGCTTCGATCTCGTATTGCGCGATCTCGTAGACCACAGGCTCATCGGAGAATTTCACCAGGGGACCAAGCAGATACCACGCCTATTGATTTATATATTTCCTTAGACAGACATACAGAACCTCTGCAGCGATTGATAAATACCTTTGCAAAAACCGAGCGCTGCTCCAGTTGGTACAGAGGAGAGCTGCGGTACCAGCTGGCAGGGAGAGTGCGGAGAGCCATGGTGGCGATAGTATAGGATAGAAGGTTTGCGGGTCATTGTATCCTGAATGAGGATTAAGTAGTAGTTCATCTTGTAGCAGTTTCTGCTGAGGAATACCTAAATAGGCCATCGAGTCCTGCCGCAGAGCGTAACCAGTCCTATTTGTGGTGACGTATTATTATTTAGCCTCGTTTCGATAGCGAAAGATCATGTGACGGAGCTTGCCCAGGACGGAAGGAGGGGACTTCCCCTCTTTTCCCAGGGGAAACAACTTGAAACTGTTTCTTATCTTACGGACTGTTGCACACCACTCGCTCTCTCCGAAAGGATGGGAGTTGGATCTCTACAGCTCGTATTGCCGGCGCCATGGCCAATGGCAATGTCGAATTTATTCATCCCTGCTCTATTAGTGAACGCCCAGTCATATGGCAGGGCTGGCAGCACAACTCGAGACGGTTCGTTCTTGCACTGCCCCTTTCTTTTTTTCCAGTTTGGTTTAGGTTGGTTTTTATTATTTTTCCTAACAAAACAGGTTATGGCATAGTCTCTGGAAGTTGAAGCAGCACCAAAATCTAGCGATGTCACCCAGACGATACCTGGCTTAGCCCGCGCTACGGCGGGGGAGAAGGAGCCCGGTGAACTAGAGATGACACTCGACGGTGCGGTTTGTGCCATATTGTCAACCTCTACTCCTACCAGTGATACGCCGAGGGATTTGATAGTCGTGAAAAGCGCGGGAACGTGTCGGGAAGTACACATTTCCGTTTGGAACCCTCACCTGGAACGAGGGAAGAAGAAACTCGTTTTTCGACGCTTTGAACCTGTTTTGGTTGCAGAGATTGTCGTGACCAAATACCCCTTTCCAGGAGTTTTGTGCAAACCGAGCCGAATGTGTTGATAATGATGTTGGGAATGCTCTCGAGCTGGGCATCTCCGATGCAGCTCTGTCTGCCAGACTCGCAGACACCAATATCCACCGGTCCGTACTGAGACCCGGATAGGAAATGCTACCCTATCGCTACGACGGCTGGAGGATACTGCGCGGATACTGCGATGACGTCCAATGGAGGCAGGCGTCTGCCATATCGATGAGGGCCTCGTTGCAAGATAACGACCGGATTCTATTGCTCTTAGACAACAACGATGAACACAGGACAATAGTGTGTATATTGGTGATGTGTTCGAGTTGCCTTTACCAAAAAGAATGATCTCTGGAGTCAGGATGTCATTATGAATATACAGTAAATAAGTCAATTCTACAGTACAGTATACTACAACTACAACTTCAACTACTATCCTTAGCTTACAGTCATACGACCAGCGAATACCAATTGAATGATTACTCTAATACTACTCTGTTATGTATCATTCCCGAGGATAAGAAGATATCTAACCGACCGCACAATCTACTCCGGACATAAATAGTATACGATCCCCAGACTCAGGAATGTTTATCTTCTCATCTCCACCTCATCCACTATTCTTCATAACAGCGCCCTGGAAATAGTGAGCAAACAGTATACATGGTTATACATTGACCATTCTGCAATTTTGAAAATCATAATCATTCTTTTGACAGACCTTCATGCAGGATGACCAAGAACTGGCCCGGCTGGGCAAGAAACAAGCGCTGACGCGCCGCTTCGGCTTCTGGTCGCTGTTTGGATTCGCCGTGTGCGAGCTGATAACATGGGAGACGGTGCTGGCGCTGTTCAGCGAAGCCCTCTACAACGGCGGCCCCAGCGGAATGGTGTACGGCTTCGTGCTGGCGTGGGCGTCAACCCTGTCCGTGTACACGGTGATCAGCGAGCTGGCGTCGCTGGCGCCCATTGCCGCCGGACAGTACTACTGGGCGTATATCTTGTCGCCGGCGAGGGCACGCGTGTTTGTGAGCTACCTGATCGGCTGGTTGACTTCTCTGGCGTGGATTGCGACGGTGGCGACCGAGTCGTTGTTTGCGGGCACCATGCTGCAGGGCCTGCTGGTGCTGAGCTACGACTCGTACGTGCCGACGGACTGGCAGGCGACGCTGCTGACCTGGATGGTGATTATGGTGTCGGTGTTTATCAACACGGTGATTCCGACGTGGCTGCCCCGGCTGGAGATCGCGACGGTGGTGTTTCACCTGGCCGGGTTTGTCGCCGTGCTGGCCACGCTGTGGGTGTGTACGCCCTCGCACCGCGACGCGAGCTGGGTGTTTACCGCGAGCAGGAACGGCGGCGGCTGGTCGTCCCTCGGGATAAGTTATTGTGTCGGCTTCATGGGCAACGTGGCGACCTTTGTCGGCGCCGACGCCAGCGTCCATCTCGCCGAGGAGGTCTCGCACCCGGCGGAGACCATTCCGCGCGTCATCACGGCGAGTATGCTGCTCAACGGCGTCGTCGGGTTCGTCATGGTGCTCGCCGTGGCGTTCTGCCTCAGCGCTGATGTCTCCGCCGTGCTCGACTCCTCGACGGGGTTCCCATTCCTGCAGGTGTTTGCCGACTCGCTTCCCGCCTCGCGCGCGGGCGCCGTTGTTCTCGGCGCCGTGGTGCTGCTGCTCACCTGGGCGTGTGCCAACGGGATCACCACGTCGGCGTCGCGCATGACCTGGGCGTTTGCCCGCGACAGTGGCGTCCCCTTTGCGCAGTATATCCGTCGCGTGCATCCGCGCCACCACATCCCCATCATCGCCGTCGGCGTCGTCGCCACCTTTGCCTGTCTGCTGTCGTTGATCTACATCGGCTCCCCGACGGTGTTCAACGACGTCATCTCTTTGACTGTCGCGGGCTTCTACGGCTCGTATCTCGTTCCCGCGGCGTTACTCCTGTACCATCGCGTGCGGGGGAACATCCTCCCGCACAATGCTGTTGTCGAAGCAGTCGACGTTCCAGACACAGTCACCCCTAAGAAGGAAGAACAGACAACAGTAGGCTTGGAAAACACTGCTCAAGAGACAGAGGAAGAGACAGCAGGACCAAATGAAGGCTCCAATCTCATCGCGTACGCCCCCGGCCAGCTGTACTGGGGCCCCTGGCACCTGCCGGGCATCTGGGGCACGCTCAACAACGCCTATGCGTGCGCGTACATGGTGTTTGTGATCTTCTGGTCCGCCTGGCCGGTCGCCACGCCCGTCAGCCCCGCGACCATGAACTACGGCATGCTGGTCACCGTGTCGGTTCTTCTCTTCAGTCTGGTGTGGTATGTTTTCCGGGGGAGACGGTATTACCGTGGGCCGTTGGTTGAGAGGGAAGTTCTCGCCGATGCGGGGGTGGTATAGTCGGAGCATAAGTCTCCTCATGTGGTATGATGGTTATGATATAATTCATTTACCTAATGAAATCTCCTCGGCAGTTCTCAGCCAAGGCCGGCATCCCGAGACTTTATTCATCCAGGCCGATCCAAGTAGAATCCTCGAAGTATCCTTCAACCTACAGTATTCTTACAAGGATTACTACAATATGATCAACATAGAATATATTCTATATGGCCCTCCATTTGATGATAATCATCAGGAGTGACCATACTGATGTATAAGTACAGTCGTACAACCACTCGCGTCGGCTCGCGTCGGCTCGGCTAGAAAACGGGAAAAACGCATTTCCCGGGGCCCCAGCATGCTCCGTACCCCGTGTTCCCCGGATATAAGAGGTACGGATAGTCGATCCTGGATCGGAATTGACTCTTGAGTCATAGTTTTTCCATCTCTCATCTCATCTTTCACCTATTCATCGTCATGGGCGGCTTCCGTGCAGTCGAGGACCGGCCTACCCCGCCAGAGGTCTACAATTGGCGGCTGTACACCGAGGCGGCGGTGATTGCTACCGGATCATTACTGTAAGAATTTTTCATATGGTCTAGTATGCAGTATCTAATTGTCAGATTCGGCTATGATTCCGCCTTTTTGGGCACGACAATCGACCGGGCGAGTTTCGAACGCGACTTTGGCATCACGACGGCCACGGCATCGAGTATCTCGAGTAACATCACCTCTGCCTTCCAGGCGGGTGCATTTTTCGGCGCCCTGTTCTGTTTTTTTAGTAACCCTCTCTCTCCCTTGAACATAAAAGTGAACTCTTCTAACCAAACCACCAGTCACTGAGAAAGTCGGCCGCAAGTGGGCGTTGCAGATCAACGTGGGTGTTTTCCTGATTGGCGCCCTTCTCATGACGGTAGCCACCAACCAGTTATCGATGATATGTGAGTACAGAAACCCGAGTAACGATAGAAAGATGTATAGCTAAAAGGATCCGTGGTTAGACGCAGGAAGAGTCCTCAGTGGCCTGGGCTGCGGTGCCATCACCGCCACCGTCCCCAGCTACATCGCCGAACTGTCGATCCCCTCCATCCGCGGCATCTTGACCGGTCTCTTCGAAGTGACGTACCAGATCGGCTCCCTGGTGGGATTCTGGATCAACTACGGCATCACGCAGAACATCTCCTCCGAAGTCGACGCCAGCTGGCGCATCCCGATGGCCGTGCAGCTTATTCCCGGTGGACTCTTGTTTCTGGGGGGATTCTGGCTGCACGAATCTCCGCTCTGGCTCATGCGTAAGGACCGTCAGAAGGACGCCTGTCGTGTGCTTCAGGATCTGCGTCGTCTACCGGTCGACCATCCCTACATGCAGCAGGAGCTGAACATGATCCAGTCCCGGCTCGACGAGGAGGCTGCCATTGCGGACGCGTATGGCTCCAGGGGATGGTGGGCGTACATGCGTGGCGCGATTCATGAGTTCTCGCGCCCGGGCATGCGCAATCGTATTGTTCTCGTTGTGTGTGCGTTCACACTGAATAACATGTCTGGTGCGGCCGCCATCAACTATTACTCGCCCACTTTGTTCAAGTCATTGGGCATCTCCAATGTCAATCTCTATACAGGCATCTACGGGACTGTCAAGGGTACGTTTATACTCGATATACTCTTCTAAATGCATACTAATCGATCAGCCGTCGCAAGTATCATCTATTACGTCTTTCTCATCGACGTCGTCGGTCGTCGAAACCCCGTTCTCGTCTCGTCACTCGTCTGCTCGCTGTGTCTGTGGTATGTCGGCGCATACGTCAAAGTAGGACATCCTGCCACCGTCATTGACGCTGGCGATTCTCTTTCTCCTTCCACGGCGGCGGGGGGGAAAGCGGCGACTGCCATGATTATGATCTACGCTATTTTGTAAGCCTATCTGCCCTTCATCACAGACAATTACTAATAGTTTAGCTGGTCGTTCGGTCTCAATGGTATCCCGTGGATTGTCTCTGCTGAGATCTTCCCTGGTGCGTTGAGGAATTTATCAGGGACATTCGCTGCTCTGGTTCAATGGTAGGTTTTATTGTCTTCTATTCATTTGAATATTTATCTACGGCCAAGTACTGATTGACAGGGTCATGCAATTCACCATCACCAAGGCGCTGCCGTATATCTTCGCATCCTGTGGATACGGCACCTGGTTCTTCTTCGCGACGTGGATGTTTCTGGCCACCATCTGGACGTATTTCTGGCTACCAGAGACCAAGGGCTTGACCATTGACCAGATTGATGTTATTTTGTAAGTGAATAGTTTTGTCTGTCTTCATACTTGTCTTGATACTAATTGAACAGTGGATATGCACACGATAGACCAGTACAAGCGGAGGAAAAGGAGTCCACATCTGAGCATGAAGAAGCTGCCTGATCCGAGTCTACTTTGTATTTATATGTAGTATAACCACAATCTTTGGATATTTGCATTTGAACCGTTATATTAGGGATGACATGTACTTAGTAGGAGTAAACAATTAAGAGCTAGAATCCTATTGAAGCAGAAATGTCTGGTTCCTATGTATTCGATATATCCTAGATTCTTCATTAAGTAATTTCTTATGATTCTAGATAATTCCTTGGTGTTTCATCAATCAACTTGCTTCATTACTCGCGGTATCTCCAGCAGTAATAAGATAATACGCAGAAATTGAATATTCACTATTGCTATGAGAATAGGTCTGGTTCATTACCTAAATGACTAGTCTATGTAGTAAATGTAGTTCACGCTATATTACAATCGTCTATAAATGGTATTTCGCCTCCTCGTCTGGCTTGACGTTCATCCGATCCCACATTCCCTCCACGTTCATATCAAGGCTGCCACTAGACGATGTTAGAGAATTTCTAGAATTGAATGGGAAAACAATATTGAAATACTCACTCATGTCTCTCACGGATCATCGGCTCAGTCTGTCCGGCAGCAGGGTCGGGGTTGCGGAAGACAATGTTGTATTTCTACTACGTTAGAAAACAAACACAAGAATAAAACCCAGAACAAAATAAGAGGGCTTACCAATCCCAAAGTGATGTGAATTCCAGCCGCACCAGGCTTCTCGGTCTCGGCGTCGGCAGCACGTCCCTCGATAAGGGCCTGGATGTTGCGAGCCACGACGGCGGCCTGACCAGCACCCGGGCGCGCCGCCTTACGGGCTCCCGTGTCTGCGACGTCTCCCACGGCAAAGATCTCGGGGTACCGGTCATCGGCGACCTGCAGGGTGGGCTTGATGCGGATGAACCCGTTGGCAGGGTTGATCAGCTCGGCGCCGCCGGGCAGACTCTGGATGAGACCCGTGTTGGGGGTTTGGCCGGTGGCCAGGACGACAAAGTCGGTGGACACGCTGGTTCCGTTGGTGAGCTGCACGTCGAAGGGGCCTGACTTGGGGAATCCCTCGGGGGGGACGACCAGTCGGGCGCCAGTAACAAGCCTAAACATATTAGCACAACGACACATAACGACATTGAAAAAAAGTAAGCTTAAACATACTTCACTCCTAAATCCTGGAATCGCTTGGAGACAAATTCGTGGAACTGCTTGTGGAACTGCGGCATGAGATGCGGCCGCGACTGGACGACCGTAATCTCCTTGTCGGGGTAGTATTCAGCCAGATCGGTGGCCATCTGCACGCCGACGGCACCACCGCCAGCAATGAGAATCGATTTCGCGTTCTTGATGTCCGCCTGGTGCCGCTGCAGGTACGCCACCGAGGAGGCCTTGTCGTCGTCCTTCATGCCCGCGGGCTCGGCCAGACGCGTCCCCGTGGCGAGAGCCAGGTATTCAAACGAGATCTGGCGGGATCCCTGCCATTCCCGGTCGAGCGTGAGCGTCTTGTTCTCGTGCACGGAGACGACGCGTGCAGTCACCACGGAGTGAGCGGTCGGGTTGGGCACGGCCGCGAAGAGGCCCGAGTAGGGGATGAACGCTTTGTGTTCGTGGCCGGGAACGATGGCAAATCGGGGCTTCACAGCATATTAGTATCCTATTTATTCATCTTGGATTCTGATTCTTACAAAAGTAAAAAGATGGTGGAAGTGTGTGTGCGGTTCAATCAGGAGGACCTGTTTTATTACTTAGTCCGCGATTCTCTTCAACACTTATCGTTCAACATACTCTGTGCGTCGTGGGAATCACCCGGGCGATTTCCTGTGCGGTGGTCTACTCCTCAGTTAATTATTGTCAAATAGAGGAATCAAATCAACTACTCACTCGTCCGACAAAAGAGCCTCCGACAACAATGACGTTCTTGAGTGAGCTGGCCATGACTTCGTTGTCGTGTTTGTGTTCGAGGGAAAAGTACAGATAGATCAGGTACGTAAGGGGAATCAGGAGAAGAGATTTGACAGACAGAGGCATTAACCAGGGGAAGAAGAGAAGAAGAAGAGAAGAAGAAGGGATCAGGAGTCTAATAATAATAACGAGAAACTCCCCGCTTACAACAACTCGGCCTGTTATTATCTGATCGGACTCGGCTTTTTGACGGCCTGCCCGTCTGGGACACTTATCTCCGGCCGATCCAGTCCGATTGGACAGAGTCGCTGCTGCTGGTTGGCTGCGGCAAAGACCAGAGCCGTGTAAATCCGATCCGGCTGGCGTGATCGGACGGGATTGCCTTGTTGGTGACCGCAGGGGAGACGCTAACCGATTTAAAGTAGGCGGGGTAAAAGCAGTTCCTACATCGGACGGAGTGTCCGTACAGAGTACGGAGTATACTACATAGTCTAGGTACCTAAGTTATCATTTACCTTGGGTAGTCTCCGTATCGGCACTTAGTATACGAAGATGCTAGGAGAACGATAAAGAGCCAATCTGTGCAAGTGTCTAGGTGCGTAGTTCTCATCGCATTAGTAGATCGATGAACAAGTACTTATACAGGTACTCAGGTACCTGCAGGTAGTTATTACCTAGGTAGTACCAGTAACCAATACATAAGTACTATTGGAAGTTACTCCGAGTACTCCGTATAAGGTACCTATTAACTAAGGTATTCCGTACTACTCCGTACATACTCGTCGAGACTGCTCAACAGAAACGAAACGACACGCTAACCGGCTATGGAGTAAGTCTTCATGTGACCTTCACGTGACAGAATCTCTGCCTCAGGCTCCATAGAGAATACAGCCTCGTCATGGAATGCAGAATGCACCCAGGACTAACCAGCTAGAATGAGGCTGTTTCTCATCCGACACGGCGAGACAGTCGCTATTGTGACTAGAGTTTTGTACTTTGATCACTCCCCTCTCTTTCTCTCCCCCCCCTCTCTCCTGTTTGCTTCCGACCAAGCTAACATTAAACTTCCCCCAGGGCTGGTTCAACCGACACGCCCCTGACGAACCACGGCGTCGAGCAGATCAAACGGCTAGGCGAACACTTCGACTCGCACGGCATCTACTTCACTCACGTCTTCTCATCGGATCTGACACGAGCCAGACTCACCGCCGAGGGTGCCTGTAGGGGTCCATCAGGATCAAGCCCACCGTCCCCCGTGTTGACGGCAGACCTGCGGGAACGAGACTTTGGCGCGTTGGAAGATACACCATGGGCCGCTACATCAGAAAGCAAATCCGATCCATCGGCGGATGAACAACTGCCAGAGTCAGACGCGGCGATGAACCGCCGTGCAAACGCGTTTCTCGCCGACCGTCTCCTACCACTGTTACTGTTCGACGGGCAGCATGAGACAGACGTCGTGGCTGTGGTGGCTCACGGTGTCATCCTGCGTGTCTTGTGGGCATGTCTCGTCGCTCTGTTCGAGCCGGACGCGGTACACGTACCCCGCCTTGACGACCCCTTTAAGCCGGTCTGGTCGAATACTGGCTTTCTGGAGGTCAAGATTCGACAGTCGCCAGGGCAAACACAAACCACCAGCCGGGTCCTCACGCACTGGACGATGGACGTCGTAGAGATGGACAGCAAAGCTCATCTGGCAGATCTGCATCGGACGCGAGGCGGAATCGGCAGCGCGGCTTTTGATAAGCGACAACGCAGAATCGACCAGTTCTTCTGAAGGAAATTGCTTAATTTACACTGTCAACAGCTGACGACTGGAAACACAGTCTACAAGCACAGACAGGGTCACATCGCCAATCAATGCATACCTTTTGAATAATATTAAACACTCTGACAACCTTACGGAGAAGTGCCATGTAATTACTGACAGGTCGACCCATGGAATCGAACATCTCATGGTCCAGCCCATGGAAGCACCCGTCCGTCTATTAAACAACTTGCAAGACATCTTTCATATTTGTTTCGCCATTGGTCCTCTTAATGATGAATTATTCATGCCTCCTTCTCCCCCCCAGAGGCGTTCCTGGCGCCATCCACTGCATCCACAGCGTCCAGACCTCTCAGGCCGAGAGCCGCGTCAGCAAAACACCGCCCCGCCAAGGGAAGACTTTTCGTCATCGGCGCACGCAAAGACTTGAGTATGATTGACTCCGATTGAGTACGTTTATTGACGATCTTAGAAATTATTTTCTTATTTTCTAATTTTTTTCTTCTAGAGGTTGCCAAGATGGCAGTTGTGTGTGGCAGCCCTCGGCACCATTGACTATTGTTGTTAGTGAGTTAGTACGGAGTAATACTCGTATTATAGGCCGGCATTATTCTGTGACCCCTGAACTCCTACGAAGTCTATTCAAGAATTGGTTAGTGAACTAATATGTAGTATTCAAGTAGTAACTATTCAAGCGATGATTGCATATTCTCTACGGAGTTGACTGACCGACTTATTGAGCCACGATCGTTGGACTGCGCATACGGATCCGGCACCACTTTCAGAATCTAGACCTCGCACAGGCTGTCAGATGGAGACTGATGAGCTTATGGCCTTTGCATAAGAATAATAATGCTTCCTACGTGGCCACTGGCGCCACGCCGGGGCCTGGCAGGAGTCGCTGAAACGTGGAACGCGTTGGCCACGGCAGGGGGTGGATTGGCCCAAGAGCCAATCTGACTTGTGTGCCTGGCAGAAAGTCAGGTACAGCCGAATAATAATAGTCGTCTTTGTGGAAAAAATAATAAAGGTCAAAGGAGATGAATGATGAATGTCAAGTCAGGCCTTGGGAGAGGTATGAGTACGATTCTTTGTTTCACTTAGCGACCGCAAGGTACGAAATAACCGCTTTCTCTCTCTCTTTCTTTCTCTTTGGTTGACTGGTCACAGCCCTATTCCAAGATTATTTTTACTGAATATTATTAGACTCGTCGCGGCCAACAGCGAATGCGCTGTCGCCTTTCGCAGGCGTCGTCATCTCGACCCTGGTTTATGGCGCACTTAGGCGAACGACTCCACCCCCAGCGATTTGTCTCGACTGGCGAACAGTCTCTTCTCGCACGACGGAGGAGGCTAAAATAATTATAAGAGTCGATGGCGTTGCCCCCTCCCCCCTTTTAGGGCCCTATCATTGTTAGTTGCTTTATTATTATGAGCAGTGGCTTCGCTGCCAAAGTGGTTCCCGTGGGCTCTTGATTTGTTCCTTCAGTCTTTCCTTTCTGACCCCAGACGCTCATTCAAACAACAATCTTGAACAAATACATCAGAAGTATTATTTTCAACTCTCTCTCTCTCTCAATGCATCTTAGCAACTCTTTGCTGCTGGCCGCTGGCCTCGGCAGCAGCCTGGTCTCGGCCAAAGCCGGCCATGCCCACCGTCACAACCACGTCGCCCGTGGTGACTCCGAGGACAACGTCGTGACCGTCGTCAACACCGTCGTCGACCTCACCACCGTCCACATCACCGTCACCGAGACTGCCGGTGCGGTCACGACTGAGACCTCCGCCGTCCAGGAGGCCGTGGCTGTCACCGTCGAGGTTGACGACTCGTCTTCCACTTCGACCACCGCTGCTCAGACCACCTTTGCGACGAGCACTTCTTCTGTTGAGGAAGTCTCGACTTCTTCTTCTTCTTCTTCCTCTTCGTCTTCCTCTTCGTCCTCTGCTGAGGCCGAGACGACCGCCTACAGCTCCTCTGCGGCGGCAACCGCGACCGCGACCGGTTCGACCGCCTGGACCGCGACGCCCGCCAGCGGCTCCTTCTCGACCGCCGGGTTCGGTGAAAGCACCTCGTCGAGCGGATCCGGTGACACGTACATCGGTAACGTGGGCGACCCGTGGGGCAGCAACATCATCGAGGTGAGCGCCGACGTGGCCTACGAGTACCAGTACGTGGTGCGGTTCACGGGCCAGAACACCGAAGACTGGTTCGTCTCGTTCTGGAACAAGTACGGCCCTGACGGCGCCATGGACGGCTGGTACGGCTACTCGGCCCTCAACTTCACCCTCGCCGCCGGCGAGACCAAGTACGTCGCTTTCATGGCCGACTCGCAGGGCGGCTGGGGTGCCGCGGAGGGCTCCTCCCTCCCCACCGACGACTACGGCGGTTACTCCTGCACCTGGGGTGAGTTCGACTTCGGCGACACCGAGAACGACGGCTGGTCCGGCTGGGATGTTTCCGCCATCCAGGCCCAGGCCGCCGACCAGACCGTCCAGGGTATGAAGATCTGTGAGGCCGGTGCCTCCACCAGCACCTGCTCCATCATCACCACCGACGCCGACTCCGTCACCAACGCCTACCTCGAGGACGAGGAGGACGTCGATGGCATCGGTGGCTCTTGCTCCTCCACTGCCGTCCGTCTCACGGCCGTCATCGACTACGACTAAGCAAAGATCGTTTGGCTCGCAGAGATCTCTCGCCATGGTCGCTGAAATATCTCTTTCCTATCTTCCATTCGTTCCTCAATCTATTCGTCTTATCTCATTTAACTTATGAGCTATTGATCTACTGAATAGTAATTCTAGTACGGAGTACTCCGTAGCAAGTAAAAGTGGTTGTATCAAGTACTACATAAGTGTGTAGTGCAGCTCATTGCCTTTCAGGGCGTAGATCGATCGATCGATCGATCAGTGCCGATCATGTCTCGGTAGTTGTAGCTCTTATGAATTCTGATAGTCAGCATGACTGATAACTTGCTATAGTCTATTGAGTCAATGATGCAGAATTGTTAATTACTAGTTATTTACGGAGTACTCCGTAAGGTAGTATGGTTAGCCATGCATGACTGCTATGACTTGTATTTATCAACCATACTAATGATAATAGTCTATATATTTATACCACTCTACTTACCTCCTAACACACTTTACTAATATGCTGACTCAATGAACATCTTTAGTATCGGTTCTGTTGGCTTCAGACCCTCACTACCGCTTACTGCTATCTCGATTCTGTCATGACTACACGTATTTCATCTCGACTGAAAACAGTTTAGTCATGCACAGGATCCTCGGTGGATGTTCCTTAATCTCGGGTGAATCATGTCAACTGTTCACGTTCTGTCTAGGTGGGAACCTATGCCAGACTCTAGACAGTCTAGGCCAGAAACTAGATAGGAATGGTTAGTTCAGTTTACATCCTCAAAAGACAGTACAGTCAAAGACACAAGAGAGTGAGATCTGAGGCCGTATGACCGTCTCCTCTCTAGGAATTAGAACCCTTGCCAAGGTCGTCTTACAGATTCTGGTACGGTAATGCGGATTCTAGTCTACCGTACCTTCTCCACACGGCACCGTCGGCGGAGGTTGGCAAAGAAGCCCCGTGGAACTTCGTATAGAATCGCCGAGTGGAGATGCAGACGCTCCACCTTCACCTCAGTTGTGAGCTGGGCTATTGCGTCAGAGGATCGATGAATATCCCGCCAGATCGTCAGAAGACAATCTGAGCGTCATTCGGGTCATAAAGAAGAAATGGAAAGTTATGGGGGCAAGTCTCATACCCGGCAAGACCGATAACAGATGAGTTTCCCGGAATTGATATCCGCCAAGAAGACATTACCGCGGGAACCTCGGAGGATCCATTAGGTTGATCGATGAGCCCGGATGGCTGACTAGTGACTATACTCCGTACGCCGTAACCTGTTTATGCACGATTGAGGACTGGTTCAATGTGGATTGCCGATTCCGACCGGGTGAGAGTCGTTCGACGAGCTGGTCCAGGAAGCCGGCCGTTGATGTGGCGCGAGATAATGCACGGTGGGGGGTGCGACGCAACGTTTTGCATATTTAATGGATCTAGCGTGAGGCCATGCAGTCTGGAGGGTGGAAGGAGACGTACCTGGGAACTGGGAAGGACTGTTGATCTGTGTGGAAGAGAGAGTGAGAGACAACGAGGAGGAGGTTGTTTACCGCCATTTCCATCCACACGTGATGCTCTTCCGACTCGGGCCACTCGGCGACTCGCTGATTATTGCCTTTATTTATTTTTCGGAGAATTTCATAAGTTCATTATTATGGAGTAAATCTATTCATCCTTGCAGGATACGTATTTCGACAGTGGCGTGGACAGATGCCACATAATTATAACGTATTTAGCCATTTAACTGTGTATAATAGCCGACCTGAGCTTATAAATATATGAAACTTGTTGTAAATAAAGTCTAATGGAGGGGATTCGCAATGCTGAAGCTATAAATAGCCACCATAATAATATTCAAAAAAAAATAAAGGATATCTGGGAAGAGAAAGAAAAAGAGAAAGAGAGTATGAAAGAGAAAAGAAAAGAATAAGATACTATTTCGTAATGAGTGATGAATGTTCACCTTGTTAGTGCAGGAACTGCAGGGATTATTGCATGGAGGGGTAAAATCTAGATTTTCTCTGCAGCTTCAACCTCCTCTGAGTCAGGGTCTTAGGTACCAAACTTGAGTTCTGGCCACAAATCCATCAGCCCAAACTAACTATTAGTCTATCAGCTATTATTATCGGTTCGTCTCGCCGTATGATCCTGCCCACGCTTATCACGCAAATTCTCGCCTGGAACCGCCCAGCAGCTCCACCCCCGATCCACCCAGGAGGAGCATGTCAACCAGGATTCGGTTCTAGAACGAAGGAGCTACACGGGTTTTGTGTATCCCATGACGCCCCCCTGGGCCACAGAGTCACAGACAGGTCTCCATCGGACGGTATATAGTGGTTGAGCGCGGAGGAAGCTGTGGTGAGTCTTGAATTGCTGGACAGCAGCTCTCACCTCCTCGGGTTATCTCGCTGGTTTCCAGCACCCAGGTCAATTCCTACTTCAACTAATCAAACTACTCTTCTATACTATACTGCACAAATCACCGCCTGTGAAATGTCCTACTCGGTGTCTTTCGTCTCTACTCCACGCCCCCAACGACCCTCCACGCTCGCCAACAAGACCTCGCTGCACCTGCGTCTGACGGTGCTGTCGAGCGAGAAGCTCGACCACGAAAGCTCCGCTCGCGAGCCCAACCTGCGCCGCTGTCTCGGCCATGCCTCTATCCACGAAAAGTCCATGCAGATGGTCCAGCAGGACATCATGCACCACCTCCGCTCCATGGCCATGGGCGACGGTGACGACGACGCCGACGAGATCGACAGGGAGAAACGTGCGCACAGGCTTCACCGCCGCCGCTCCTCTTCTCCCACCAAACGTTCTCCTTCTCCTCCCCCCGTGATTTCCGTCGAGGGCGAAAAGACCAGTCTGCTCGACCGAGGCAGGCAGTACGTCGAGAGCCTCTTCTCCCGTCGCAGCAGCACCAACACCAATCCCCTCTGGTCGCGCTCGCGTGTCGTCACCTGTTGATCGGCGCCTTGGTTTTTTTTCTTTCTTTTCTTTTTTACCACTCTCTTCTTTTCCAACATCCACTACGACAATACTAGTTGGTACACTAGTCATCGTACCCCCGACACACAGACTCCTGGAGTGCACCACGCGGTAATCCGAACCAAACCCTCGGACACAGTCCGCGCCCACTCGTCAGGACGGGAGGAACTGCCGCAGAAAAAGGCACACAAACGGATTGAGATAGATTTTATACATAGATAGACATGATACCCTAGCGATAAAAGTTTGAGTCGATTACAATTGAGATTTTTTTTTTTACAATTTGATACCTTGATTGATATATTTTTCCCACAATCGATAGCGAATTTTGATGGTTCTTCCATCTTTTTTGTCCATGTTTTTACCTTGCCGGATACGGACATCCCGACGGATAAGCAGCAACCAATCGGATGCCGCCCTGTCGATCACATGGGTAGAAAATGGAAGGAACGGAACCGTGGAAAAGGAAGAAACCCTTGGAACTTCCAGTCTTCCACTCTACCTTAGATCTTGTGACAGGCTGGGTTTTCTGCGGGAGCGGATCAATGTCGTCCCGGATGCTATGCTCTTTCCTCTTTTGGATGGCCCGTTTCCCAAGTGGGGAGCTCAGCGTTTACCCTTAAGTTAACCTTGGGCACATAGTTACTCGGTACTCCATCAGAGAGTTGGTACCTAAGGGGGACATAGGGTCTAGATTGCCGCTGTAACTAGAAGGATAGATTACCTACTTGGTACTAACTGGTTCCCAGCATCTGCAAGATCATGTCTTGAACATCATTAAAATTCGTAACGGTGTTGCCTGCCCTCCCTATCGGTCCAGGATCGTTGAACACCGAAACTGCACGCACCGTCTTGGACACTTCCAGGATGGTCCCCCCGGCAACAGGGATGGTCAGCTTCTCCTGGTCCGTCTCGCCGACGGCCTCGCCCACCTTCTCCTGAGACACCAGGGCGAGCATCATCGTCGCCACGTCCTCGGGCAGCACCCACTCGTCCACCTGCTCGTCCAACAACGCCATCTTGTCCGGGTGTTCCAGCCAGATGGGCGTGCGGGTAATCCCCGGCGCGATCCCGACAACCCGGATCCCAAGACTGTGGTCTAGCGGGGCGAGACTCTGCACAAGGGCGCTGATGCCGTGCTTCGTGATCGAGTACAGTGGCCCAACAAACAAGGGCATGTGGCCTGCAATACTTGACACCAGCAGGATGTGCTTCTTCTTCTGCTCTTTATCCTCCGGTCGCCGGTGTTTCAGGAAGTGTGTGATCGCCATCTGGCTCATGCGGATCGGGTGAACCAGATTGATGTCCAGCGTGGCATATCGGCTGCTGGCCGTCGTGTCGGTGCTCGGTGCGCTTCCCGGTGGGAACCAGAAGGCCGAATGGTTCTTCGCACGTCAACCGAGTGAAATTTTAACAACCACCCGCGTCCTGGCATGCGACGGAGCTCACTAGAGTAACCTTTCACCTACCGGTTCAAAAATACCAGCCCCAGGGCAGACGATGCCGACCTCTCCAAATTCTTTCTCGGCAATGGTAAAAAGCTGTTCAAGTTGGCTCCAGTCGGCGACATCGGTCTTCACGAAGACTGCTTTGGGCGACGTGGTGAATGTGTCGTACACGGCCTGGGCCTCGGGGCGCAACGCAAGATCTGCGATGACTACATTACATCCGTTCTCGAGGAGAGCCTGTGCGAAACAGAGGTTAATTCCTGCTTTCGTCAATCCTTGTCTTTACTTAGAAAAAGAAACGGAAAGAAAAGATAAAATTGGAGCCCACCAGATCCTGCGCCGGTCACGATCGCGGTCTTTCCCTTGACAGATGATGCCATTATGACAGGAAAGTGAGCCAGATACGATATGTATACTGTTGAAAAATCGGTGTCAAGATACGAGATGGTATTTATAAGGCAGGAAGACGATGGGGCTGCCGTCATCCTGCTGAACCGGTGGTTCTTCGCCGCCCTCCATGTTCTCGTGAGCCACCCTGTCAGCCAGTCACCAACGCTCAATGGCCGACGCCGTCATACTTTGAAAAGTAGTAGTAGCCAATGGCCTGCACAGAGCTGATAATGGACAGGATGTGTGGAGTCGCAACAGAAGGACAATAGGACAGAGCGATGTGCATGGTTCGATCCTGCAGGCAGTAGCCTTGATGCGAGGGCGGAATCATCATTACCCTGGAGTGTTTAGCCGATAGCATTGCAAAAATGGCTTTGTTAGTGGACAGGGAGTCATTATCCACGCACTTGAAGTCTTGAAGGCTTGGAGGATGACACAAAATGGTCGAGGTGGGGGTAGGATTGGACCCCTGCCCCCCACCAGGCACTCCACAGGATTCAGATTCAGAATCAAAACCGAGTCGGAGGTGAAGTGAAGTTGTACAACAGGAACTGTATGAGACTTGAGGAATCGGACCTCTCACCTAACTAAAGATTCAGGCCTCAGGCCGACACTAGGCATCACCTGACCTCAGCTGACCAGCTGCCCAGGACTACTACCCCTCCTGCCTTTCTGGGCAATGATCAATAACCCCCCTAACATCTGCACATGCACCTCGGCGTAACACATTCACTCGAATCCTTGTCACTCCCAGTCTCTCTCTTATCCTTTCCTATTCATTCGCAGCCTAGATCGTCGAGTATTCGTCATGAAGAATCAGGTGGACAGATTTATATCTTCAGCTACGCAGAGTAACCCGAGCCAGACCCTGGCCTTAATTTCTTCGACTGCTTCGCCTTCCAATCACACGATGACTATCATGAACGGAGTATCTGAGCAGTTGAGAACGATGAAGTAGCATTGATTGGGGGAACAAGTCTGCTGATTTGACATACATTTACAGCTTTGGAAACCCCCAACATATCCTTGCTTCATCTCTGCGTCACTGCCTTGAGATTATAGTCAGTGCAGGGAGGTTAGACAGTCTTGGACATGTCACACAGAAAGCTGCACGAGTGAGCTGGGATAAAGAGGCAAGGGTTAACCTTATAAAAATATTGCGCTTCGAGCGCGTGAGGATCGGAATAGATAATCTCCAGTGTGAATGGTACAGTCAACGAACAGGTCTTGAACTCATTGACTCGACTCACCGACGAGAAGGAATCTTCGTTTATTTTACTTTCCCATAAATGCTCAAGATACTCGCTGAGGTGAATTTGATATGGTTTCATACAAGGGAATCCTTTTCCAGCAGATTTTGTATCATTCTGATAAGTGGGTATGACGACTACTAGTAGATAGCGAACTGAAACATGCTATGACTAAAGGTAGAAGTTGCGAGACTTATCCTTGGTAATAAATATTATTTTCATATCTCTAGACTATATGTAGAAAGTTGCTTAATGCAATAACCCATCGCTAAACGATCCCCCCCCGCATATGTGCCTGTATAATATATAGAGGAAGTAGACCAAATATGAATTCCAAAAATCTAACACCTGACCATTTCGAAGCCGGCTTTCATGAACCTCAGGATGAATAGTATAATCGAACAGGCCATGGTCGTGGCTCCGGCGTAGATCCAGGTGCCGGTAAAGTCCATCCCATTGTCACGGCTCTGTTGGATGCCGCCGCCGCCTGGACCGCCCATGAGCACTCCCAGCCCGAGCATAGCCATCCCCATGCCGATCCGGGTGCCAATCTTGCTCTTGTCGTGGGTGAGCGCGACGAAGCAGACGGCGGGTAAGGCGACGTAGATGCCGGAGAAGAACCCGAAGAAGACGACGCACACGACCAGGCTCGCGGCACTCTTCACGGCGAGTAAGCTGAACAACACGATGGAGACGATCATCGTGCCCGGGGCGACTACGTTCAACGGGCCGATCTTGTCCGCCAAGATGTTGGGCAGTGTACGGCCGAAGACGGACCCGGCATTCAGGATGGGCACCAGGTAGAAGGACAGCGATTCGTTGGTGATCCCGGTGGCCTCGCCGAAATAGCTTAGGTAGAAGAGCCCGACGTACAGGCCCGCGTAGCCAATAACAAAGGCTCCGATGAGGATCATGAAATGGAGGTCGGTGAAGGTGGACCAGTCCAGTATCGCACGAGGCTTGGCGGGTTTGACGCGCAGGCGCATGACGGCGAGCGGGATCAGCAAAGTGCCCAGTGCCATGAAACCGAGCACGCGAACCGCCCAGGAGAAGCCGATGCGCGGGACCAGACGATAGAAGACAATCGGATAGATGATACCGCCCGTGGACGAGCCGGAGGCTGCTAGCCCCATCGCGGTCGCTAGCTTTGATCGGAAATACATGGGGAGGACGGCGACGGCAGGGACGAACAGACAGCCTCCGCCGATACCAAGAATCACGCCTTGGCAGATGAGTGCCTCCCAGTATGTACGGCACACGGAGAGCATCATCAAGCTGAAAGTGACGAAAAAGGTACCGAACACGAGCAGGATGCGCAGGTAGCCGCGGTCAAGAACCGGGCCTGACAACAAGCCCGTCAGCAACAGGCAGCAGGACTGGAGCGAGCCGATCCAGGAAATGTTGGACGAGGAGGCCTGGAAGAGCTCGCCAGACTCATAGTACGTCTGGAACACGCCGAAAGTGTTCAACATCCCCCAGGTATTGAAGAACAGCATGAATCCACCGATGACCTGCAGCCAGGCCACCAGCCCACCGTCGGGCGGTCCATCCCCCTGAGTGGATTTTTCTTGTTGCGGCCGAGGTTCTGGCGGGCTGCTGTTGTCTGTATTTCCCAGAGGACGATCCTGGACGGTTTCGATCTCGGAAACAGCCGTCATGGTTGACGACGTTATCACCCACGTGTGACGGTTGCAGTTGTGCGACAGTGGAAAATCAAATCTTAAACACAGCGCGACGAAGCCTTTATCAGGATCTGACCCCCAGCACCGTCATGAGTCTGTTTCTGCCAATCAGTTGGGCTGTCTCTTCTTATGTAACACAATTTTCGAAACAGCGGCACTTATCTCCTCCCCCCGCCCATGATCTCAGCATGAAAGAACACCCGATACGCCCGAAAAGCCGAAGGTTGGATCCTCGTCCCCCCTGAAAAGCAACACGTCCCCACAGGCTGGGCGCCTGGCTTCGGCATTGTTCTATCTCCGCACTGTAGTATGGAAACAAACACTCCGTATTCCGTACAGTATGACCCGGGCTAGTCTTCGTTTCTCCGCAATTATACATCCTTTGGGCACCTGTCTCATCGGTTGGAGGTGGTGTTGCGCAGAGGTAGCTGGCGGTGACGATCGATGCGTGCGATGAGTTGACCTGTCAAGTGGAATGCATCGGTTCCCTACACATCAAATCAGCGTTGTTGTAGCACAATATAATAACACAATGGACCAATAGATGACCCTTGAACTGGCTGTCTTACTGAATGCCTGATCTTCCTTGTGGGTGGCGGAAAAACAAGCGAGAGAACATAAAAGGGGAGCCAGCAGCGAGCAGTGACTCTGTCTCGGTCAGCTGACGACAAACACGTGCTGGGGGTTTTTTGAATTAGAGAGAGAAGGTCGTTGGAAGCTTACAGTCACTACAGAGCAACTACTTGCAGAGACTGAGCACTGCGATTTGAGCAATGATACATGCTACTTAGCTGGACAGAGCTCCCTGGCATTTGCTAAGATGGTTTAATTATATTTATAGAAGCTACAGTCTTCAAAAGGCTTCGTTACCAGCCTGAACTGCAGTGCAAACAAGTCTGTCAAGGTATCAACCGATCTATCTTGTTTAACTGACACAATCTCGAAACACTATTATAGAAAGGGACATTGCCTTCTCTGTCTATATAGAGAACTACTACAACATATGAATACAAATGGGTCTCCTGGAGGCTGCCTGCAGGGTTGTCGATCAGCCATGGCGCAGTGTCAACCCCTCACCCCCACTAGGCAACCCGCGATGACTGCAAGGTGATTTTTTTTCCTTTTTGTTTCTAATATCTCAAGATGGAAGGAGGACTGCTGACCGAGTTGAGATGTTTGCAGATCAGGACTAGACCGCGAGTTTGTTTACCATGGATCCTCTCAGCCTCAGCGCCAGCGTGATCGCTGTCCTTTAGCTCCTGGGCACCGTTATCGATCTCCTGTCCGCCATAGCTTCTTCCTTCCACGAAGGAAATCCGTGATATTTCCATCGAACTGAGCGCCACGCGCGTGCTGCTGTCGGGTCTCGTCGAAATCGCGGCCTGGGAAACAGTATGGAACCGCCAGCTGTAGGAGATGGCGGTGAATGATGGAGCGTTGGGCATGTTGGAAACGCTTCTGAGGGACCTGGAGGACAGATTTGGCCCGGATACGAAGCGTGCCAGTGCTTTGAGGCGCTTGGGGACGAGGCTGACTTGGCCCTTTCAAATGGAGGAGGCCCGCGAGATCATGATGACTGTGAGGAATATGAGGAGTCTGCTGGCAACTGGACTCGCGTTAGATCATCTGTATGTTTGCCTCTGATACTTACCATCTTCAAATGCATGTCTGATCCCGATGAATGAATACAGAGCCCTATCCCGAGAGATACAACAAGACACGAGGAAAATCCAGGAAGACTTCCAAAGTCTGACTTTGATCCGTAACGGTCAGTTCTTCTATTTTTTTCGACAGTCTCTAGAACTAACTAGGACAGCGGGCGAGCAAAACAAGGTCCTGGATTGGCTTTCTCCTATTGATGTGTCTGAGCGACACCGTGCCGCTCGGGCAAAACATGAACCAACCACTGGAGACTGGTTAGTTGAATCGACGGAGATGAAAATGTGGTTAGCAAATTCAATGGAGTTTATGTGGATCCATGGAATACCTGGTGCCGGGAAGACAGGTCTGTTAGATTGTTCAGGTCAGCCGGTTTTCACTTTGCGTACATGCTTATTCCATCCCGCCAGTACTTTGCTCGACCATCATCGAAAATGTCCAGAAAATCTGCCGTAAGCATGCCGAACCAAAACCAGCTTGCATATACTATTACTTTGACTTTGGCGAACGCGAGCGACAAACGATGGTCAGCTTTGTGAGGTCTATTCTGGCACAGCTTTCTCGCCAATACGACACGCTCCCAGCCGATGTTCAGGAATTGTATCAAAACAGAAGCAAACGCGGACAAGAGCCGACAACCGATCAATTGGTTGAAACTCTATTCACGCTCTTGAAACGGCCAGAATGAACCTATATCATTATCGATGCTTTGGACAAATGTGGAGAGTGGGATGACGTACTTGATCTCTTGTCGAGGATAGCGACACAGAGTGGGCCAACCACAAACCTTCTCGTGACAAGCCGAATGGAGCGAGATATCCAAATTTTTTTGGGGCCTTTGGCGACCCAAAATATTATTGTCGGTGGGCATAACGTGCGCCATGACATTGAAACGCTCGTACGGCGGGTTCTCATGACCGACGCCAAGTTGAGAAGACGACCGCCTGCGCTCAAGGAGGAGATTGAGCGTGTTCTTGTCCAAAACTCCAATGGAATGTCAGTTTTGTAGACCTTCTTTCCTGATGAATTGTCTAACAGGAACGAGTTAGGTTTCGATGGGCTGCTTGTCAGTTGGACACTTTACGTACCTGTCTGACTCCGTCAGCTGTGCGCAAAACCCTCCAGTCTTTACCTAAAGACCTGGAGGAGACCTACGATCGAATCCTATGCAGAATCACGGAAAAGTCACATCCCCTAGCCCTGACGGCATCGCAGTTTCTTACTTTTTCCGCTGGTCCCGGTCCATCTCCACGAGCTGGCCGAGATGATTGCTATCAAGCCGGGGACGAGCATATTTATCGACATCGACCGGCTCTTTGAGCCCGAAGAAGCGCTAGCAATCTGTTCTAGTCTGGTCACTCTCTTAAACAACAAATGTGTTCGACTCGCGCACCACTCTGTCCGGGAGTTCCTCCTGTCGGATAGAATCCATAAGGGCCCAGCAAGCCAATTTGCTCTCGAGTCATCAGTCCCATCTTGCGATGGCAGAGAGGTGTCTGACATACCTGCTTTCCTTTGACCAAGTGTATAATCCAGGATATTGCTTGGATAGCGACACTAGTCAATTGAACGCTTCGTTTCCCTTGCTGGAATACGCTGTAGACGAATGGCCAACCCACGTGCGACTCGTTTCCGAAGAATCGCAAGAGAGAATCCGCCCGATGGCTCTCCAGCTGCTCGATCCGAATACGCAAGCCTTCCACTACTGGTTCGGTATTTTTCTCCCAGAGGAATCTCGAGTCTACACACCATTGGCAGCCCGTTATACTTTGCGTCAGTCAGAGCTTGATCTACCAAGTATAGTCCGCACGCTCCTCGCAAATGACGGCGCCGACATCAACGCAGTTGGCGGCATGCACGGCTCTGCGCTAGCTGGCGCCGCATATAGCGGCCGTGAAGACGTCGTTCGCGTGCTACTCGAGCGTGGCGCCGACGTCAACATCCGCGGTGGCTTGTTCTGCACTGCCCTCCATGCAGCCTGCTCGGAAAAGAACTCGAGCATATTCCACTTGTTGCTCACAAAGGGCGCAGACTATAATGTCGCCGGCGCAGATGTGAATATCATTGCGGGACAGTTCGGGACAGTGTTACAGGCCGCGTCGCGGTACGGCCACGAGCAGCTCGTCGACACCCTTTTGGCGCGCGGTGCACAAGTGAACGCCACGGGGGGGTTACTACCATACAGCCCTTCAAGCGGCTGCCAGGGGCGGCCATGTCGAGATTGTGAATAGGTTGCTGCAGGCTGGCGCAGATGTACACATGCAGGGCGGCTACTGCGGGAATGCATTACAGGCGGCGTATTCGACCAACAGTCTTGCGGTGGTAGACATGCTAGAGAAGGATTTAGGGGTGGCGACTAATAAGATAGTAAATTAAAGTTCTCCTGGCTCATCTTTCGCTTACCACTTTATTGGTGCTCGTTCTTTGTCTGACATTGACTGTAGCCACTTATAGGTAGCTAGAGTGTATTCGTATACTCCAGGTGCCTCTTTCTTACAGTGAGAACAGTGCTATGATATCGCCATATATATATTTTGATGGGTGGGATATGGCAATATCTATCTTGGACCTCGGATATAATCTGACACAAATCCCAGGTTAGGCATGTGCATGCGTCTTCCCCTGCTTGAGATGCTGCAGGGCTTTCGTCAGCATTATCATAAGGTGGTATTGCATTTCCCCTGATCTGATTAAGTGTCTGTCTGTCTGTCTGTCTGTCTGTCTGCGTGCCTGTCTTTTTCTGGTAGTCAATGATATAATCCTGGAAGGTTACACTGTCCCAGGGGTCTTTAGCAAGTATATCTACTCTTAACCTTAGGCTGGAAGTGCAATTCGAAGCAAACCCCGCAAGCCATCTGCAGGATGATTTGTCCGTCCTAGTACTAGGACTACTTACTAGTCCTAATACTCCAATTCTCCGTTCCTGAAGGGCTCAAACCCCGCCAAGAAAGGGTATCCAGAGGATCCGCTCGTCGCGGGGCGGATCCTGAATATGCTCCGTGTGCAGAGCGGTTTAGGCCACAATTGACTAATTGGTTATCACTGACTGACTGATAAATTAAGTACGTTCGGCTAAGAAAGGTGTGGCTTGCATATTAGCGCCACCAGTCTGTGGACAAAGCCTTGTTTTCTGTCAGCGCGTCTTCCTCGCAGGGGAGGGGTTATAAGCATTCAATATACATGATGGTTGGCAGTCATGGTCTTGGCGTCACATCTTCAGTAGTTTCAGCAGCTCTTCAGCCTCGGATTCAGAATAAACTCCGACAGGACGCGCAACGAGGGAGTAACTAGAGCACTAATAACCTTTGTGAAGTCAGCATGGGGTCGATCCCTGATGCCACGATAGACCACGCGGCCCAATCATCATCTGTGAGCGCTTGAAGCTGGGTGGGGATGAGGAGACGAGGGCACACTTTAGATCAAACCGGAATTATTACCCCCAGGGCACTGCGACTCCGTACGCAGCTCACAGAGATGATATTGCTAATCCTGCCCACGGGTCTCGCCCCTCCTCCTTCTTCACGATCTGTTCCTGCAACGGCGGCACGCTCCGTGATCTCCCCGCCACTTTCCTAGAGGAGAGAGAGAGGCGGGCTGCTGGGCTTGGCGACAGGGTTTTCTGTAGGGAATGATTCATCAGCGTCTGTCTTTCTCGGCGTCCATAGGCTGACCACTCCCCTGCAGATCCCAATCAAACTTGCGTCGTCTGGATGCTCGGTGGTGGGCAACAGCGTGCTAGCATCTATCCAAACTCTTGGCGGGAGGAGTACGTCGGACCAAGGATGTCGAAACTCTTGACAATACGCTGGAAGAGAGTGGAAGAGAGTGGGAGGGAGCAGGAGAAGAAGAGAGGGGTTGAGGGAAGTTGAGGGGGGGCCGGAGACGGCACAACTATTTAAATCGATACCTTTCCTAGACGAGGACTAGAGTGGAAGACGAAAACCAACCTGCCTGCCTTTCTCCCTCACTCACTCCCTCACCCAGCCTACCGAAGATGCGTGTCTCCCCCGCCATCCTTCTAGGCCTCATGGCTGGCCCTGTGGCCGCCGGGTGTCCCTATTCCAAGGCCAGGCGTGCTGCTGCTGATGAGAACCCCGTCATTCCTCGGGGATGCCCGTACGCTGAGCGTTCTGTGGACGCAGGCTCTTCCCAGGCGTACACACGTCGTGAGGCTGTCGACGGCAAGAAGGGCATCTTCTACAGTGAGCAAGCAGTCTTTACATCCCATTCCCTTGCCGAAGACACCCATTGACTGATATATCTGTCTGGTAGTGAACCGTATCGGACCCATGGGATCCCAGCTATACATTGCTGATGCCGACGGCAGTAACAACAAGACGCTGATGGGAGATCAGTCGAATCCGTTTGACTACCATGCCTCGTGGTCGCCCGACGGCGAATGGATTGTCTTTACTAGCGAGCGCCGGGCGTTCGGTCAATCCGATATCTACCGCATCAAGCCTGACGGAACCGGGTTGGAGGCCCTGGTCCAGACGGACTGGATCGAAGATGCCGGCTCCCTCTCGCCGGATGGCACCAAGTTGGCCTACGTGTCCATGATGGGCAACTACACCACCAACATCTGGGTCAAGGACCTTGAGACGGGCGAGTCCCGTAACTTGACTGATACTGCCTCGACCCGCAGCAATAATGTCTGGCCAAGCGGCCATTTCCGCCCCTCCTGGTCCCCCGATGGCGAGTGGATTGCCTTCAGTTCGGATCGGGACACCGACTGGACAGGCCACAGCGAGGGCGTGGGCTGGGAGCATACCCAGAGCCTGGGTGTCTATATTATTCGCGCCGATGGCAGCGATTTCCGTCTGATCATCCGCGAGGAAGGCTATTCGCTTACCACCCCCCGGTGGTCTCCTGATGGCAGCCTGATCATCTACTCAAATCTGACAACAGAAGACACATATGATGCTCACGGTGAGACGGGCATGCAGGCCGGCGTGACCTCGCAGATCTACAGTGTGGACGTGTCGACGGGCAGCGACGTTGTCCAGCTGACGACGGCCGATTACCTCAAAGTCAACCAGCAGTACATCGGTAACAGCAGCAATATCGGTTACGTCCTCAAAGGCGACGTTCCCGACCAGGGCATCGGCTACACGAGCCCTGACGCGACGCACGCCGCCTTCAATGTCACCAACCTGCGCAACGCCTGGTGGTCACCCGACGGGTCCAAGGTCATCTATGAGGTGCCCAACTGGGACCAGTTCCCCGGCGAGACGGCGCTCTACAGCTTCGACGATGAATGGGACTACCGATACATGGACGTGTTCCCCATACTGAACGATAAAGCCGTTCGCATGGCTATCACACAGAAAGTGCTTGGTGATGCCAACAGCTCGCTCGTCACCTCTTCGCCCGAGTACACCGACCTGGTCGACACCCTCGACGCCGTCGATCTCGCCGACGATCTTGACTGGGAAGGCGCTGCTGCCTACCAGCCCTCGTGGAACCCAGACGGTACCGAACTGGTCGTAGGCTTCGGCGGCTGGTTCGAGACCCGCGCCGAAAGCCCCGGCGCCATCTTCCAGGTCCTTGCCAACGGTTCTTCCTACACCAACCTGACTGACGGCGTTAACAACGCTGGCTTCCCCTCCTGGTCCCCGGATGGCACCGCCATCGTCTACCGCCTCTGGAACACCACCTCGGGCGACCCCGTTGGCCTGCATATTTTGAACTTCACCACGGGCGAGACCACCCGCATCACAGACGGCTGGGACAACACCCCCGGCTGGTCGCCGGACGGGGAGCGCATCGTCTTCACCCGCAACAACAACTGGACCGAAGCCTACGGTGACCGCTGGTACGACGACCGCTTCGATATCTACACCATTCGCCCTGATGGTACCGAGCTCACCCGCTTAACCGACAGTTTGGCAAATGATGCTCAGTAAGTTCTTCTTTCTTATAGAGAAAAGAAAAAAGATTGCTTTCATCTATTCGATTTATGTCATTTGGATACTCAGCTAATGTCTCAGTGCCGTCTGGTCCCACGATGGCTACGTCCTATGGAACTCGGGAATGTACGGCTTCCAGGACGAATGCCAGATGTACGACAACACGTTCCAGCCGTACGGGATGATCTTGAAGATGAAGTATGATGGGTCGGAGAAGACGGTGCTGACGGCGTCCATCTGGGAGGATGCGATGCCCTTGTTTGTGCCTAATAAGTATCTGGAATAGGTAGCTGAGCAAAGGAGCAACAGTGATGCACTGGAATTTTAGTGTTCAAGAGGGGATGCATCTCTTAGACAGAGTATTCCTAGTAAGCTACCATACGATCCTACTTAACTATGCCATTTCTGCCATATGGTACACTGCAATTTGTGCTGGAGAGATGACAGGGTAGCATGGCTCTGGATGAGCTCGTGGAATGATGGTGGCTGTTGATGCTTTCCAGAAGATATACCCATTAGCATCACTATAATATATATATGCCTAGGATTATATTAAGGCTGACCATCAATGGATAGATGGTAATGATCAAATTTCATGATTAAATTTCACTTCTTGAGGGCCTGTTTTAAAGACACACGATCAATATGAAATTCCAACACCTGGTTATCGCGAGAGGAGATCACGATATGGCCATCTCGTGCATCGTAAGGTGTCCGATATAGGTCTGATGGCAGTCGTAACACCGGAGACTCTCCAAAATAGATCCACCGATCTCCAACCCACAAATCGCCCAATGATGATGTTGAAGTTGTCTTTTGGTTGGCAGGCAGAATGTCATCAAGGCTGATGAGGCCCTGATCTGTCAAGAGAGATCTCCCATCAGAAGAGAATTTTAACACTTTCACGTAATGCTGCAGAGTGATTGTTTGCGGAAAATCGGATCTGGGACCCCCAAAACTAAACAGTCTTGGAGCTCCAAGCAGTTCTGGAACATCCCAGAGTATAATTTTCTTCTCAAAACTTGCTGCAAGATACTTGCCATCTGCCGAAAAGGAAATTGCCTCTGCCCATTCACCATTGAAATCCGGCGATTCCAGCTTTCTTATAAGATTGCCCTCGGTGGTCCATAATTTGAGACCCTCCTTACCTGAGCTCGATGCGAAATAATATCCATTAGGAGAGAAAGACAGTGAACTAACAAAACTCCACTCATGCCCTTCAAGAGTTATAGAGGAATCTTCAGTCGTATTGTATAGGTAGACTTTTCCCCTTTCCGACCATGCAACAAACCTTCTGTCCAATGACACTGTCGTTATCATGAAGTCTTGAAGGTCCCCCCAGCTGGACAAGACCTTTGCAGAGTCTCTCAGGACGAGACTGTTGTTTTCTTGGCACAGGGCCACAGCCGAGTTGCCGTTGGTGGAAACGAAGAGGACTTGGGGGGCATTGCGAGTCTGTTCAACGTCGCCGGCGACGGCCCATAACTTGATCGTTTTGTCGTATGAGCCAGATGCGACATATTCTCCGTCCGGAGAAAACGAAAGTACCGCAGTCCGGTTCGTGTGACCATGTAAGATCTTCTGAAGGGTGCCTGAGATTAAATCCCATAAATGCAAGTCTCCATTATCACATCCAAGAACCGCATGCCTTCCAGATGGAGAAAGCGCAAAGCTCGTAGCCAGTGACAAGTAACCAGATAATAGGTATCCTCTCACAGAGTGATGAAGATCCCCTGTTTCGATGTTCCATACTTTGATGGCACCATTAATATCCCAAGATCCTATGTATTTGCTGTCTGGTGAGAAGATTAAATGAGATAGTTGGTCGAGTCCTGCAAGTATGCTCAGAACATCCCCATCCATGGTGCATATTCTTATATCTCCAGAAGAAAAGCCAAGTGCCATGTACTTTCCATTTGGTGAAAGGGCCGCTTTAGAAGTATCATATCTGGAGGCAACCCGATGTACAATTTTCCCTGTAGAAACTTCCAGGACGGAGATCTCCCCACTGTTTTTGATAGTGAGGAGATGCTTGCCATCTGATGAGAACGCCGCGTCATCTGCCTGAGTTTCAAATTTCATTTGCAGCTTGCCTGAAGCGATACTCCATATATGGGCAAGGCTGAGAGGGGAGTATGAGGAAATAAGTTTATCATCTGGCGAAAATAACACTCCGTCATTCCAACTTGATGGGTCCTTTTGAATGGTTCTCTGGAGGCCACCCGTCCTCACATCCCATAATTTGATGGTTCGATCACCAGATAACGACGCAATGGATTGACCATCATGTGAGAATGCCACTGCTGTTACAAAATCTGCGTGACCTTCGAGTGTTCGAATCAAGGATGACCAGGATTCACCAAGAAAGGGCGGATCCTTGAGCCACTTGGGAACCTTGGATATATTCATCTGTCGAACAAGGCTTTCTTTAGGACTGAAGATGAGTGCGGAGCTGTAAGTTTGCAATGGCCAGTGTGATATTATATGGGAATGACGCTGCAAGAAACGAGTTGCATCTTGAAGGAAGGCAAGTAACGGAGACTTGGCCTAATTCCTTATGTCACTTCATGCTTGATAATTTTATGATTTGATTGATTATATGGACATACCTTTGCAATAGTCATGACTCTGTGCATCTCATCTAGAGCAAGTGATGTACTGTCTAACCAACTCAAACACTCCAGCCATTCCAAAATCCTGGACTGGACAAATTTGCTGACGGCCCCATTTTCTCCAAGAGATCTTTGAATGTCAATGGTATTTCGTGCTTTTTCGACATGCTGTGCCCAAAAATGGGCTGCATAGTTCACCTTAGCTAACTGTAGGTGGCGGAGGCTTTCATCAAGGTCATCCAAGGTTGAGGCAGGTAGTTTTATGTCCAGAAGGTTAACCTTTAGTTCTCTCGATAGATAGGAAACGCAATTGAGAGCAATTTTTTCATGTCCATAGCTTTTATAAGGCTTGAGGATGGCTGATGCCTTCCCTCCACCGAGATAATCGCGCGCAGATTGGTGTGAAAATTCCAGATAATCATTTCGGAGATTGATAAAGGATTCGCATTCAGACAACAGTCTCTCGATGTCTATATCTTGCTGGGCCAAACCGGTGACGCTTTCTAACTCTTGGATGTGGAGAGGTCGATAGGCCAGCGACAGCACTTTAAGTATTCGTAGGGACTTGGAGCCTCGCCGACTGATTTGGATGAGGGCTTCATGATAGAAAGACTGCAGGCCCGGGAGAAGTGTTTGAACCTCCTCCAACACTGCTTTCGGGCGTACATCTTCAAGTTTCTTACAAGCCAGACTGACCCAGAGATAGGTGCCATCTGCTTTTTGATTCAGCTGTGCCTCGATGTTGTCTCGAACCTCTGGTTCCAATTCCCAAAGACGATCGAGTTCTCTCATCTTGAAAGAAATGTAGCTTTTAATAGCTCCTTTGACGTGGTCCAAATTGACCTCGAGGTTAAGTTGCCTTTGATCATCCGCTGTCAGTAGTATCCTTTCATCGTTGAATGGCCGGCTGGTCAGTAGCCACTTGATGCGAGAAGGGTGATGGAGGCCTGTTCGAACGAGAGTGGTCAGGAATTTGGAAATACCATCTTCCTGGCACTCGTCTAGAGCATCAATGATGATATACACCTTTTGATTTCCGCATTTGTCTAATATCTCCTGCAAGATATCCCAGAGATTTCTCCATGAGGTCAAATCTTTTTCGAATCGGCTATTTTGTGTATCCCAGTGGCGTCGGAGACATTCTTTCAGTCCCTTATTTTGATTGAACAATCGGAGGATAAGAGCCTTCAATATAGAGCCAAGGGTATTGAGTTCATTGTCGCCATTTTGGCAGAAAAAATAGGTGACCAAAGGAGGATTCTCTCTTTGATCTAAGAGACGCTCAATGATCCCGATCGACATCATTGTTTTACCCTTTCCAGGGCCGCCTTTGATCCATAGAAGCCCACTATCATCTTTGTCTCGCCATCTGCGGAAATCTTGCGATTGAAAAACCCATTTGATTGATTCCAGGTGCAACTTGTCCTTAGTTTCCTTCAGTCGATTCTTAACAATCAGCGAGTCGGGGGGGCATTGCAGGGCGCGAAGACATAGTCGATCAATTTCATGGATAGTGTAGGCTGGATTTCATCATCGTCAGCGCCATAAACACCGAGAAAGTCTTTTGGAAGGACTTACTTGTATTCATGCTCATATTATTGACCTGCGTAGCCCCAGCCTCGGCTGTATTCCCATGAATGTTGATGTGGTTCGCCATGAGGTCAGCCTTACCGTTGTCTATCGGACGATATTGCAATCACAAGGGGTTTGTAGTTGCTCTGATCACCACTGCTTGATAGAATATCTGAGGGGCCTGTTGAGCACACAAATTTGATCAATGACTCACTGGAGGGTATGATTTTGGTGGAAGCTTCTAGTGGAAAAAATCACCCAGATATCTTTATGGGCTTCAACTGGTGGCAGACGAGGCTGAAAATCCACGTCGTGTTTTCTTTAGCGCTGAGGCTGACCAGCTGAAGCAATCATCCAGTCAGGACATGGCACGTAGACAGCAGCTGACCTTTCCTGCAGATGAGAAGCGGGTAGTTGATAAAGATATGGACCTCTCCCCGTCCTCCTTGATAGAGTCGAGCCCCTGACTTGATAAGTCTGCAAGAAATGGCTGAAGCGCTTGGAACGGCGTCTGCCGTATTGGGCCTTGCAATCCTCGTCTATGACTCTAGCCATACACTACACGATGCTATTTCTAGTTTCAAAAGCCAGCGAAAAACCATCAAAGACCTGAGATCGGATCTGGTCTCTCTGGATGCTCTCCTGGTGACTATCAAAAACCACGCCGAAAGATCAGAAGACCCGAAAAGGCTCGAGCCTCTTCGTCAACCGTTGGATTGCTGCTTGCATGCATGTCAGGAAATGCATGAAAAGCTCAAGACGTCTACCCGCTATTCGACAAACGGCCATAATAGTCTCCGAGATTGGTTGCAGATGCAGTATCAGGGAAAGAACTTTGAGCAGATGAAACAGCGGATCGCCAGCTATAAAGCTACCCTCAGTATAAGCTTCAGCTGCATCAACTTGTGAGTATATCATAAGGAAGCTTGTTGCCCCGTTACTGAAACATTCGTCCTTGAATAGAGAAAATATCTCTCGCACGCAAAGCGACATGACTGACCTCAACGACTCGATCACCGGCACGAAAGAAGACATACAGGACCAGCTGGACGATATACAGAGAAAGATTAGTACTTCCGACGAATCGATCAGGGCAGTCCTACAACAAGATCGCGAGCACCTCCAACAAAGTCTAGACAGCCTTGCCCAAGCACAGAGGATCGCAAATGCTGCACCACCCAATATCGTCATTGAGAGTAACAGAGTCGACACGGGGGGTTGCGCAATCTTTGGAACAGACACACCCCAGCCACAATTTGTATTGAACGTATCCAAGAACGAGGCGGGTGCCGGAGCCACGATGAGTGCTGGTGTTCATAGCCCAGAGACTCTCAGGGGTTTATTGGAAAACTCGCAAGCTAAAGTGACCCTTCAAGCGCTTCAGAATCAGTCCCATCATGCCAACTCTGAACAGCTTCAACCTATCCTGCGATATATGGCTGCACAGAATAAGAATAATCAATTGGAGTCTGCACCAAGACCGGCGGGTATCGACCAACCTATGCTTGGTTCTATTGAAGCAATGCAGGTAGAAGAAGAAGAACAGGTGAAGTCCTACATTAAGTGAACTGGATACTATAGAATAGTCAGTACGAGGAATTTTCCTCGTATGCTCTATAGTAGTCTAGTTTTGGCTATCATATATAGTTTATTTCGAAATGCTTGCTATTTTATGATAATTTTATTATTCTAGCACTATTAATTGTTCTGCTCTATAGACCAAGTACTAGAAATAATTAGGAAGTTGCCAGAAAGTTACCTTACTAGAACTCCTATATATAATACAGTCAGAATATGATTAGACCATGGGTCTAGTCATGGTGGTCTTTTTGGCCCAGTTGGTTAGTGCTTGCCTGACTGTCACTTTGCCACAGAAGTATGCTGGCTATTTCGATAGACATATCCTATCCGCTTAGTTGTTCTGCCTTGCGACAAAATGCACTGCAATTCTAGCGTTGAAGAGGAGAGACATCCCTACAGTGTACTCTGTGGACTAATCATAAGAGGGGAGACATAGCACTGTAATTTTAGGGCCTAAGGGGAGATATATTCCTGCAGCAGTTTATGCCAAAGATAGATTAGTGAGAAACTTAAGAATAGGTTCTATGAACTCCGTAGTCGTCATGATGTGCACTGCAATTTTAGTGCTGATGAGAAGATGACAAGGTGGCGTGGCCCTGGTTGAGCTCAACGGCATGATGATTGATGGATGTTGATGCCTTCGGAGACGCGGAGGAGTTTGAGTCTTAACTATAGTCCTAGTGTACTGCAATTTTAGTGCTAAAGAGAAGATAGGTTTAATATTAGTGGGCGTTGTTAGTAGTCCCAACGCATCATGTCGCCTTTGTACTTCGCCTCGCATCATTCTATATAGCTTCAGCCATGATCATTTTTCTCTGGATTCGGGCTTTTTGCCTAATATGTATTCCTACAGCAGTTCTTATTGAGCCCTAGTTCTAACTTTACTATATACTAATAAAGATTTTATCATTGCTTTAGTCATCCTGATTGAGGCCATAACTTAAGCATATGGATCTAGAGTCAACATAAACCTTAACCTTTAAAAAACTTGCGGCCCATGGAATGCAGTGGAGTAGATATGGTTGTCAAATTAAGATTGATGTACTCCGTAGGTTGTTCTAGTAACTTCTGAGATCTGCATTCTAGTCTATGCAGACGACCTACCTAAGTCTTCGCTCATGGATTTTCTCATGCCGGCTGCGGTCATGCTCTCGCGTAAAAGCTCTCCCGCATTCTCGACATGCGAACGGTCGCTCTCCAGTATGATTGAGAAGATGACTGTTCAAGTTTCCACGGCGAGTGAATCTCTTATCACACAGATTGCATGCCCACTTGGCTTGACCCTTTATTGGCTTGACCTCATTGAATTTTGATTCTAGGTCTGTGATCTCGGGGTGCCATTGTTTTGTATGTTTTTCGAGGTCTTTGGCATTGACAAATCCGAATTGTGCCCCAGTACAGTCCAAGTTGGAGCAGATATATGGACGATCATGGCGCTTGACGTGCTGGTCTCGGGTCTTCCCGTCCGTGAACCCTTCGTAGAAGAATGGACACCTCAGCTTGGGGCATTTATAGACCTTCTCCCCGTAATAGGACTGGAAAGCTTTCTTCTTCTCCGAAGTGAGGCTGGTGGAGGACCCTAAGCTCTCGATCCTGCCTCTCACACGAACCAAAGCTCGATGTAACCCCTCGACGCTTACATCATTTCTTGTCTCGGGCCCTTTTGCTCTGTGTCGCCTAATATTATCAAACAAGCTCAGAAGGTTATCATGAGCTGGGCTTCCTTCGAATGGTTTGCACGCCTCGTCCACTTCATCAGCCTCTGTGACCTCATAGATGTCAACAAAACTGGAGAGTATGTCGTTGAAATGATCCAAGGACACATCTGTGTCTGTGATGCTTGACACTAGACTGGTTCCGTAATTGAGCATTGCTAGTAAATGGTTGGCCCATTCAGCTATCGCATAATCTTGAAGCACATAGTAGCCGTCTAGAGCATAACGATCCAGTTCATTTTGCTCCTCTGTCGTGAAGCAGTCAAAGGTCAGGTACCCCAGACAGGAAAATGTGAGATGGTATTGCACCAAGGGCTCATAGATATAATTGGACCCGGTGATGTGCCTAGATGGTTGTGGCTTCAGCAGGTCAATATCTTTAGCTGGCAGATATCATGAACATACATCTTCGCAGTACTATGCACCAGCTCCACCCGCTCTCCAGGCAATACTTGAACCAAAGATCCGCAGATATCGCGAATATGGACCCGAAGCTTTAGACTGTCAAAGTCTATCTGCTCATTGTCCATGTAAATAGATAATACGGCCTGGATTTCAGTCCATTTCATCGGTCTGCATGCGCAGACCATCCAGCCCAAAAGCTTTCTTGCCATCTTCAACTCATCATCGCTGCTATCTCTCTCCATTCGACTCATGATACGCTCATATCTAATTCAAATCAGTATTGTTCCCTGCCTAAAAAGAATGCACGGCTTACGCTTCTCCGAGTCCGTTTGGAAAATTTGTCAATTCCTCGCCAACCACGTTTCTTTTTTGAGTCTGACGCTCTAGGTTTCCCATGACGAGCTTTGCAAAGAGAAACATGCCTGCTTTTGATTAGTATTCTGGTCACGTCAAACAGCGTTACTGACACAAAATCCATACCACGCGCTCTAATACAAGTCATATCCTCAATCTCTTTTCTCTGACTGTCATCAAGGCCATGCTTGACCTGAATTATACTGCCCCGCTTCTTCACGTATGCCCTGATGTCGCATTCGTTATCCTGTGCCTTGAGGCGGATAATGCTTGTAGTCTTCAAAAAGTTAAAAATAGACGGCGTATCTTGACTGACTACCAAAATTCGAAGCTTCCCAGGGTCATCACCATCATAATCTTCAACACATTTCTTGAGAAAAGGAAGAATCTGGTTCTGGTGCACAGGCTCGCATTCGTCCAAACCATCGATAATAATACACTGTCTAGGGATCCGTTGAAATGCTATCTTAAGTAAGCCCTTGGCGAGCTCGAGGGAGCTTAGTGTCACATCGCCACTCTTTTGTTGTCTCTCACGGAAATAGGGTACCAGTTCTCGAAACTGCGATATTAGTTGGCTCAAAATTCCCTTGTAGATCGAGAGAGTCGTGTTTGTCTGAGAGTCAGAGCCCTTGCAATAGAAATAGCTAGTAACAGATTGATCTCGCAAACAGTCCTGAATAATTGTGGATGCTAGAATTGTTTTACCTGTATAGTCCAATTACAATAAGTATGTAGAAAGGCAGGAATCGTTGTCATTTCAGTACTGACCAGCGCCGGGTATGCCGTTCATCCACACAATGGATGACACCGGTGGATCAATGTCCCTCCATTCGCGAATGATATGATGCTGTAGAATCCAGTCACCAGAGCCGGCGCATTCCTTCCTGACTTCACAGAATGCTTCGTGATCCAGAATCATTTGTGGTGCTGAGATCCACTGAACAGCCGAGATGTACTCTTGCTCCCTCTGACTGTTATAACCCCTTCGAAACTCGTCAAATATGCGGTCTCTATCCAGTTCATACTTTTGGACATGGGATTGCAGCATTTGTCTGTCAGAGCGATAGTGGCGGTAATGAATCAACTGGGCTTGCTCCGAAAGAAAGTCCCTATGGCGTCGTAAATCTTCCAGAATGTGCCGAAAAGTGGCGTTGAAGGTCTTCCATGTTGCTTTAAAAACATGACGCCACCCCGACCCATCAAAGCTCCGCAGAGCCTTACGATGAAATTCCAGAATATCGGTGTAAATGTGACCGAGGATATTGCGCAGGCCCTCATCCTCTTCGAACAGATCCTTGTATTGCAGCAGCTGGGGGATCAGCTCGCCAATCTGCCGGTAAGCGTCGAGAAGGGTGTCCAGCGACTCTGCCCAGGTACTTGCAGCCTGTGTCATTCATAAGAGTTAAAATAGGAATTCACTGTGCAAAGGAAACAGAAAAGAGAGGCAGGTGGTTGAAAAACCAAAGTGGAAGGTTGGACTGGAAGCGAAGAGCACGTGCTTACCAGCAACAGAAACTTGACCGGTCCCCAAACAAACGCGATGAAGGATGACGCATTGAGGAATACGTCTACCACTTTCCCAAGCTGATCAACGGCCTCGAGAAAGCCCATTATACGAGTCATATTCTGCATTGTCTTTGTTCGCTCCTGCTGCTGCTGAATCTGTTGCACCGTTCGCCGTACATCGTCCAAGGTTGTGAACTTGAATTTTTTCTCTTCATCGGCCTTCAGACGTGCCTTGAATTTCTGGAGGGCTTCCTGGAAGATATCTCGTGAGTGAGTCATTTGTCGAAGATCAGTGTCAGGTTCGGTGGTATCGGTATCCTTTTGGAGCTGGCTGGCAGTGGATTCTGGTCGTTTAGAATGATAAATATTTCCTCCCTGAACGATTTATGGGTTGGATTTTGATTTGACACAGCGCTGGTGGTACGGTAAGAATGAGCTGGTGCTAACAATTCCAGATAACAGCAAGATTCTCCGGAACGCAGACCTAGTCGATGGGACGCAAGAATACTGTACTATGCACCGAGAAACAAAGCTTTGAGTGCCTAGGCAGTGTTTCGCTTCTCACCGGTTACAAAATCAGCCTTGCATCAGCTTGTGGTCAACTGGAGGCGCCAGTACACGAGGCTGAATCACAGCCTCAAGATTTGTACATCCTTGCATATTCCGTCCAATGAGGCAGACAGCGGCAGCCATCATGATGACCGTAGTCAGTTCAGCCTTGCGATTGAAAGTGATAAATTACCATGCGCAAGAAGTGTCTCGCGGTAAATTGGGTACTTGACTTGACAGTTATTCTCTACTCTTGGTCATATCACTGTTACTAGGAGAATAAGCATCATGGCATCTTTGCAGGCTCTGTTGAACCCAGAAGGAAATATTCCTAATCCACGGCAATACAAGAGACTTTGTCAAAATCAATTTGGAAACGAGACTTGGGATGAGATGGTACATACGCAATCAGAGAGTAGCGAGTTTTCATGGGAAGATCTCATAAGTTTTGAATCGAATGGCTGCAACCTCTTGGACGATTTGTGGAATCTTTCGCCAAACCCGTTAGAATTCAACAATCTCGAGCAGCATGCTCCGGAAGTCCAGTCAGAAATAGGCGGCTTTGTTACAGAGGATATATTGCAACCAAATACCATTTCTGATGCCTCGTTCATCAGTAATAGCGACATGGATCTAATCTGCTATGGAATGGTACGCTGCTCTTCTAAATTCGTCATGACGGTGCATCTAATGACCTCTCCATTCAACTGTTAGGTTCACATGACCCCAGTACAACTCATAGGAGACATGTCGCGAGTGAACTCAAAGCTGGATACAGAAAATCGTTCCCGACGCTCCGCCCATTACGTCTTCAACATTATAGCATCGACGCAAGATGTACAGTTGCAGTTCCCCGATGGGACGATGGTTGGGAAGCTTAATTTTCGTCTATCTGATGTTGTGAGGAAATACGTTGAGGAGAGAACAATCGAACTGGACGCCTTAGCACACATTGGGGTCCTCCGAGATACAATATCAAGAGCCACAAAGATTCGCGACGCGATCTTTCGGGTTGATATCAACGTGTATGGAAGAAGAGAAAACCAACAAATGGTTTCAGCCCATCTGTCCAAAAACAGAGTGTACTTGCAACATCCCGATCAACGAAGGCCTGGCTCCGAATATGAAAATCCTCACTTTGTGATGTTTTCCGATTTGGAAGAAATAACCCCACATCCTGTCTTGCTGCCCATCGAACACCAAAACTCTGGCTCTAAGGCTTCTGGAAACCTCGATGCAGAGATCTTAGACCTGTATAACCATCTAACGCGGCATGAAGATCTCAGACGGCTGGAGGGCAATGACCGAATCACAACCCAATTACTTCCGTAAGTTCAAATTGTGTCTCTATCTGTCTCTTCCAAGGATATGAGCTCACATGGCACACCCAGGCATCAGGAAAAAGCCCTGGACTTTATGGTTCAGCGCGAATCGGGGCCAATCTCAGAAAAGTACAGTCTGTGGAAACCTGTCGAGTCTGAAGGAGAAACCCGGTAAGAATCCTGGCTTGACTAATAGTCTTTTTCCTTATCTTCTTCTAATTGACGGCAGATACTTGCATACTATAACCAAACACTTCAGATTGACGAAACCATCAGAGACCGGAGGAGGAATACTGGCTGATGAAATGGGATTGGGGAAATCTCTATCAATTCTGGCACTAATAGTCAGAACCCTTGACTCCGGAAGAGAATGGGCAGCTGAGAGAGCTCGGGCCTCTGAACAGATTGAGGAAGCCACACATGGTACCTTGATAGTGGTGTCGTCAGCGTGTGAGTCTCAAGTTACTCCCAGACATGTGGCCATTTGTTCCTGAGGCTGACTATTTCTAAAGTACTGATCAATAACTGGATCAATGAAATACGGATGTAAGTATGGCCCTTATGTTTTATGTTTTAATCTAATGGCATTCACATAGGCATCTTGAACCAGGCTTCAAGGAGTTTATATACCACGGAAAGAAACGATCTGCCCGTCGACATAAGGTGAAACATGCCGACATTGTCATTACAACTTACCATACTCTAATAGCCGAGTTCAAAACGAAGACATACAGTCCCCTCCATCGAATACATTGGTATCGCGTTGTCCTCGATGAAGGTAAGTTTATATGTCGGTGGGCTGTCTTTTTTGTCTCATATTATGATAAAATTTGTATTGATAGTGAAAAGCACACATAATTCGACGACAAGCAACCAAATTCTGGCGAGCATGTTACGAACTTGATGCAAATTCTCGGTGGTGTCTTACCGGAACACCCATTCAAAATCGCCTTGAAGACATTGGGAATTTGTTTTCGTTTCTTCGAGTCAGTCCCTTGGACAGACTCTCGATGTTTCGAAAATACATTGCTATTCCTTTTGATGAAAGCCAAGAGCGACGCATCCTGGCACGCCAGAATTTAGCTCTACTGATGGACTCGGTGTGTATCCGAAGGACCAAAGAAATTCTCAATCTCCCAGAACAGCAAGACCAGACAAAGTTTTTAGAGCTCTCATCCGAGGAACGAGTACAGTACGAAAAGATGTTGAAGATGATGAACACGGCCCTGCGAGAAAGCACCATTGAGAGCGGACAACAGCACAAATTCCGAAAGTTCCAAGCACAGCTCCAGTTACGGATCTTTTGCAATCATGGTACGTTCCAGGATCCAATCTCATGGACCAAGAGAAACTTTCACAGCGGCGAAGACATTGCTGGTCTGCTAGGAATGGGGGGTGAGAGATGCTGGCTATGCGACAAGCCTATTCCTGCACATGAATTCAGAGAATTCTATGAGTTGTATAACGATGTATACTCGCGCCCACTGTGTCCCGATTGTTTGGATGAAAATGGACAAGAAGAAGAGAATATGAATGTTCAAGCTTCCAAGTTGGCTGAAAGTCTTGTCGGCCATAATCAATATTTTCGTTCAAATGGATATTCGATCAAGATGGAGACCCTTGTCACTGATGTGCAGGAAGATCTATGGAATTCTAAAAGGTATATGTTGCACGTCAGAAATCAGTTCGTCATCCCGATTGGAAATTGACTGTCCACTTGATAGTATTATATTTTCGTTTTGGACTCGCACTCTGGATCTTATTCAGCGATGCCTCGCGGAGAAAGATATTCCGTGCGAACGCATCGACGGCGCCTGTCCTCTGACGCGCCGTCAGGTCATTCTTGATGACTTTGCTAAAAAACCGGACCTGCCAGTCCTCATCATGACTACCGGAACAGGCGCATACGGGTGAGTTGCCTAGGCATCCAGGCGGTCATTAAGTACGTAATTACTGATATCTCGCTTCAGCTTGAACCTGACAGCCGCTAACCGAGTGTTCATCGTGGAACCGCAATGGAACCCAAGTATCGAAAATCAAGCTATTGCCCGTGCTCTGCGACTAGGACAGGAGAAAGAGGTTCGAGTGATTCGATATGTGATCAAACAGACAATTGAGCAGGTAAGAGCAGGTTAAAAAAACATATCAATCGACCACGGTCATGGCTGATAGGAAACAGGAAATGCGGGCACAGCAAGAGAGAAAGCTCAAGATTGCCGCAGCAACTCAGAGGCCGGCTTGATTGATCTGCCGCTTTCGACACGCATGACGATCTATGGAATGTTCCGATTCAGCGTCATCTCAGACATGCTAAGCCTCTCCATAGATGAATATAGAGGACGAGTTTCTAAGGGCAAAGGATTAGTTTTCCTTCCATACAGATCTAATGATAATATGTATTCTTTCGTGAGATTATAGGACCTTGCCTTCGAGGGCTAGAAATATAGTGTCCTCCGGTGGATACCTACCTAGGATATTACTCTATATGCATGATGGACACGAGAGGCCGAGGCTTCTCTAGGCTAAGAATGCAGTACACTTTCAAACGATCGCTTGCATCTCATTGGGTATTTAGCGAGTGTCGCCTTGCTCGTGTCATAGCTGGCATCAACCTTGTCTAACGATGCGGTAGTATGATGCCTTATATTTTCCCCAGGTTCAGGCCATGACCGAGTCCTATTATGTGTCCAGCAGTATAGAAAAATGTATTTTAGGAGAACTAATACATAGGTAGAAGGCATATCCTCAACTACCTTATATATCTAGTATAGGTATACTTCTCATCTACTTAAGCTAGAATTCTGAGGTAGTGAACCATGTGGTAATACCAATCGGCAGAGAGGAAATCAACAATTGCTGGTTCCAGCAGCACCAGATAGATACATTCGTTGCTCAGCCCTTCGCTGCGGTTATCCTTCATAATATTGAGAGATTAAAGCAAGTACTTGGCTGTTTGGAAATTAGGCCAATATACTGCTTAATTATAATTGAATGGCAGCCTCTTAAGATCCTCAATGGCCGTGTACTAGTTATTTAGAGCGAGAGCCGTAGAAAAGGATATGTAGCATGTCATGTAGATGTTACACTTCTTGATTAATTCAGCTTCAAAAGACATCTCTGAAGTATTGCATATCTCTCATAGTTTAAGGCCCTGAATACAGCCTCTATCTAAGCTTCTAGTTGACTAAAATTGCAGTTCTTAGATATTACATCCCATCTTCTAGGTAGTATTCACATAAGGAAGCCCTCACCCTGGCCTCTATTATGCTAAAATTGCAGTGCATGCGGATCTCACAATTAACCCCACTGTGGATCTTGATCAAACCTCTACTATACTAAAATTGCAGTGTAGGGGAATCAATCACCCGGGTTTACCCTCTAGTTACTAGCTATACTGAACTGTAGGGCACCGGCTGCGGCCTCTACTATACTATAATTATAGTGCTTAATTACTACGGAGTACTCTATACTACAGAGGACATAGTGAGGCTTTAACCTAAGCCTATTATACTAAACTTGGACTTTTGGTGGAGTTTATTTTTTATAGGTGTAGGTTGTGTCGCCTATTTACACTGCCAAGTAATATTGGCACTATGCAGTTTCTTGTACCACCTTGAACCTTCCAACTCTTTGTGGGAGTAAATGTAGTAAATCTGATGCTGAGGAGCAGCTGTACAGTCGGATCAAGCAAGTTAAGATTTCTCTTGGTTTACTCTTCTCCATAGATGGTATTCTGTACTAGTTTATAGTAATGTGTCCTTTCCACTCTCTGCCATTCTCATCAAACTATCTGAAGAAAAGGCTGCAATTTGAAATGGCTGAATTTTCACTCGATCATAGCAGCTAGTGTGGTATTTCCACAGAAAAACTCTAGACCTTATCAGTTCCGAAGTATTGACAACAAATAGAGTGATCATCCATTGACCCTTTTGGGCCAATCCGCGCCGGTGTCGGCCTATGGCGTGCCCGGCGGAAAGTATCGCCAGTCCCGGGGGCCGCCAGCCGCGGGGCACAAAATTTCCCTCGAGCTCGCAGCTGTTCCTTTCACCTTCTCTTCTGTCCATCCTCTCTCCCCTTTTGCCTGTCTGTCTCTCCTCATCGTTCATCGATTGATTAGAGGCTACAGACTTCCTATACCACTTCTCCATTCATATACACATCCCTCGAGCCACAATGGTCCAGTCCTCTGTCCTCGGGTTCCCCCGCATGGGAGTCCTGAGAGACCTCAAGAAGGCCACCGAAGCTTACTGGAGTGACAAGATCACCCAGGACGCTCTCCTTGCTGAGGGTAAGCGTCTGCGTCTTGCTCACTGGAAGATCCAGAAGGACGCCGGTGTCGACATCATCCCCTCCAACGACTTTGCCTACTACGACCATGTCCTCGACCACATCCAGCTCTTCAACGTAAGAAATAACCCCTCCTTCTTTTGCCCCTCCTTCCTCCCGCTTCCCCCCCTGACCGCTAGTCTGGGTGCGTGTCGGTTGCTGACCTATCATAGGCCGTTCCCGAGCGTTACACCTCCCAGAAGCTTAACACCCTCGATGAGTACTTCGCCATGGGTCGTGGCCACCAGAAGGGCAGTGTTGACGTCCCCGCCCTGGAGATGGTTAAGTGGTTCGACAGCAACTACCACTACGTGAAGCCCACCCTGCAGGACAACCAGACCTTCTCTCTGGCCCAGGACCCCAAGCCCGTCCGTCACTTCCTCGAGGCCAAGGAGGCCGGCATCCACACCCGCCCCGTCCTCCTCGGTCCCGTCTCCTTCCTGGCTCTCGGTAAGGCCGACCGTGGCTCTTCTGCCGACCCCATCACCCACCTCTCCAAGCTCGTCCCCGTCTACGTCGAGCTGCTCAAGGCCCTCAAGGCCGCTGGTGCCGATCAGTAAGTATCAACCTCAACTCACCTTGTCGAAAAATGGTAGCCAGAAGCTAACCTGCGGTGAATCACAGGGTCCAGATTGATGAGCCTGTCCTCGTCTTCGACCTGAAGCCCGAGATCAAGGCCGCTTTCAAGCCTGCCTACGAGGCCCTTGGCTCTCTCGGAGCCGCTGGTCCTCAGATCACCATTGCCACCTACTTCGGTGACATTGTCCACAACACTGACGTCCTGTCGGCCTTTGCCAACGTCCACGCCCTGCACGTTGACCTGGTCCGCAACCCCGAGCAGCTCGAGACCATCGTCAAGCAGCTCGGCCCCCAGCAGGTCCTCTCCCTGGGTGTCGTCGATGGCCGTAACATCTGGAAGAACAACTTCCAGAAGACCCTGGCCCTCGTTGAGAAGGCTGTCCAGGCTCTGGGCAAGGAGCGTATCATCATCGCTACCTCCAGCTCCCTCCTCCACACCCCTCACACTCTCGCCAGCGAGAAGAAGCTGCCCGAGGAGGTCTACCAATGGTTCTCCTTCGCCGTCGAGAAGGCCCACGAGGTTGTCGTCCTCGCCAAGGCCGTCACCCAGGGCCCTGCCGCCGTGCAGGCTGAGCTGGACGCCAACGCCGCCGCCATGAAGTCGCGTGCCGAGTCCAAGCGCACCAACAACCCTGACGTCAAGGAGCGCCAGCGCCAGGTCACCCCCGAGATGCACAACCGCAAGTCTGCTTTCGACGTCCGCTACGCCCAGCAGAAGACCCACCTCAGCCTCCCTCTCTTCCCCACCACCACCATCGGCTCCTTCCCCCAGGTATGTGGACCGCCCCATCATCTCTCACCCTGGTCTCTCTGCAGATTCACTAACCCTTTCATAGACCTCGGAGATCCGTATCCAGCGTAACAAGTTCACCAAGGGTGAGATCACCGAGGCCGAGTATGATGCCTTCATCCGCAAGGAGATCGACCTCTGCATCCAGATCCAGGACGAGCTTGGCCTCGACGTCTACGTTCACGGTGAGCCGGAGCGTAACGACATGGTCCAGTACTTCGGAGAGAGGTGAGTCTTTCTTCACTTTCATGTCTTTTGTCCGATGGCTACTAATCTTTCAATTAGACTCGACGGTTATGTTTTCACCACCGTATGTTGAAATCATTGCTGTTACGCGAATTGAATTTATTCTAACCCAATCTAGTACGCCTGGGTCCAGTCTTACGGATCTCGCTGCGTCCGCCCCCCCATCATTGTCGGTGACATCTCTCGTCCCGCTCCCATGACCGTCAAGGAGAGCAAGTACGCCGCCTCGGTCTCCAAGAAGCCCATGAAGGGCATGCTTACTGGTCCCATCACCTGCCTCCGGTGGTCTTTCCCCCGTGATGATGTTCACCAGTCCGTCCAGGCTCAGCAGCTGGCTCTTGCTCTCCGCGACGAGGTTGTGGACCTTGAGAAGAACGGTATCTTCGTCATGGTAAGTTTTTGATTATTTTCCATTTTTAAGGTCACATCGCTAACAGGCTGTGTAGTGAGTCAATTATGAAACTAGAATGTTGCTTGCATTTTTTTCTATTCGAATGTCAAACTAACTAAATATTTAGCCAAGTTGATGAGCCTGCTCTTCGTGAGGGTCTGCCCCTCCGCTCCGGTAAGGAGCGTGAGGCTTACCTGACCTGGGCCGTCGACAGCTTCAAGCTGTCCACCGCCGGTGTCGAGGACTCCACCCAGATCCACTCCCACTTCTGCTACTCTGAGTTCCAGGACTTCTTCCACGCCATCGCCGCTCTGGATGCCGATGTCCTGTCCATCGAGAACTCCAAGTCCGATGCCAAGCTCCTCAAGGTCTTCATTGATGAGGCCTACCCCCGCCACATCGGCCCTGGTGTCTACGACATCCACAGCCCTCGTGTCCCCGCCCCCGAGGAGTTCAAGCAGCGCATGCAGGAGATGCTCGAGTACCTGCGCCCCGAGCAGCTCTGGATCAACCCTGACTGCGGTCTTAAGACCCGTACCTGGCCTCAGGTCAAGCCTGCCCTGGCCAACATGGTCGAGGCTGCCAAGTACTTCCGTGAGCAGTACAAGGCCTAAGCGAGTTCAACAACCTTCGCTTCTGTATCCTGTTTCCCCACTTTTCTCTTTAATTTTCTTCCATCTGTCTTCTTTTTTTATGAATCTTCAACAGCATGCATTGGGTTTACGGACGGTATGTGACGACGACAGGCTTAAAACAGGCGCCATTCTCAACGCGGCGTTTCTTTGGGCACGGTGATGAGCAACGACAATCTGATTCAACAATTGGTCATGGGGTTATAATAGATTAAAAGTTATGCTTAGCGGCTCTTCAACAAGAGACCGGGTAGATAGCAGATAGCATCAACTTGACAGGGACATTGATCTCTGATTTTCAATGAAACGATTGTGGCATTCGTAGACAATTGAGTAATAGTAGTAGTAGGTAGTAGTAGTCCCTTTCATTCCTCGTATATAATCTTGTATGTACTATGTATAATCGTGTATTTATTTCAGGTTAAACCGCCCCTCGAGCAACTCGTTCAAGTCCTGCTCAACTTCCCAGGGCAACATATGGCCAACACCCTCGTACGACTTGAAGAAGATGCCTTCACCCAGCTCCTCGCGAAGGATCTCCGCATGGCGATAGGTGAGCATGCGATCGGCCGTGCCGTGGATGACAGCGATCCTCTCGCGCCCGACGGAATCCGCAAGCAACTTAAGCTGGTCCGGCGACTTCTTATGGAAATTGCACGCCGCAACCTGGAGGAGAAACCCCTTCTTCGTGAAGGATTCCGTGTCCGCCCTCTTAAGCAGTTGTCCGGCAGCGAACCGGTCCCGTCTCGTGGGGAAATTGTTCGGCGAGCCCTCCTCATACTCATCGTCCGGGTGGTCGACAAACCCATCCCCGAAAAGCGTATACACCATGCGGTCGAGTTCCGCGTCAATGGGTTTCGGCAGGAACATGGCGGCGCGCCCGCGCAGGTTCTCGAAGAAGGGAGTCGAGCGCACGACCCGCGGCGCAGTACAGATCAAACTCAGACTGAGAAGCTGGTAGGGAATCAACATTGCGACTTCCTGCGCGATCATCCCGCCCATACTCGCGCCGACGAGATGGATGCATCGCTTTTCTCCCTTGTTTCCTTCTTCTCCTCCTGCTTCGTCTATCCATTTCAGGTTCCGTAGTAGGTCGACTGCATCCTGCGCCATCTCGGACGTGGAATAGAAGCAGAGCGGTTTATCAGACCGTCCGATGCCCCGGTTATCAAAGACGAGAACTTGGTATTCGTCTGCTCGGGAGGGGTGGGCAAAGTATCGGGTCTGGCGTTTCCAGTCTTGCAGCGTTGCATTTAGGCCCATAATGAACTAAAAAAATACTATGAATACTTCATCCATACGAATTGGTTTTTTTTTTTTTGAATAAGCGTACCACGACTCTCTTCTCCCCCCGTCCATGGATCTCATAATACAGATTCACGGGCCCCCCTCGCCGACCCGTCGACACCGTCGAGGTTCCGCTGCTGGTAGGCTGCAGCGTGTACTTGACCGACGAGAGGGCCGGGTGCTCGAGCACCTGCGCGGCGGTGAGGTGTTGCGACGTCATTGTTTTGTATATATAGTCTATGTCTGGTGTGGGTTGGGGGCTATTCTGATTCCTTAAGAGGCCAGACTGCAATCTCGTGAGACTAAAAGTTTAGCCGAGAATTGCCGAGGCTAGCCAGTCTGCCTTAGAAATTGGGCATTAACCGATCGGATAGTATACTATTCAAGGATTTTAAGTCTCTTGACTGTTTTATACAACATGTAGGCACTATTCACATGCAACTATAAAGCTAACCCCCGGTCTCCCCTCGTCCATCGATAAACAGACAAGACCGTCCGGCGGGCCTTGGAAAAGTCCACGGATGGGTTCGTGCCTTGGAAACTGAGCAGCGTCGAGCGAAGAGCTTTTCGGAAGGTTTTCTGAACGCACGAATCAGCACGCATAACCTAAAATACTTCTTGAGAGAGGTGGTACCTGAAAGTCTGTACTCAAAGTCACCACGCACGCCTCATGCGCCCGGATGATGATCTCGCACGCCTGCTCAACCGACTCGTTCGGCCCGAGCTGCGGCATGCGGTCCGCAAAGAGCAGCAGGATGAAACTGCCGTGCAGCATGTAGATGCCGAACAGGTATGGCATGAAGGCCAGCTCCGGGTCGAAGGTAAGGATGTGGGCGAGCGACTGGGCAGCGGCAATGGCGTGCGACGCGCACTTCATGAACCGCGGCGAGGTGATCCAGTCGTCGTTCTCCTCCAGCATCGACATGGCGTCCCATTTCCCGTGCAGCAGCACGTGCAGCACGTGTAAAATGTGCGTGCTGTACGCGATCACCAGCTGGATGCCACGGTCGGAGAGGTCCATGCTGCTGCCGATGCTGCTTCGATGGGCCCGAGCAGTGGCGCTAGCACCACCATTACTACTACTACCAGGGTTGTTCGAGTCGAGGTGGGAAAGCTCGTACTCGTGCGGCGAGCTTGATGAACAGTGTGGCGAGGCCGTCGCGGCGGCTGCGTCCAGCAAGGGGAGCGTGGTGAGACTATGCTCACAGTGGAGCAGCATGTCCTCGATGATACCCAGCGGCTGCGAATAGTCGCAGGCGGCCATGCGCGGGTGCGACTGGCGATGGTGAAAATCGATGATGTCTCCCAGGATAGCCATCAGTGGCAGGAAGTACTCGAAGAAGCCGGCGCCCGAGATGATGAGGGGTGGACCCAGGCTGCGCGGCGGCAGCGTCTCAGGCGCAAAGGCCTCGAGGTTCTCCCAAACGCGCTCCGGCAAGGGGGTGAAGACATGGCACTCGGAGTCGTAGATGTGTAGCGGCGAGTTGAAGGAGAGGGCTAGGTGCCGGTCAAGGCAGTAGGTCAGCCAGAACGCACGGCGCTCCTCCTCCTGAGCCTCGAGAGAGGCGAACTCTTGCTGCCCGCTGTCATCGGGGCAGTCGGGCCACCCGCGATCAAGACAGTTCAGTCGTAGAAGTTTGACGAGACGAGTTGTCTTGCTCCACCACTTCAGACAGTCAGCCTTGAAGTCGCCGCCGGAGATCACAATAGTCAGCAGTATGAGGGTAAACACGTCGTCGACGTTGACGCTCGGGCGTTCGGGAAACGTTCGATGGGAGGCGGCCCACTGAATATGGTCCGGATCCATCACACAATCATCTATCAGTCTCCAGCCTCCTACAAAATATGAGTATTGCTTGAAAGAAGGATTCTTTTTTTTCCTTTTGAAGAAAAAAGGAAATAAAATGACTAACCATGCACTCGGTACCAATCATCGACATCCCTCTGGCGCAGCAACGACATGGACAACGAAAACAGGCCATCGATGATCTTCGCCCGCGAACCAGGCACATAAAAGGGTCCGACGTCCGCTGTCTGCGCCGCACACCACAGCATCGTGGCGAGCAAGGCCGGCGAGGTCGGGCGCGGCTGCGTCGGATGCAACAGCGCCTTCCGTCGCACGACATGGGTGATCACGTACGGCGATGCGAAATGGAACAGCGAGGTCCCCGGTTTCTTGAAGAAGATGTCCAGTAAATCGCACGCCACGGAGGGGGCGATCAGATGCTGCAGCGCGGGCAGCAACGGGTCGAGACAGCGATATCGACACAGCGGTTCGGCCACACTACCTCGCGGCGGGTCAGCCACGGCTGGAGGGACGACGAACGACGGGGATTCTGGATAAAGAAGCGACGGTTGTACTTGTGGTGTTTGTAGTGGTAGCGGTGGTGGAAGAGGGTACCGGCTCTCTACCGGCGAGGCCAATTGCGGCAGCGATGGCGGCAACTCATCATGATCTGGCGTCGGCAGAGTAGGATGATGATGAGGAGGAGGAGGAGGAGGAAGAGCCGCTCGGTCACTCTCGCGCGATCTGGTGGGCGAGGGTAGACTATGCGAGCTATGAGGCGACAGTCGACGTGAGGCGAGGGGTTTACGCCCTCTCTTTTTAGCCTCGCGATTGTAAACGCACGAGTGGCCGTAGTCTAACGCAGTAGCAGTGAGATCACTCCACTTCCCAAAGACACCGTCGGGGAAACGCTCGGTAGATACCTAGACAGCGACGACTACGAGGTCAGTGATCGGGATATAGTGCTATTTTGCCAACACCTTGATGGACGTCCTACCACGGCCGGTCGCCGGAACAGCGTGTACGGGACTCGTTGCACTTGTCGCAGGCGCGATGAGCCCGACGGCGATAAGCAGCGAGGCCCGGGGGCAGCAGTGGGTCTGACGGAGACATCACCATCGATAAGATTCAATAGCAGAACCAGATGCAGATCTCCGTGGGCGTGGGGAAGAAAGATAGAGACGAAACAGCGTGAGAGAGAAACAAATCGACTCGAGATGAGGGGGGGGGGGGGGGGGGGAGAGGCCGGGAAAAATTCCCGCGAGAATTACCGTCGGCTTTTATATGGACTGAGGGACTCCTGCGGGGGTTGCGGGGGATAGACGGAGTTTACGGAGGATAGCCAATTTCTGGGGCATTTTGCCGGTGGATTCCAGGGTTCGGATCCAGGGTTTTAATTATATTTGCAGTCTATTATTGGTTTATTTCTGTTTCTAAAGTCTTGCGTTCTGCCTCGGTTTCTGCGTGGAAAAATCAAAGTCCACCCACGGCCCCAGAATCCGGCGCACCTCTTCGTACAGGGGCAAATCCCGCCGCTCGGCCTCCTCGTCCAGCTCGTCGTCTGCCGAAAGACCGTCAGGGTGGGATGTGCGGAGGATTGCCCGTGCAGCGAGTATGTTCTGCTCGACTTCCGCCAGCGAGCTGACTCCCGAGATGGTGCGGACGGTGAAATCGTCGCTCCCCTCGCTGGCCCGGTGGGCTCGACTGAGGGCGTACCGCAGCGACAGCGCCGCCAGGGAGTCCCCCCGGCCAGCAACCCAGTCGGCAGCCTGCTTGGCCGCTGCCCGTAACCCGGCGGGGGCAGGGTGCCAATCGCCCAGACTCCCCTGGGGGACGCCGTTGGCACGCAGCAGCCCCGAGGCCAGCGGACTCGAGCTGCAGACGATGCGGACCCCTTGCTCGCGGAGCTGGGCGAACCCTTCCTGCTCCAACGTACTGTTCTGCAGCGTCAGCTGGGCCCAGTTCTGCACAATGTCCAGCGGGCGCCCGTAGACAGCGCGCACCCGCCGTGCAATGTCCACCAGCACCTCGATCGGATACCCGGAGACGCCAACGTGGCGGATATGACCCTCGGCAACCAGCTCGAACAACGTACCCACGGCCGTCACCACGGCGTCGACAGAGACAAACTCGACGTCATGGCAGAACACCACGTCCAGATAGCTTGTGCGGAGGCGCTGCAGGGACCGCTCAACCGACTGCCGCACCCAGGAAGGCGAGTAGTCGAATTTGTCCGCCGTGATGCGGCCGACTTTGGTCATCAACACGTACTGGTCGCGCGGATACGCCTCCGCGACGGTCGGGTCGGCCAGCGCGGCGCCCAACAACGTTTCCGACGGCTCGTAGTAAGGCGAGGTGTCGATGGCCCGGAGGCCCAGGTCGAACGCCCGGCGGATGATCGTCGCCACGGGCAGCGTCTCGGGGTCGCGCTTGAGCTGGTGGCTGAAGCCCGCGCCGCCCATGATGAGCGGCGGCAGCCGCTGGGCGAGGGGTAATGTTTCTTGGGTCATCAAAAATAACAAGGACAGCAACAGCCGTAGAAACACGGCAAGTCGCAGGTGCCCGTGGACGGCGACGCATCGTCTCTCCTTTATAAAAGGGACATGCTTCTCTTGGAGAGAAATCCGCCGGAATGCGGGTAAATAGCCACGGGGAGATCAGGCAAAATGAAATGGCCCGTCGGACCGCAAATTCCCCGCATTCACTCTCATTATGCTCATATACTATGTAGTATTATGCTCATATACTATGTAGTAATGTAGTTAGTATGTAGAACATAAATAGACTAAATTACTCCCCTCTAATTGCCCTGCCTTGTACCGAGCTGGAGATGGAGATTTGGGGATGAGTCTGCAGGGACTCTTCCAATATGGTTGGAAATATCCAGGAGTTAGACGAGACGTCGATTTAATGGTTATCAGTGGTACTAACTATGTATCTTGAGATACTGTCTTGACCATCTACTCAGTTTAGAGCAGAAAATAGACATTTATAGCTAGACTTGTAGTCTGCAGTGACATATAGTGACCTGTGAATCTAGATCTGAAGTCTAAAATAACTGTCATGCTAGAATTGAAATTGGTTATGTATTATATCTGTCTAGAGTAATAATAGGTACAAAGTAGGGATATACTCAAAGATCAGGTAATTGCTGTAAAATAGAATACTATAGTACTCCGTATACTCCGTACTCCGTATCGTATATACTCCGTATACTTGTTCACTGTATTGCTAGTATCACACTAATGCAGCTAAATCTTGTTGGAGCTTGGACACGAGAAGCCATGACTAGCCTTGGATGAAAAGATAAGAGACAACTCCATTGTTGGAATACATCTAAAAGCCACTCGTAACATTTACATAATCTGCTCGCTCTACACTAACCACCAGCTCCAAGTAATAATTCATCTCCACTCCTAATTTCGGAGGATAGTTGCAATCCGGATCTGGGCGCCCAGACTGAGATGACGAGCCGATGGATCCGGAACGGATCAGATTAGATTTGACTCGGAGTACATCCGCTTTTCTCTTGACAACAACAAGATGATGGAAGATAGATATTATTATACTATATCACTATTATTCACTATACAAGCAGAAAAAACAGCGCATATGCCGCCAGACACCACATATTCGAGAGTATTCCATAATGTAGAGACCCGGCAGAAGAAGTCACTTTCTGCTTCTGCTTCTGAGTAGTAGCGTTGCTCGCATTAGTGGCGTTGCTCTCATTGACGGTGGTCCCATTGCCGGTGGTCCCATTAACGGTGCTCTCACTAACAGTAGATACTGGGGAATCGCACGTCCAGCTCGAGGACTCGTTGACGTTCCCGGATACGTACCTCGCTTCGTGCGGGTAGGGACAGATCGGACGGCGACGGGCGACAAGGGAATCATCGGTAAATTCGGTGGAGTTGATGGCCCATGTTTTCGCCGTGAGGTAGGGCGGGGCGATTCCTTCCTCCACCCAGGCCATGAGCGCCACCAGCGCGTCTTGAGTGCGGTTCCCGATTTCCGGCTGTTCCTGGATGTTGTCTGATAAGGTGGTGGGCTGCGTGGCTCCACCAATATACCAGGGGGCGTTCATGATATCGGGTGTGGAAGCGCAGTGTCTGAAAGAAAAGGTTAGAAAGAAGAAGTTCAAACCAAAAAAGGAAAAGAAGAAAGAGGAAGAACCTACTCCATTCCCGGGACCATGAATAGACGGTAGAACTCGTCGATGGTGGAATTGGCCATGGCCTGCTCGACATGCTCATACAGGTAAACACTATCGCCTGGTGGAACAGAAGGATCAGCCCAGCCGTGGAAATGCAGTAGCTTGCCACCGCGGTCCTGAAAGGCGCTCATGTCAAAGTCATCGGCATTGGAGTTGCCTGGGTTCATCGAGTCGGACAAGAGCACGGTGTCGTAGTCTAGCATCTCCCAGGTCCAGTCGGTGCCCTGCTGCATCACGTACTGGACATAACCCTCGTAGTTTGCGTAGATCCCGTTGGATCCCAGCGTTGACGACCAGGCTGATTCGCTGCCCAGTTCCAGATGAGAGGAGATGTACGTTTGGTTGCCGTCGATCCAGTCGGTATAGATATGGTACAGGATGTTGATCTGGTCACTTGTCAAACAAGTGGCAGGGCTGTTCTCAGCCTCGGTCTCGTTGGCGCAGAGCAGGGTCGACGGCTTGAACACACAGCGTTCTGGGTTGGAGATGACCGAGTCCACAAGCCCGTCTTGCGGATCGCATTGCCTCAAGACCTCGTCGGCCAGGATGGTGAACATGTCGGCAGAAATAGACGAGGCGCTGGAGTTCAACGCGTTAAAGGTCTGCACCTTCAAATTGTACAGTTGGATCCGAGTCGTCCACCATGGAGGTGCTCCAATCAGGACGCCATCAAAGTCGTCTGGGAAGGTCTGGGCGGCCTTGAGGCCCTGCCGACCACCGGTGGAGCAGCCGTCAAAGTAGCTATAGGCCAGAGTCTCGTTGTAGTACGCCTCTGAGACGATCTTGGCGTAGACCGTCGAGTAATGCATTGACCGCCAGCCCCAGTCGGCAATCGCCTCCGTGTTATTGTACGCCCAAGAGGCCGTGGTCCCGTTATGGCCGGTATCGGTGGACATGGTGGCAAAGCCGTATTTCACTCCTGCTGCCTGTCATTGCCTGTCAGCTTTTGACAATTCTTGAGAAGCAATTCTTGAAGCAGCTCTTAAGAAGCATTCTTACCATGTGTGACCAGTGAATACCGCCAGACCATGCTGCATTGCCGACGCCGCTATCCAGGTCAGAATAAAGAAGAGAAAGGGAACAGAGGAAGAGAGGAAGAGAGGAAAGAAAGGGAAGAAATACAGGAATCGGGAGTTCCAGTCGTCTGGCAGGAAAAGGGCAAAGTTGAAGAAAGAAGAGTCGGAGGAAGGCACCTCGACCTTCAGGACGCAAAGAGCCGGGAGCCCCGAGGGAGAGGTGGGATACCCGACGTCGTCGACCACGTCCCACGTAGAATTGTCCGCCAAGTGACTCGCAAAGACAACGGTGGCATTGGAAGAACTTGGAAGGAAGGTCTGAAGGACAGTGACATCGCAGTTGGCAGTGTAGTTCGCAGTGGAAGTAGTAGTAGCGAGTGTAAACTGCACAGAGACAGAGAGAAAGAATGCTACAACCCACCACATGATGGGCAATCGGGACCTGATCTCATGAACTGAACGAATGACCTGGATTACCTCCTAGCGAGGGCCTGATTCCAGGCTTAAATATACTGTCGGTTGGGCTTCGGCACGGTTTCCATCTGATAAGAAGTTGCATAATGGAAAGTGGCCTGGTGGGGGGGGGAATCGAGTCCACTGCGGGTTATCAATAACATCCGGTTCCGTTTGGAGAATAGAGAATAGGTAGTTATATACCCATGGTTTAGTTGAATCATTTATAGCTATATAGATATCTAAGATATATCTAAGAATATTAGGTGCCTGGTAAAGCTAGGTGTCTAGGAAGACTCCATTGACATATACTCTGCAGTCCTGAGGGTGATGCCGCAAGGATGACTCCTACATATGTAGTAGAAGCTAGCTAGAGATTAGTTTGTATGGTAAACAAGGATAAGTTGGTTAATTGCCACTAGCCTACAACTAATTACTTGGTAGTTTCTTGCTGGATCTGCTGAGTTCATAGAAACAGCTACATACAGAGTAATCATGATTATAAAGGGGTACCAGATAGTGAATAGTGACTTAGACTTCATGTGGTCTGAAACAGTATGAATCATACCTAGTACTTCAGTTGCCACATAATAGGGTACTACCTAGGTATATAGTAAACATACAGTTTATTTTATATCTACATTAAACTGAAAATATCCACAGGTATTGTAACATTGTACGGAGTAATATAACTAGGGTTGATCCATTCAAGTGCGTCTAGAGGGATTTAAACTATGAAGGGATATTATAGGCGGGAACCGGGGATATTACAGGCGAGAATTATGAATACTATATTCTATTAGCTAACTAGACTCGATAATCTGAAAAATATATGCTCAACAGGGCTCACTAGATCCAAGTCCTCGCTTGATCCTTGCTTGGTTCTTGCTATGTACATACAACGCTACAAGGTACACAAGGCCAATAATCTTAGTGTCAGGTAGTTACAGGATAACTACCTAGTTATTTATATAATAGTTAAATACATATATAAATTAGATATGTTTATATTTTTATCAATACAACCTAAGATATGTAAAATATAATTTATGGGACAGACATCGTTGTCGGAAGAACTGGCTATTGACCTTAATGCCATGAATATTAATGAATACCTACTATATCACTGAGTATTAATCCTTATGAAGATTTATTACTGAACAGAAAAACATCTTGATAGAACAGAATAAAGAATAGCAAAAACATTAACCAGATATACTATATATACAGTCAACCGAGTACAATATGGACCACAATCTTGTCTATTATTCGAGGAATTATTGATAGTAGAATCCACCTCTTAATAGTGACAGACAGACATTGCTTTCAGACCCCAACACTCAATAATAGCAGACAAACACTACCACTTCTCGAATACTCCGTATACTCCGTAGTAAAAAAATAAGTATTATCCCGGCTCAGCCCTAACTCATCCATCAAGCACAGAATAAACTAGGGCCTAGAACTGTGGGGGAAATAGAGGCAAATCCACAGGGCAAAATCGACAGAAAATCCACCCTCAGCCACGCGTATCTCAGAGATTTTGCGGTGGAGCCTCGAAGGCGACTGCACCCCCAACACTTGGGGCCCGGATTCTTCATTCTGCCCGCTGGAATTATCCCTGCACGGTCTGGTTCTCTGTCGATTAATTGTGCTGCCATTGCAAGACGCTGGAATAGTCTCATCCGCTGCAAACGGTGAGGTTTGAAAGTCTGCTGGAAAGTTTGCGGGCGGGGACCACAAGAGGGGTCGCCCACGATTCCTGGCCACAACAGCGTCCCTGGTCTTGACACCATCATTGCCATTCAACCCACAACTCCCACCGGCTTCTTCTTCTTCATCTTCACCTTTTACCATTCTTGAACCTGTGATACACTGTAATCCCGCCATGTCTGGTCGTCAAGTCTCCCACGGGCGCGGAGGCGCAGGTAAGCCTTCCATCCCCCCCCTCCCCCCCTTGTTAAGCTGTTCTCGGCGACAACCCCGCTCACTGCTTTCCGTGTAGGCAACATTTTCTCAAAGGAATCGAACGGCTCGTCGGCCAAAGATCTCGTCACCCCAACCATCAAACAAGACATATATACCACCGGGCGCGGAGGCTCCGGCAACATGGTCGTCAACGACCCGCAGCATCCGGAGCTCGCGCGCGAGAGTCAGGATGTCGAGCTTCCGCCTCAGCGCCAGGAACAGGGGCGTCACTTTCTCGGACGAGGTAAGGTTGCAAGAAGAAAAATATCGGAATCTCCGCTGACTTGGTTTCAGGCGGTGTGGCGAACGCGTATATCCCTCCCCCCGGCGCAGAAGAGAAATTTCGCCAGCAGGAGGAACAGGAGCTGCAGCGTGTCCGGACGGCGTCGAGAGATCGTCTGAAGGAACTGGAACGCTCGCATGACCAGCGCAAGCAGTCGCCGGCCAGCTGAGCCTCGTTCACTTACTCTGTTTGGAATCCTGTACACTTGCTTCTCCTTCTTCTTCTCTTGACTGTATCGATACCCCCCTGGCAATGACTTGCTTCATGTCTAATCTTCGTTTCTCTCCCCTCATTGCTCTCCTCTTCATATTCTTCGTTTAAATGTCTGTTATTTTCTTTTGTTTCTTTTTTTTTGCGATCCTGGACTCTGCACGGCCGATTCGATGATAGACACAAAAAAGAACCTTTGAGTGCGCACTAGACATGATGACACTTTTATTATTATCAATTCCTCGTTGCTTTTTTCTCCTTTTCACCCCACATCGGGGGAATTGCTTTCGCTTCCAATGAGACGGCGCCCGCTTATCAGGTTGCATGATCTTTGCATCACTACAGAGTATTCAGGCAATTCTTAGTTAGGTAGTTTAGATACCTATGTAGTACAGGGTATCTTCTGACTGTTTTCATGAATATGTAAAAAAAAATATTATCATCTATTGGAGGTCCTCATATAAGACCAGTAAATTTTATCAGGTCAGCTATTCGATAGCTCTTATATTACTGAGGTGATGATGACAGAATAGACCAGCAATAAGCGTTGACAAGGCTTGGAAGTATTAGCCCAATTTCTATTCTATGGTGAATGAACTGGATATGCCCAGGAATTCATATCCTTTAATCACTACATTCAACTTCATGAGGCTTGATCCTAGTCCTTCTCAACCCGTCCTCCAAACCCAAGACTGGCGGCGGGGAATGATGTATAAGCATCCTGGAAGTCTCCAACGCTGGTGAACTCCTGTGAAGGCCAATCATGTGCGATTCGAGCAGGGGGGCCTGGCTGTCCTTTCTTGGACTTAACCCAAACCCTTTCAACAAGGGAAGATATTTACCCTGCCCTGGGCTATCCGATGTTATCGTGTATATAGTTATCGATGCGTTGTGGTTCCAACGGCACATCGACGATTTTAAGTCCCAGGCACGAATCCAGTCGCATCGATCGCCCAGCTGATGGATTGCGTCCACTGGCAGCCGAGCACTTGGCTGATCTCCCTCAAGATCCGGGTCCCCCAGTCTCCCATCCACCAGCGGTCCCGAAGGTGATGCAGGATCACGCAGTAGTGCGCCAGTATGGTCAGGGCGAGCGGCTGGCGGTCTGTGAGCAGGTCGAGGTAGCGTGCAGGCAGTCGATGGATCCATCGGAACGCGATCAGACTTGGCTCCCCGCCCCTAAGCAGTTTCTCCAGACATTCACCCAGTATCTGGATGGTTTCCGTGTAGACGGCCGTTTCGTGGTGGGGATCATGATTCGAGAACGTGGTGTTGAGGTTGTGCAGAAACAGAATGGCCAGCTTGGATGTGTCCGGCATCTGCGGCGCAGGATCCTCTTCCCGAGTGGTCAGAGATCCCATCTCACCGTCCTGGACCCAGGGAATGATCTCGATCAGCACCTTGATCGACCGCCGGGTGATACTGAATACTCGGCACAGATCATCGAGCGACGTGTGGGTAGAGGTCGGCCTCACGAGTAGGGGAAAGGCAATCGAAAACACAATCATCAGGCTAGACAGGGCAAAGGTGGCATTGCAGTTTCTCTCGCTGACGGCACCCGCCAGTGTGAGGCCGCCGAGGGCGTGTGTCTGATGAGCCTGCGCCGTTTTCAGGTACTCCTTTTGCTGTTTCCCACGGTGTGTGAAGGCCAGGTGCAGCGCCGAGAGAGCGAGCACGCCCCGCATCAGAAACGGGTTTCGCAGCGACTCGCGAGGCACGACAGACTGCCAGACCCGTTCACCAGCACTGGTCCGCGCCAGCGAGCGGTATGTTGCTGTACACCAGTTCATCATGAGCTCAAGGTCCTCCAAGTTGAGCTTCTGCTCGGAGGCCATCAGGTCGACCGAGTCCTCGCTTGCCGTGGACGACGACGACGAGCTCGGCGTGGGTGGGCGAGATTTAATCCGAATGTCAGACCAGATCAACGAGGGCGAGTTATTCTGGCTGACCAGCCGGTGGTTGGAACACTGTTCACATCCTGGACGTGTCTCCGAGCACTGTAAGAAGAAGGTGTCAGCCTTTCTTTTCTGAATCATGGTGGAGGAAGACATGTGATTGAGGCCTCAGGCACCACAAAACACGCACCTTCATGCGTCGTGCCTTGCAAGGCAGGCACTTCTTCTGGCCGTGACTTCGCCGCGCAGCCATCGTGAGGAGATCAGTCTGAAGGGAGCAGGGACAAAGACGAGACGATTACAACTGCTCCTGGGTAAGCCTGGCGATTGAGACCTTGGCTCTGGCGGTCTTTAACTGTGGATGGTGTCGTAAACCGATTTTATTCACCCACTGGGGCGCCTGGAGGAAAGGTACCTAGGTAGGTTCCAGCTGCCGTGATGGTGGGTCTGTCTGGGACGCTGACTCGCATCTGCTTTCGTCTAGGATAATATGCAAGACTGACTCAATTCAAATATTGACCGAGGATCGTTCATTCGATGAGCTTTTATACCGGATAGCCGGCCCTGCGTTGAACCCAAACTTGAGGGAAGGGACACTGTCGCAAGAGGCCTCCTGTACTCGCTCCTTCGAGCGACTGGCATCGCACAGCATCTGCTGGTCACTAGATTTCAATGATTGACAGCGATCATGGGCAGCGAGGGAGCGTGGGAGCGTGGGAAGAATATCTACACCAGGAAAATGATGAACGGCCCAGTGACTCCGCAGAGAGTGTCTAGAAAAACATCGCAGGCCGGCATGCTCCACAAAACCGTTCCACTTCTCGTTCAATGAAGACCTCTAGCCCCTATCATTCGGGCGCCTCTGGAAGCTGTGGACAAAAAAAGGAAACGCTCATGATGCCAAGCCTTGCGGGCTATCTGTCTAGAGTGCTTTTCCCCGATCGAGTAATCGCTGTGCACAGCGTGCCGTGATTGGTGTTTCGCCCGTCTCAGGATCGTCATGGCACTTCGAAGTGATTACGCAGCAGTCTCTTTGTTCGCGTCAAAAATAGCCAGCGCAACGGGTATCGAGCACAAATGCGGCCTACGGGCAATCACAGTGGGTATGCTGATTCGCCGTGCATTACAAGACTGCTATGACCACGGAGTAACTCCATAACCCATTCTCCCTAGTCCGTCCCTCTCCGTACGGAGTACGGAGTTACTACCTCCTCGTCGACTATCGGACCGTGTGTTCCGTCGACCGCCCTTTCAAATATTCGGGTGATCATCATTTAAGCGCTAATGATCGACCGAACAGGTGGCCCGACGACTCTGGTACGAAAAGGACAACCGCGGAATCCGGAGTACGGAGTGGTTACGTACCATTCTCAACTCGAGTCAGCGGCACTGTTACTACAGAGCATTGCACTGCACTCTGCGCTCTGTACTCCCGTATTGATGCTGTGGGAAGATGGGCTCCACAAAATAACCTTGCGGTAGGGACCCCTAATTTTAAAGATTAATTAAAAAGGCCTGCCAATTGGTTTGGACTTGATTAATCCCATGAGGTCCCTGGAGCCCAATTCCCATTCAATTTGCTAGTGGGGTATGTGATGGCAAGAAGGCTCTCTCTCTCTCTCTCTCTCTCTCTCTCTCTCCCCGGCATGATTCAATTGATTCCTTGCACAGATTCACCGGGCTCATCGCTACGAGTGAGACAAGTGATAGAAGTTCCGAAGAACTACTCCTACGGGAACTCCTGATCTGCAGATGCTAACTACGGAGCATAGGTAATAAGGTATGCTTGCTTCGACGTGCCCGGGAACGAAAGAAAGACCTGACCAATGGTTCTTTGCAGGGGTGATTCCGCATCAGGGAATAAGAAGCGGGATCCCCGTTGCGCGGTGATCTACAGATCTACGGGACGGAAGAGTGACTCTTTCTAGTCCAGAGCATCCAACGAACTACGACGTAACCATACATTCATACTTCATACTCCATCTAGAGTCGATCGGATGTGCTGTCGCCCTACGGTTGGAAGCTTGAATCCTTCCAACTCATTTGCAAAGATGAGCGAGACGGATTTGGTCCGACCGAATGACCGACCAACATAGCCAGCTCGGTACTATTCCAAATTATGTGTCAATCATGATCCCAAGAATAGTGACCAAACAGTTAACTTATTAGATGATGCCCATTCTATGATGGTATGACACCAGATCCATCACATGCCATGGTCTGGACTTGACGACAACTATCTCATTCTCGAGTCAGGATACCTTTCCCTACCAAGAGCGCATTATTCACTCCGAGCCAGATCTATTCCATTCCATAGCTGGATCCCATCAAGTACGGACCAACTAACTATATGCAGATCAAAGGAATCAGAGAATCCCTTTACCTATGCTCGGTACAGAGAGGGATAGGTGACAAGGCCTTTCTTTTGATCGTCCTGTCTGTCACTGTTCTTTCCCTTGTCTCTTTCCCTTGTTGGTCAACTCCGAAGCATCCATACTGCAAATGGAGAATGGGCCGGGGTGGTACTCGATGATAGTTAGGTGATCATGCAGCAGCTACGTTTCTACATAGGGACATAGGTCATTTCACCGTCCCTCTAATTCTGATTTATCGGCAATGATTGATCAAAAGCACTATCTTCTAGTTGCCTAATTTACTAGTTGCCCAACTATGGCCCTGAAAGTTCCCTTAAGAAGTAACTGCGCATACGGCCAATTCAATTCCACCAATGACCTGCCAACTGATACTGATGAAGCTTGTTTATGTTTATCCCTGCGGCAAACAGAATACGCAGGTATTTGTGAATCAGGTGATAGTTTCCCGGATGGAGAATACAGGGCTCTCCTAGAATTGAATTGATACTTAGGTATGTATATACGGCAAGAATAGCAAGGTATTACCCATCCCGAACACCGGAGCAAACCGACCCCAACACCGCCTGGAGAATCGAGACAAGCGGAAAAAACAGAAACCAACACAGAAAAAAAGGATACATGAGTTCACTCGTAATCATCTCCGTCATCGTCGTCGCCTCCGCGCCCTCGCGACCCCTTGACGCCATCTTTACGAATGGGAATCTTGATCCCCTGTAGGGCAAAGCATTTGCTCAGCTGCGTGCTCTCGATCACGCCGGGGAACTTCTTTGCAGAGAAGACCTGGAAGGGCTCGGAGAAGACTGAGGCCAGTACCGGGGCGGAGCCGTGGTTGACCACCGTGCTGTTGGCGCCGTCACTGGGGTCGGTATTTTTGGTACCTACGTTGACAAAATTCATCTTGAGTCTACCAGAATCAGTGTCCCATTTTACCACGCTCACCCCGCTCCGGGAGAGGAAGAAGAGGGGGGAAAGAAATAAAGAAAAAAAAGAGAGAGGAGAATTACCGGAAGGTTCCCTCAGTCCGAACACTCAGATCTTGCAAGATAAACCAGACACCAATCTTGTTGTCCGGGTCGGTCAGACGAAAGGCACTAGCGCTGAGGCTACCGATCAGGTTGCGAGTGAACATGCCGGTGCCTTGCGAGCTCGGGGCAGGCGACATGTTGGCTGAGGGTAAGTGGTTGCCGGTAGGATAGTATGGTGGGTAGTATGCATTTTGCGGGTTGGCGCCATAGGCGTTTGGGTAGGCCAGCTGCTGGTTGGCGCCATAGTAGTTGCCCATCTGCGGATAGCCGACTGACTGGCCGTAGGGAGTCTGACCGTATGGCGGATAGGCGGCGGCCATGTTCTGCGGTGGCGGCGGGTAGGAGGAGGAGGTCGCGGTAGAGATTGAGGGGGAAGAGGCCGAATGGCGGACGAGATTGACCTCGCTGGTGCCTTCGGCATTCCACAGATCGACGGTGAGGACATAGAACGAGGTATCGATTTCACTAGAACAGACCGTCAGTACTAGCATCAACGAGACGAGATGGCGAAAAAAGAAAAACCATTTCGGCCATACTTGATATCCACTTCCTTCTCGGTCTGGGCGTCTCGCACGATGAGGCGGATGCAGGGCGGAGGAGTAATGGGGCGCCGATCCTGGTACCTATTAGCCTGGAATCACCTACTCATAAGTAGTAAGAGGGGAAGGAGTACCTTATCTCCAAAGCCGCACATGCGCGCGCGGATGGGTTGTTGAACGACCTGCAGCGACCAGACGCGGCCGTCGAGGACGGTGGCGATGGGGGCGAGGTGGTCGGAGGAGCGCATCAGGTTACCAGACCCCGGGGTCGGATAGGCGGCGGCCGGAGGAGGAATGCGATCCATCGACAGCGGGGGGGGCGGACCTGGATGGGACCTTTCGTGCTCGGCGGTGTACATGGTTCGGGCGCAGAGGAACCGAGGGTGGGAAAGAAGCAGCAAAAACACCACCGAAGGGGATAAGCAGATGATCTTCTGAGTGTAGGATGGACAGTCTAGACGACCTTCTTCCGTGTCAGGAGCGGAGCAGAGGGGTCAGGGACCTGCGACGTCACTGTTGGAGCATCGACTCTGCGGCCGCCGGAGGGGTGGTGTGTGCGGGCGGGCGTTTTGCGAGCGTTTTGCGGGCGTGCAACGGTCGACGGAGAAGGCTGCGTCTCGCAACGGACAGTCGACAGAACCCTCGGAGAAGCTCGGAGCGACGAGAAATAAAACGATCCGCAGGAGAAAAAGGCGTCGAGGGGCCGGAGGAGGGGAGGGATTCGGTGGTCGAGTTAGTGGGCTGGAGGAGGAACAGCGGTGGAAAGAACCAGCGTTGACGAAGGCGGAAAGTGAAAGTACAAGCGACCGAGAAGCGTCACTGCCGAACAGGTGAAACTAGAGGCGACTGGAATCCCCGTCAGACCAAGAAGAAGATTGTGGGAGGGTTTGATCAAGGGCAGACAGACTGGAGAGCTCGAAATCTCCCGACACACCGATTGGACCCGGGGCTGAGAAGCTTGGGGGGGTAGTAGACTCGGAGGGAATTTAGCGGCGGCTGTCACAGCGGGAGATGCGCTGACTTTCCACGGATCGCAGCTCTGAAGCGGGTGTGGTATGAAAGGAGGTGGAAATCCAGAGAGAAGAAAGGAGAGGAGAGCAGCGAGAAAGAGGGAGAGAGAAGGGGGGGGAGAGAGAGGAAGATACGGCCGGTGCTGGAAGTGGAAGTGGGTTGGACGCAATGGATTATCTAACGATGCGATGCCACGACGGCAGACAAACCCAGGATTTCTGTACAGAATAATATGTCTGGCAGATGATTTGTTTTTCTCATTTAATTCTATCTACTAGGCGTATTAATTATAATTAATTTTCTTGTTTCTAAGGGTTCTACCTGAAGACTTGTCTTTACAATGGTTCTATAACTACTCTCTATCCTCTTAACTACGGTAGGTATACCACAACCGACCGTTTTCAGCGACCGTCTTCGGACGATGATGGTGGGCGAATACCACATCAATGCAACCTCGTAACTGACTGCCTGGATGGGAGATCGCCTATGGAGATAATAAAGAACAGAAGGATGAAATCAGACAGATTTAAGAAGTCTTCTTTTCCACTTCCCCCGGGGCATGGCTGTGATATAAATGAATATATCATTGAGAACTAGGTGGTACCAGCGCTGTGGTTCAGTTGTGAAGAAACAAATTAATAATAACAATATTCTTTTTATAGAATTGCCATTGAAGTATAGTACTTTTGTTTATTAACATAACAATGATAATACTCTGTAATACTCAGACAGCCATTGGTAAGAAGAGTTCCTACTCCCTCGCCATCCTGTCTAGATGCCAGTAGATGGTACATACCTTTAAACTATCTATTTATTTCTTATTGAATAATAATCGAATATAACTAGAATTGTCACCAACAGCCCTATAAAATAATGACAGAGAGAGAACTCTGTATAATTCAAAGTCGAAGCAGGTTGGATGCCAAAGTATCAAGGCAGCGCGGGGCAATATCGTTATCTGTTCCTGATCCTGTTCTCGGCCCTCTGAGCGGCACCCGATGGGGCTTTTAAGCGGCTGGCAATGTGCGTGGAGGATAATCCTCAGACATGATTGTGAGCTCTGGAGTGACTAGTGGACTGCCCTCACAGACAGTGACGAAGGAGATTCGGGATTTGTCTCAGGGAGTAGAACCGTCCAAGGGTAGGTTGCCTAGATTGACTTATCTAAACGACGTCCTAGAGTCAGTAGTTTCAGTAGTGAGATAGTTTCAAATAAAGTCCATGTCAATGAGCGCGTTCCCATCGGATTCAAACACGACATTCAAAGGTTTAAGCTCAACGTAATACTTCGTACAAGGATCCGTAGAAACGGCAATGCCGGCTGCTTGCACAATGTTGGGCACACCTTTGAAAAGGCCGATGCTCTCAAGCTCTTGCGTATGACCTGTGTGTCGTGGGGCTGGTAGAGAGGCCGATTCACGACTGTGAGGACATATGGCTTCCTCGAACGGTTGTTGTTGTCTGGCCGAGGAGAGACTGAGCTCAGGAGTCAGGACTGAGGAGTCAGGACTGTCGGTGAAGACATGTGATACACCCAACCCTGCCCTAACTTGAGTCTCAATTCGGTATCCAAGTATGGAAGTACCGGGTACCTCAGGGCTAAGCACTTACCTAGGTACTTGGGTAGAAGGTACCTACCTGTCTTTAAATCAAGCCTTTCCCTCGTATCCCTTTCTCTGACGGGAATGCAATACCTTCACCAAATTGCGTGATGTCGAAGCATTCCGTACCTGGGTAACTAAAGTATCGAAATATAATATCCTCTGAAAGTTGAATCTCCAGGAAAATCCACCACATGGGTTTTTATCTACCATTCGAGTCGTAATGGCGTGCAGGCCAGTTATGTAGTATACCATCAAACACCTTTTATACTTTATCAAGTGGATCATGAAGGTGATCACTTTATTTATTATTACTACATCCTAGCCGGAGATTTCCTCAGCCCCCACCTAGGCAGGGATTCTTACAGGTTCTCTTCACTGCTGACTGCCGATGATGGGGGCCATTACCACCTATGGAGTAGTTATTGACAAGGTAGAAGGTATGTAGCGTCGGCAGCAAGGCAAACCTGAGACATGGAGGGGGAGGGCGTTGTTTGCCATATAAGATCAGGCAAGCTCTGGCTGCTGATCGAGTTGCGATGGATAAAATAACCATTGGAGTCTCTCTGGTTGCCATCATGGCGTTTGCTGGCATTCTTACAGCTTGCTTATTGCTGCTGCCTCACGTATCCTCCACCGCCACCTTCACTCCGCTGCTGCCTCCCGCATATCCTCTCGCGGTGCGCAGTCCCTATCTATCAGGTGAGAACTCTGAATTCATAATTGTCCCTTCTCCCCTGACTTCTCCGTGTCTAACTATCCAGCGTGGCTCCCCGGTAACGCAGCGGAGAACCTCCCATCGAGTCGCTCGCAGTTCTGGTACGGCAACGAGCTGAACTGGTCGCTCATCGCTCGGGTCGACGATGTTGCGTACAACTTGTTTGGCGTGGTCGACTCCCTCGAGGATACGAAGAACGCGACCGTCACGGAGGGCAAGTACACTTCGACACACAGTATCTTCACGTTGACTGCGGGTGCTGCCACCATCACACTCGACTTCCTGTCGCCCGTCTCGCCCACAAACTACCTACGCCAGTCGCTGCCGTTCTCCTACCTGACCGTCACCGTGAAGGCGTCCGGCCAGAGCGTTCAGATCTACTCCGACATCGACGATTCGTGGACAGGCCAGTCGACAAGCTCCGAATGGAGCTACGCCACGAACGGCTCAACCGCCGTCTACCAGATCTCTGCCAAGGACACGGCCACCTACTCGCAGAACACTGCCGGCCAGGCTCTATGGGGGGACGCCGTCTATGCAACCCGCCCCGGGAATAGTAGTGGAAGCAAGTTGACCGCTGCGTCGGGCCCCGTGGCCGCTGTGCGTGCCCAGTTTGTTGGGAACGGAACCCTCGACGATACCCACGAGGCCTGGACGTCTGGGGGCGTCGTCGGGTTCGCGCAGGAGCTGGGTACGGTGAGTGAGAGTGCGGCCGTCACCTTTGCTATCGGCCATGTACGTCTGCAGTCAATCAATTACCTGGGCGCCGCGCAAACAGGGTACTACCGCGCGACGTATCCGGAGACGGTGGCAGCGGTCTCGCACTTCCTGGACGATTACACAGACGCCGACAGCGACGCGAGCAGCCTGGACGAGCTGATCCAGAAGGCAGGCGAGGAGTCGTACAGCGCAGGCGGCAGCAACTACTCGGATATCCTGGCGCTGTCTGTGCGGCAGGTGTACGGCGGGATGGAGCTGACAATCCCAGACGACACGCTAGACACGAGCTCGCCGCGGGCGTTCATAAAGGAGATCTCGAGCGACGGTAACATCAACACGGTGGATGTGATCTATGCAACGTTCCCGCTGCTGTACGCGCTGGACGCGACCTGGATCAAGCTGCTGCTCCGGCCCGTGCTCGAGTACTCGGTCAGCGACCTGTACACGGAAGACTACGCAGTACACGACCTTGGAGCCGACTACCCGAACGCGACGGGCCATCTGGCCTCGGGCGAGTCAATGCCTGTCGAAGAGAGCGGCAACATCGTGATCATGAGCCACGCGTACACAAAGGCCTCGGGCAACGACGACCTGGCCACCACATACGCCGACCTGCTGGAGAAGTACGCGACTTATCTACTGGTCAATGGCGAGTACCCCGCCAAGCAGCTATCACTGAACGACGGCCTGGGCGAGCTGGCCAACCAGACCAACCTGGGCATCAAGGCGGCCGTCGGCTTGGCCGCCTACGGGGCGCTCACCGGCCAGGATAACTATACCACCGCCGGCCAAGGATTTGCAACGACAATCTATACCGACCGCGTCGGCACAGATGCAAGTGGTAGCTACTTCACGATCCAGTACGGGATCGAGCCGTGGTTCCTCGTCTTCAACCTCTATCCGGACATTCTCTTAGGGCTAGACGTGTTCCCCGAGGCCGCATACAACGCGACGAGCGCCTTCTACCCGACTGCCCGCGAGGCGGCCGGACTGCCCCTAGATGGCTCGCTCGCATGGGGCCAGACAAACTGGCAGAGCTACGTTGCCGCGACGGTGACGGGTGCCGCGCGCGAGATGCTCATCGCCGACCTACACGCGTACATTTCGAATGGACTCAACGCCGTCCCCTTTTCAGACAAGTACTGGGTTAAAAATGGCACAGACTATGTCGCGGGCGAGTACGATAGTTTCCGCGCCCGGCCGACCCTGGGAAGCCACTTTGCCTTGATGGCTCTCCTGGGAGAGAATCAGTTGTCTTAGCTGCAGTCAATATATGCATGCATGGTCGTATGCTCCATGTTACGCCACCATGGCGAAGAGCACGCCATAGAAACTATAGTACGACACGACCAGGGCTAAGTACTTGGCTACTTAGGTAGTTGATTGGTCACGTTTCATACATAGTATGCCCTCTCCTCTGACTCCGCATTATCATCTCAGAATTGAAGGGTGCAACAGGTAGGCCATGGTTGTCAAGTATTCCAGATGGCGAACATAGGTCTTCCCTATCTAGATCAGAACTACCTTCAGCAAGTGGAGAGTACCTGGTATCATCCAGTAACAGAATGATTGGATTAAATGAAGATGGTAACTAGTGTAGAGCATATTCATAGAAAGTCCATACGGTCTATTATACTACATCTCTAGTGCCTCCATATCCGTACAGCCTTGTCCTTCCCTCCACTCCCGACCCGTTGCCCATCCGGACTCCAGTCGACGGCAAACACCTCGTCCTGGTGTCCTGGCAGATCCATGGCCAGCTTGCCCGTGCGCACGTCCCACACTTTCAGCGTGGTGTCTTTCGACGAGGAGACAAGCAGGCGAGAGTCGGCGGAGAAGCAGCACTGGTAAACGGCGCCGACGTGGCCGCGGAGAGTCGTAATGAATCTGCTCGTTAGCTTGGGAAACAGAATTTCAAGAGAAAAGGGACGGAAAAAAAAAAACTTACTTTCCATCTCTGGCATTCCAGAGTTTGACGTGGTTGTCAAACCCAGCAGAGGCAATGTACGCCATATCCGGCGAAAAGCTCACATGGTTGACTTCCTTCTGGTGCCCCAGCAACCGGGCAATAGGTTTGTTTGACTGAGCCGGGTCCCACAGAAACATGGTGAAGTCGTCGCTGGCCGAGACCAGCTTCTCAACAAGCTGGTTGTTCACCGTGGCCGCCTGCTCGAATCGCCGGCGCGCAGCGGCAACCCTGTCCGTCTCCGAGTCCGGGACTGTCCCCATGGGGTCATGGTAGGCCGTCCGCAACACCGAGTCCGTCGACAGGGCCAGGTGGTTGACCCGGTGGGCGTGTGCTGCCAGCGTCTGCAGCAGGGCTCCGTTCTCCGGGTTCCAGATCTTGATCGACTTGTCGTGAGATGCCGTGTAGATCTTGCCCAGGCCCCCCCACCGCACGCAGGTTACCGACCCCTTGTGGCCCGTCAGGACCAGGTCGATCCGTTTCGATACCACATCCCACACGCGCACCGTGCAGTCCTTGGACGCCGACGCCAGCCGGGGCCGCCCGCTCTGCTGCACATGGTACGGCTCCCACGCCAGACTTGTGATCCATTTCGCGTGGCCCTTGAGCGGGCCCCCCAGTGCCTGGCCCTTGTCCGCATCCCACAGCCGCACCGTGTTGTCCATCGATCCCGTCGCGATCATCGCCCCGTTGGGCGAAAAGCTGACGGCCAGCACCCAGCTCGTGTGACCCTTGAGCGTATACTTGGGCGTGTTCGTCTCGCAGTCCCAAATACGAGCTGTCGCGTCCCCGCTACCGGAGACCATCGTCGACGAAGAGACCGGTGAGAAGCAGGTCGCCAGGATGGCCTCGCCGTGACCCGCGATCGCTGCCGCACACCGCGAGACCGCCTTCACTCGGAACACCGCCTGCGGGGTGTAGTACAGCGGTATCGTCTCCTCTGTCGTCTTCAACCCCGGTTTCAGTAGCGAGTGGTACAGATCGGCCAGGATATCGAGCGTCGGGCCATCCTTCTGGTCGGACTGGTAGGTGAATCGGTAGGGAACTCGTTCGTCATCCTAAACAGTTAGAAAGAAAACACACAAAAAAGAAGGAAGAAAACACTAATGGGCAGATATCAGAATACATTTTCTAGTAATGTGTTTAATAACGTCTCGAGGTTCTTGACCGTCGCATCAGCGACCGGCACCGAGACCGCCGGCCCCGTAGCAGTGCCGGTGGCCTGGTCGAAGAACTGCACACGCACACTGCCAAGATCGGCAGGTATGCTCTCAATCTCCTGCTGCTGGCGTGCCTTTTCGGCAACCTCCAGCTTCTGGCGCTTACTGGGCGGGGGCAAGAGCGTGGCCATGGTGGAATGGTAATGTGCTGTTGGAGGGGTTGAATTTGTCGTTGTCGTGATATTTTTTTGCGGAGTGAAATTTGATGGCGCTAGTCTGTTTTGGTTTATCTTATCGATAGCTGATATTACTAGAGTATTTGATTCGGGTGTAGGTAGTACTGTTATAGTGCTTAAATAAGATAATTGATGAAATATATAGTAAGAGTTATCTGCATAGACTCATATGATATGATGGTACTCGGTAGCAACTCGATTGTGGCTCTTCGTGGGCGGAGCAGCCACCCTGCAATAGTTACACTAGCCTGTCTATGCTTCAGTTTTCATAGAGATCAATCGAATGTAGATATACAATAGTATAGAAGATATATCGGTCTAGTTATGGTGATATAGAGCCTTTCTATCTGTTCCTAATGACTTACTACAGTATGTGGAGGAATATCATCCAAATCTTTTCACCGTGACTGCCCATTTGGGACGTCATCTGATATCGGCTCTTCAATTCTCTCAACTCTCGACTACCTCCTTCATACACTCCTCCTCTTCTGCGATACACTTACCCTTAATCTATGCTAGATCTATGCATAGGTACTCATCATGGCGTTGTTGAGAGCATCGTCTCTCGTGTACAATACTCGCGAGCACGCTTCTCGACCAGCAGCCAGGCCAACGAGCAGCAGACCAGTCACCAGAGCCACCAGCGTTGACTCCCAGGAGATTGTGTGTGCCGCCAGTGAGTCAAGAGGCATCTCGACTACTGTAGGGCTCGCTTTTGTCAATCTTTCGACTGCCGAAGTAGTCCTCTGTCAGATCTGCGATAGCCAGACCTATGTCCGAACCATCACCAAGATCGCCGTCTTCGAGCCGACCGAGATCCTCCTCATGAACACCGCCAAAGAGTCAAAGCTCTTCTCTGTCATCAGTGGGAATCTCGAAGAGTCCACCTTGACCCTCATCGACCGTCGATTCTGGTCCGAGAAGACCGACCAGGAATATGTGGATCATCTGGCCTTTCCTGGTGATGCAGAATCCATCAGAATGGCTTTGGGGGGGAATTATTTTGCAGCATGCAGCTTTGCAGCCGTAAGCAAGAACTCTTTTATCTGCTTATTTTAGTCTCAGACTGTGTATCATCGAATACCTGCCAATTTTTAAACGCTTTAGGTCCTCAAATACGTCGAGTTGGAACTTCACAGGGTCTTTTCACCGCAGTCTCTTCGCATCAAATTCGAGTCCTCTCACGGATCAATGGCCATTGATCTTTCTACTATATCTCAACTTGAACTCATCCGCAACTTGCAAAATGCGAGGTCGAAAGACAGCCTCCTCGGTTTGTTGAATGAGACTCTGACCCCCATGGGTGCTAGGCTACTGAGAGCCAATATTCTTCAGCCATCAACGGAAGAGGTTAAACTGCTTGCTAGATATGATGCTGTGGAGGATCTCGCCTCCCAACAAGACATGTATTTTACTATCAGACAGGGTGTGTTAAGAAAAACCTCCTCTTCCTGCATTTTCAGTCACTGACGGCTCTGGAAAGCCCTCAAGGGAATTGTCGATTCAGAGAAAGTCTTGACATCTGTTAGTATTCACATACTTATACATGCAGAGATAGAATATTGACTCTCTAGCTCATTCTACTTCCTACCAAGCGGACCTTTCAGTACGTCGAGCAGTCGGTGAATAATGTCATTATGCTCAAAACATTTGTCTCGTCAATAAACTCGATTCATCAGGCCCTTACAACTGCCCAAAGCTCACTTCTACTTACCATCCGACAAGTATCAGTTCCAATTCTACCTTCATCACTCCAGGCTGATTGGTCTAGATCTGTGACCCGGAAGGTCATCGAAACATCCAGCGTCTGATCGAGGACACCCTGGATCAAGAGATCACCTACCAGACCCGGCCACTAGATCTGAGGAATCAAAGAATATACTCGGTCAAGGTATCCATCCCCATTTCTTGGCTGCTGTTGGTTTCTTAAAGGCATCCAGGCCGGAGTGAACAGTCTGCTCGACGTGGCGCGGCAGACCTACAAGGAGGCCAACATGGATGCCAACGATCTCATTACCCGACTATCAGGTACGAAGCATACACGATGTATCTTCCCACGCTGATATAACTCAGATTCCCATGAGCTTCCGCTGAACTTGAAATTCGATTCAGCTCGTCAGTACTACATCAGCATCCCGTTGACAGCACTCTGTGATAGACAACTGCCGGACATTTTTATAAATGTCTTCCGCAAAAACAAGCGCATTGAGTGCCAGACACTTGATCTCGTGAAGCTCAATCAGAAGATTCTCGATGCCCACAACGAGGTCGTCAACATGAGCGATCAAACCATCCAAGAGCTTATCCACCACATCTGCGGCGAGATCTCGGTGCTCTTCAAAGTCAGCGAAGCGGTCGCCATGCTCGACATGCTAGCGGCCTTTGTCTATCTCTCCGTAAGCCAGGACTACGTCCGCCCTGAGCTGACGGAAGTTCTAGCCATCAAGGCCGGCCGGCATCCGATCAAAGAGAAGATCCACACAACCACCTTCGTCCCCAATGACGCTTACGCGACGGAGCAGTCCCGCTTCCAGATCATCACGGGCTGCAACATGAGCGGCAAATCAACATACATCCGCTCCCTAGCCCTGATGACGGTCATGGCACAGATCGGCTGCTATGTGCCGGCCGACTACGCCTCGTTTCCCATCGTGCACCAACTATTCGCGCGCGTGTCCACAACCGACGAGCCGGCAACCAACGTCTCAACATTCGCCGCCGAGATGAGGGAAATGGCCTTCATCCTACGTCACGTCGAGCCCCGCAGCATGGTCATCATCGACGAACTTGGCCGTGGCACCAGCACCACCGACGGGCTAGCCATCGCCATCGCCATCGCCGAGGCCCTCATCGAGACCGGCGCGCTCGTCTGGTTCGTCACCCACTTCCACGACCTCGCTGCCATCCTAGCCGAGCGCGCGGGCGTCGTCAATCTCCATCTAGCCGCCGAGATCGCGGCCGATGCCTCCAAGATGACCATGCTGTATCGCGTCGCCGAGGGCCCCGTCGCGCGCCAGAACTATGGCCTCGCCCTCGCTAGACTCGTCGATCTCCCGCCCGTAGTACTGCAGGTAGGCCAGCACATTGCCGGCCGGCTGGAGCGTATCGCCGAACAGCAGCAGCAACAGCATGGCCCTTCGTCGCCGGCACTCATCGTCGCCCGGAAACGCAAGCTGCTTCTGTCCCTGCGCGAACAGCTTCTTCAGGCTCGCAACGGGACAATGCAGGGTGCACAGCTGTGCCGGTGGTTGCAAAAGATGCAAGATGAGTTTACCTTGCGCATGGCTGCTATCCAGAATGGGTCAGTAGGAGAGGCAGAGTGTGGAGACGAGGCATCGGACTCGAGCCCAGAGAGTGAGAGCCACATCGAAGACAATTCGCCTTGGGAAGAAGCAGAATCAAATATCCAGTCGAGAGCAGACTCTAGTCTTCTATCTTCGAGTGTGTTAGAGACGAACATCGATGGAAGCGAGGCCTCTTTCCTTCTTCTTTGATCGTGGTGTTTTAAGAGTTTAGTACGAAGTATTAGATAGAGGCAATGATGGAAAGGGTTTAATATAACGAGGTGACTATTTATTCTTCTTCAAAGATGGTATCAACTCGAAGTAAATCTATCCCAATTTGCTAGACTATCACGGCATTTACAAGAAATCTAACCACTACCCAAAATGGAACAACGTCTGCTTCCCCTTCTTGCCTTTACCTTTCCTCCCTCCCTGGTCGACAGCATCTTCGTCGCCGACAGCTCCGGGGCCTGCGTCCTGGCTGCCGCCCCACGCGTTCGGCGCTGGCGCTCGCCGGTCTTCCCACCGGACAGTTCCACGCGTCAGCCCAGCCATGAGGACGTTTGGCTTCGGGGCAGTCGGCAGCGCGGGGAATGCGTCGGTGCTCCGCGGATTTGCAGGCTGTATGACGCGGGAGGAAGAGTTTGAAGATGATACACGGCTTGCTGTGGTGATGGTAGCAGGTCTGGAGAGGGAGGAAGAGACCGGCGCTGGCGCTGCGGTAGCCCAGGGGGTAGTGGTGCTGGCGGTGTTTCGCGAGCGGGAGCTCGCAGTCGTGGAAGAAAGAGGGGGAAAAGGGTTATATGGTGAAGAAGAAGAAGGGGAAGAGTAAGAAGCTGGGAGGGTGCCGCTTCGACCAACCGAGGAGCGCGAGGATTGGGCAGTTGAGGATTTTAGTCGGAGGACACGGCTACCACCTCCGCCACTGCTGACGGTCGATGGAGACATGCCGGGCAGAATCCCGCTGGGGCCCGGCAGAGCCGGGTAGTCTTCATTAATGGCGCGCCAGTCGCTCCAGGCCTTGAGCAGATCACTGCGCTTGGCTTCGTCCTCGTATATGTCAGCCAGCTCCTTGACCAGTTTCCCAAGCTCGGAGCTAGGAGCGTCAAAGAGGGAGAAAAACGCATCGATCAGCTCGGTCGCAGAGATGGAGGAGGCACGATAGCTGGAAACCCTCGTGCGGAATTCGGCAAGTTTCGTGGAATCGTTGCGCAGAAGGTTCGAGGCGCGTTCAATGACTGCGGAGTGTCGTAGCCGGCGGGCTTGATCTTGTGGCGCAAGAGAGGCCGTATCTGAGGCGAGGGTGAGATTGTCCATCTCCGCCACAGGAGGCGGAGGTGGGCGAGCGGCGGCGGCGGTGTTGGAAACAGGAGTTCCAGCGGCAGACCTGTCGGGGGCACGCACAGTCTGGGTATCGTTGCGAGTGAGCGAGCCGCCGAAACTGCGGGTTGAGACGGACTGGGCACTCTGAATAGCCATCTGTCTCTGGTAGGCAATCTCGTCTCGTCTCAGCGGCTGGGCACTTGACATTGGAAGAGGCTCCGCATTGGGGTCGCGGCCTCGGCCAGCGCCGCGTCGTTGGCGCTGGGGCTGGTATGGAGATCTAAAGTCGAACGTGGACATGTCCACCATCCTCGCGTCCCTCCGGGCATCTTTGGAAAGACCATTCGGATGCACCTCCAGCTGATGGGCCTTCAGATCCATCTGAGACTCGAAGACAACAAACTTCTTCTCCAGGCACTCCTTGTCCAGACACAGGAAATGGTCTTTTTGGAAATGGTCCTCGAGGGCGTCGTAGTCGATGTAGTATTGTTGTTGCCGGTTGCTCGACTGGCGGTCGCAGAGATGACACCGCTCATGTTTATCGCGACAATGGGTATACAACTCGTCGTCTCCATAAAAGCGTTGTCGGCAGAAACCACACTCTGGATGGCCCTTAAACCCGCTCTGGTCAATCGCACCAGGTACATCATCACCGTGCTTTTCATGTCTGCGCAGTTCTGCCGTAGAGAACAGTACATGCTCATGAGTGAAGACCTTTTTATTTCGAGTACACAGGTCGCTATAAAACCCCCCCTGGTCAGCAGTGGAATTAAAAGGAAAAATAGATTGACTGGATGATAGAACATACCACATGGCTTTGCCATGTTTGCTCTTGACATGACGGTGTAGATCCGGCCAGCCAAGACAAGCCACATCACAGTCCTTGTCTGGACAATTGTACCGTAATAGTAAAACGGTGTCTTCAAAAATCTCATCCTTCTCGTACTTCACCCCCAGGTTATCATCCGTTCGCGAGAAGTCCGTGTCTTTGAATTCTTCAAAGCGCTTTGTATGATCGTCAGTGAAGATGACAAAGGGAGATTCAGTCTGATAGGGAAGAATCAAAGTTAGCAAGGCAGTAAGACAGATGGATGTAGGAAGAAGGTGAAAGATTTCTATATTGCATACCCGGCAGTGTGCGCACGCCTTGTTCTTGTACAACGCTCTCAATCTCAGCGCACAAATATGACACGTCCGATGGTTACACGGCGAGACCGACGTATGATCGACTTTCGAGGCACAGATGAAACAGACCTCTCCATCGTCGGCATCGTCTGCCGCCGGCGTAGGGATCAGTTTGGCTTTCGTGTCGGCGACCGTGGACGAAGGCGCATCGCCAGCACCATCCGTTGAATCGGCAAGTTGGCCCCTGTTCTGCTGACGGTTGGGTCTATCTCGACCTCCTCGTCCGCCACGACCGCGGGACTTGGAACCCCTGCCAACACCGTCATTTCGGCCATCGGACTGCTGGTGCGAGTCTGCAGGTCCAGACTGAGGACCCCCTCGCCCGCGCCGGCGATTGCCACGGTGCTGGTGTGCGGGCTGCGATTCCGCGGTCGGAGCTTGGGTTTGTGCCAAACTGTCTGTCATTTCGAAGCAGGGCAGAGCCAACAGAGAGATTTCAGGGAATCAAAGCCCGGACAGACGATTCAACGGTCCCTGAGACAGAGCTCTTGGCTCTTCTTTGCGTCTGTGGCTTTGCGGGGGTGGTTTCTTCTTCTCCTGTTACTGCCGTTGATGGTGGGGAAGAGGAAAAGTGCGGGCAGGCCAAAAAAAAAAGTTGGGTGGAACAGCGTGGATTTCTTGCCCCAACATTAAAAAGGCATGAGAGAGCAGACAGCTGTTATAAACAGCTTCTAAATGTTATACTTTTACCAGAGGAGGATATTTTTTATTGCAAGAAGTTGGGAATATTCCAATTAGAGGCCTAGATGACATGCAGTATGTCTCTATAGGCTGCAACCACTCTGCAGCGAGGGGTGGAGACAAGGTGGTGAGGGTAATACGACAGTGATTCATAGTGATTCATAGGTGGTTATAGGGCCCGGCACAGTCGTAACTTGACTCATTAAAGGTAAGGAAACACCAGCAGCTCCAGTTGCATTTGGACCAGGCTATGAAGGCAGGATGCAGGCCAAATCTTCGACACAACCAACCTCATCATAGCCCACGAGGAAATAAAAGACACCAACTCCCGCTAGAGTAGAAAGGGAGACAGAGACGCAGGAACTATGCAATAGAATGAAAAACAGAAGAGCATGAAACGTTACCCTCTCTATTCAAGAGATGGGATGAGATAGAGCTGCATGATAAACATGCGTAAGAAAAGGGGGAAGAAATGGCAGATCAGAGGCAGCTCGATCCCGCTGTTTGCGGGAAACTGTTGACCGAAGTATAAAGAGGCGGTCGTGAAAATCACGCTTGAAAAGGTGGAGGGCAAAAATCCTCCAGTCTATCTGGCAGGAGACCACACAAAGGGTTTGCGAAAGATGCCGGTTACAAGCAGCATGTCAGCAGGAGTGGCTATTCTTCAGGATTGTACAGATTGTTGTTGAGGATCTTTGTCATGGTGAACATATGAACTCGATCCTGCCTGAAGACCGCCCGCATGGCATCGTCACATCGGATTTGACGTCGGTCACTCGGATCTTGCAGATTATGTTCTCGGATATACTGCCAAAGCCTCTTCACAGTCTGGGGGCGAGAAAGCTATTGGGTTTGGGTCAAAAATATGCACAAATTTGCATGGATCACGAAGACAAAGCCTTACCAAGGTTTCTCCCCCGAGCAATTCAGACAAGGCCGGTGTCAGGCGTAGGGGTTTCTATTGAAAGAGAGTCAGTTTGTCAATGGCTTTTGAGGAGGGAGAGGGGCTAGGCTGGCTTACATGAAATCCGCCAGATCTATTGACCTCTTTCTTAGGTCCTGCCTCTGAGTTTGATTCCAAATCGGAATCGTCCTCCGCCTTGACCTTTTTGGAAGTCTTCGACTTGCTTTTCTTCTTCACCGGCGCCGTCTTCCTAGTACTCGATCCGCGAGTGGTTCTTGCACGCATATTTTCCTCCGCCTGTAGCTTCGCCGCGAAGATCGCATCGGCATCTACGTCATTGTCGGGCTTGGGTTTCTTGTTCGGAGGGGTCGGCTCGCTGCGATCCGGGGACTCTGCATTCTCGGCCTGGCGCTTGTGAGGAGATAACGATGACGGGGGGGAGGAGGGTTTGGCTGTTGTGTGGTTGACGGGCTCACTGCCGTTGGCTGTCTGGGGAGCAGACTCCGGCGTTGTTGCTCCACCCTTGTCAGCAAAGAGATCGAACCGCTCCATGATTAGCTGCTTGAGAGCAGCCTGTGAGAGTATTAGCACACACTCGCAACCTCATGTGAAGCCAAAATGTAATCGGCGACATGCGCCGACACTTTGCGACAGGGCGGCGAGCATCAGACGAACCTTCTGCGGAGTGAGATCATAGCCGACGGCCTCTTCCAGACCTTTGCGGATACGTTTTTCAGAGATGGTATTCAGGTCACTCTTAGCCAGGATCGAGTCAATAATCGTAGTGTATTGCGCGCGAGCATCGTCGGAGACTGTGGGTTGGGATAGAGAGCCGCTATCAGCTGAGCTGGATCAACAAGCAGAGAGCGGCAACGGTTAGAACACTTACGCGACATCCTGGCAGCGCGACGTCGGCTATTCTGAGCTGTCCCCGATACTTCAAGCTGGAGCCGACTGCAATTGATCTTACTAAATCGAATGTATGAGCTCCAGACGGGAGAACACCACCGTATACTCGTCGCTGGGTCGTTGAAGCAGGAAGGTGGGTGGAGGTATCAACAGATGGGGTTTATGGTGCCTCAGGCAGAAAAGAGACCCATCCAAATGCAGTTAGCGGGTGTAGCGTTGGCTCTCAGGACTGGCGGGGCACAACGAGACACACGACGGGAGGGAGAGGCAGGTGAGAGGGTGAGAGGACAGACGGCCACAACTATATGTAGTATAGCAGAGCTTGATCCAGCAGATCTGATGAGAAAGAAAGGGGAGGCTGCAGAACAAAGAAAAACGGTGGCATTGACTGCAGTAGAGGGCTAGAGTAGCTGATCTGATCCTGTGGATGTTCTGTTTCTGCAAGCAGCGCGCAAGAGTTCCGACCTGCGTTGGAGTAGCTGTAGTAAGTAATACGGCGGTTACGGACCGACTGACGGCAACTAAGAATAATTACGGCCTTACGGGCCTTACTACCACACAGTGCACAGTGCACAGTGCACACGGCGGCCGGTCAAGACAAACAGAGCAAATCAAGCAAAGCAAGCAAAGCAAAGCAAACCTGGGGAAGGGCCGCTGAGCTAAGCAGGGTGGGTCATGTGACTTGGTGAGTCAGCAGCGCCGCACACTGGGATTTGGCTTTGCCCTAACGAGCGTCGGGGCAGCGGGTCGAACAGAAACGAGAAAAAACGACTCTCGCCAGGACCAACTCTGCACGCCAGGACGGTATCGAACTCAACCATCAGAGATCTCTCCCGCCGAGTTGAGTGCAACCATGGCGCCCAGTTTCGACAACCTTTCCGAGCAGGACCTCCACGAGGAGGAGGAGGAGGAAGAGATTGATTTCTCTGGTGAGTTTTCTTTTGTTGGCGGTTGTGTTGGGTTGGGTTGGACCCCTCTCGGCTAACGCGACCTGGCGATGCGATAGATCTCAAGGAGCAGTACGAGGTCAAACTTGAGGAGGGTCTGGATACATTTGTTGTGATCGATGGGCTGCCGGTCGTGCCCGGGGACAGCAGGCAGAAGCTCGTCAAATTCTTGTTGAGGAAACTCACCAGTGTCGGCAACACCTCCGAAGATGCGATTTTCATGCCCCTCAACGATCAGAATATGTCCGAAGGGTGCGTTGCCGGCAGACCGCGCGTGGAATGATCATTGTGATGGTTGCTTACAGAAACCCCTGGTTTTTTTGCTCTTTAGATTTGCCTTTGTTGAATATGACACCCCCGAACAAGCCGTTGCCGCCGTCAAGGCCCTCCACGGCACCCCCCTCGATAAGAAGCACACACTGTCCGTCAACAAGCTGATGGATATCGACCGGTATGGCCGCGAGGGACGGGTCGATGAGGAGTACAAGCCCCCTGCTGTGGAGCCATTCAAAGAGAAGGAACACCTGCGCTCGTGGTTGGCGGACCCCAACGCTCGGGACCAGTTCGCTCTCTACCGTGGCGACAAGGTCGGTGTGTTCTGGAACAACAAGAGCAACGACCCGGAGAACGTGGTTGATCGCGCCCACTGGACACAGCTCTTTGTGCAGTGGTCCCCGAAGGGCTCCTATCTCGCATCCGTCCACCCCCAGGGTGTTCAACTCTGGGGCGGTTCGGCTTTCTCAAAACAGAAGCAGTTCCCCCATCCGTTCGTCCAGCTGATTGAGTTCTCTCCCGGTGAGAACTACCTCACCACCTGGTCGGCACGACCTATCCAGGTGGAAGAGGGCCAACCCATCCTGACCTACGAGGAGGATGGTAAGAACCTTATCATCTGGGACATCACCACCGGCAAGCCCTTACGTTCTTTTGTGTCTCACGATCTCGCTTCCGCACCTGCCGACGCCGCGGCGGAGAAGAAGAAGGTTCAGTGGCCCGCTTTCAAGTGGTCGGCTGATGAGAAGTACGTTGCCAGAATGCTCCAACACCAGTCTATCTCCATCTACGAGCTGCCCCGGATGAATCTGTTGGGCAAGACCTCGGTTAAGGTGGAGGGCGTGATGGACTTTGAATGGTCACCCGCCACCCCGAGCCGGGAGGGCGTCAAGCAGTACGAGCAGCTTCTCTGCTTCTGGACCCCTGAGATCGGCAGCAACCCCGCCCGAGTGGCCATGATGAGCGTGCCGTCCAAGGAGATTGTCCGAACCCGGAATCTGTTCAACGTCTCCGACGTCAAGCTGCACTGGCAGTCGCAGGGTACCTATGTCTGTGTGAAGGTGGATCGCCACTCCAAGTCCAAGAAATCCATGGCGACCAACCTGGAGATCTTCCGCGTCAGGGAGAAGGGCGTACCTGTTGAGGTTGTTGACAGCTTGAAGGATACGGTGATCAACTTTGCCTGGGAGCCCAACGGGGACCGTTTCGTCCTCATCACCAACGGTGAAGCCCCCTCCGGCAGCGCCGTCCCGCCCAAGACGGCCGTCTCCTTCTTTGCTCCCGAGAAGAAGGGTCACCACCTTGGCAACTTCAAGTTGATACGCACCATCGAGAAGAAGACGAGCAACGCCATCTACTGGTCGCCCAAGGGCCGTTTCGTCGTGGTGGCGACCGTTCACTCGCAGAGCAGCTTCGACCTCGACTTCTGGGACATGGACTTTGAAGGCGAGAAGCCCGGGTCGGAGAAGGACCTGGCAGCCAACCTCCAGCTGATGAAGACGGTTGAGCACTACGGTGTCACTGACATTGACTGGGATCCCACTGGCCGCTACGTAGTCAGCAGTGCTAGTGTGTGGACACACTCGGTAAAGACTACCCCATCGTGTCCCCCCTCTTACTTTCAATAACTAATCTCTCATTTCTAGATGGAAAACGGTTGGAATATCCACACGTTCGCCGGTACCACCCTCGGTGAGCACCCGACAGAGAAGTTCAAGCAGTTCGTTTGGCGCCCTCGCCCGGTCACCTTCCTCAGCAAGGAGGAGCAGAAGCAGGTCCGCCGCAACCTCCGCGAGTACTCCAAGGAGTTCGATGAGGAGGACAAGTACGCCGTCGACATTGCCAACACCGCCGTGGTCGAGACTCGCAAGCGGGTACTCAGCGAATGGACTGCCTGGATCCGCCTCGAGAAGGAACTGCTTGCCGAGGACAAGGACATCCTCGGTCTCCCCGAGGAGGCCGACGAAGCCAAGCTGGCCCAGGACGCGAGTGCCGTGTCCGCGCCGGCCGAGGGCGACACCGTGGTGGAGGAGATTGTGGAGGAGATCATCGAAGAAACAGAAGAGGTTATCAACTGATGAATTGGGTTGTCTCTACTTTTCATTTCTTATTCCTTTTTTTTTCTTTCATTCTTCTCTTTCTTATTCGTCATCTAATGTCTCTCAATGTTTTCATGTATGAGCGTTGTTCATACACTTCTCGCCTCCTCGGTCTCGGCCGGGAGTTTGTCTCGAGAGCAAAAAATCTGATAGATCTGTGTGCCATTGTCCCGATAGCAGGGTTCAACATGAGAGATGAATATATGACTGGTCAGAATAGTAGAAGTCTACAGGAGTATATTAAGACAAACCCCCCAATACCAGTGCCAGTGCCAATGCCAGTGCTACGACCAGTGCTACGACCAAACTCCCTCTACAAGCATACCTGCCCGCGCCGCTCTTCAATCCCCTCGCATACGGAAGCACGTTCTTCTTGAAGAACGCGTTATCCCTCCCCTCGACATTCCCCATGGGAACATACTCACAGACAACGTACCAGCCATCCGCCCCATCAGAAGAAGCAGTCGTGTTATATCCGCAGTTCACAGCCGCACAACCTACCTCCATGGTCGCCCTCCAGACCAACTGGGTGAAATGGCCGGTTGCCTCCGTGAACCCCGTCGGCGGGTGATAGATGTATTCCTCTCCTTCGTCGCCCCAGGCGCACACAGCAGCCGTCACGTTGGGGTATCCTGTTGCCAGATTTTCGCCGTACGGTCCATACTAGCTCATCAATACTATGACAAAACCCCGTCTTAAAAATCAGGTGGACTTACTGAATGCTCCCATTGACATTTCTGTGCCCAGTCCAGTGCATACGCTGCGAGCAACCCGTTCCAGATCAGGGCACTTGCGTTGTGTTGGCGGCGGTACTCGTTGCTGACTTGGAGGATGGTGGATTCAAAGTCCGCGGTGGAGGTGTACGAGGGGGGTGCCGTGGTGGTTGGCTCGACGGTGGTGGTTGTGGTGGTTTGTGCAGAGGCTGTTGCGATGGTAGAAAGGAGGACCAAGAGTGTATATTCATTCAGTATCATGATAGAGATAGTCGTAGATATATAAATGGTACAGATGCTCTCCCTATCAATGTTTTAGCGATAGATGGTATATCTAGCGGTGAATCCATCTTACCAGTAATCATGTTAAGTCTTGATAAATATAAGATCCTATAATACTCATTCAAGGTCACATCTTGTAGTGTTGTGCTTTGCAAAGCCCCTGGTTGTAAATCCGGTCGACTCCGGCATGTCGTTACGTTGTCGCAGCAGTGGCCGGTTTTTGACGTCAGACTGAACTTGTCTCACTGCATATATATTTTTCTTTGAGCTAGGCTAATTATTGCTTCGAAAGAAGTTGGATTGCTTCGAGATCGGATGCTTATTTAGTTGTTTCTTGGATTGGATGGTACACGGTATATCACCTATAGTCAAGCCTATATATCATCACACGGGTCACATAACGCTACAGCCAATGCCATACATCGCTCGTTCCACATCTCGTTTCACCTGGTACCAGTCTGCGCGTCGCTCGGCGAATTCGTAGACCTCTTCGGCACGCCAGATGCCATGGAAGCGATCCGCGTCGGCGATGATCGCAGCGAGTTCCTTCGCATCGGACGGATCAATCAGATAAATCTGCGCTAGTTCTCGGAAAGCTTTGAAGTAAAGAAGAAGGTCGCTGTTCTTCAACGTTTGGATGAATTTGAAGTAGTGGTTCATGTCGCTGCAATTCACATGTTGGTAAAGCGAGAACGGGTGACAAGAGAGAAAGTATTGTAGACTTACCTGATAAGCTTGAGGGAGCCCTCCACGCTTATCCGCTGTCGCTTCAAATGCTTACACAACGCAGTGAAGAGGCGTAGACCGACTTCTTGATTAAACACGTCCAAGGTGCTCTTGTCCGTACTCCCCACGAGCATCTGCGTATGTGAAGACACAACATCAACCACCGCCGTAGCGGTTTCGCTCACCCCTACATCCATGGTGACACGGTGAGGATCGTCGGACATAGCAGGATTGAAATCCGTGGCCAGCTGTCTAGTGGCTAGAATATAATCGACCTCCTCCATCAGGACGTCTATACCTTTGCTGAGACCGGCGGCCACGCGCTCGTCCAGAGCCTGCTCAAACTTCTTCTTTTCCTTGACTGCGGGGTCGAGAAAGTCGTTTCGGTCCGTGAGCTTCGATCCGACCAGCTCCTGCTCGTAGAAAACGTCCATCATCTGAAGGATCAGGTCGCCGACGTTCACCAACTCCAGAAACGTGACCAGGGGCTCCACTTCCGATTGCTCTCGATCGCCTTGCTCGCGGGGCCGGTAATTAGAAAGATGGTCCACGGCCTTGTCGAAGCCGATGATAACATGGCGATGACCCAGGATGCGCAGCAACGCAATAAATATCCCTTGGCATTGCTCTCTGACAACGGTAGCGGTGTTGCCCCCGATCTTCCTGAATTGAGCTGCTCGTTCGAGACTGGACTTGGCAGAGTGGACGAGGCCCAATGCAACTTCAATGCTGAAAAGAGAGCGAATACCCTCCATTTTCGATTTCATTAGGGCAGCCTTTGCTGCAAGTTCGGTCGTTGGCAATTCCTCCATGTTCAACGGAACAGGGGATGAGGAGATGGTGGAGAAGCGGTTGGAGCTCTTCAGTGGATTCTGGGTCTCGCTCGGGCTGTCCTGATCAGATTTGCCATCGCCAGATCTACCGAAACTTGGAAGGATCGCAACAGGCATCATAATGACCTTCTTGAAGGACGTCAGGAAGTCTCGTTTGTCGGCTTGGCGGTTGATGTTCGACATCAAGAAAGACTCTGCCGAGGCTGCCTGCTCCGACAGCTGTCGATCCCACTCATTGACTGCAGCTTCGGAGCCTTTTTTGAAGTAGTCGACTTCTTCGGCAAGGTACGTATCGATATGCGGCTCAAAGACGTTGGCGATGAAACTGTCCAATATCTTCTTTGAATCATCTCCAGAACTCTGTATCGGAAGCAGAGTCTCGGACAGATGCAAGCATTGAACAAATGTACCGGAAACTGCCTTGAGATATGACTCGAGGTCTGTGCGGTGAAGTACATCGAAAATACCCGTAAGAAACGGATAGAGAACATCTTGCCCGACTTTATCCAGGAAAGAGTTTGCGACATTCGCCTGTGGAGGAAAGGCTTGGTTGATGATTGAGATTTCTTCGTTGTAGGCTACGCTCAGGCGAGTAAAGAAAGCCTGGGTATGCTCAAGTTTAATCGCCCCGGTCGTCTCATCGATGCAGTCTGCAACCTGGCCAAAGTCCGATTTCCTAGTGACCAGATGGTTATGCTGAACGAAAAGCTGAACTGCGGATGCAGCCCCGTTCAAAGTCCAGAGGATATGGGCATAGGTCCGCATAGAGCCGTTGATATCGTCCGTGTCATAGCCTTGCCGGAACTCCTTCAGGGCTGCTGTTTCAAACATCGATATGACCTTTTCGAGTTGATCCACGCGAGCTCTCCATCCCTCAGTCTGGTCACATTTCGCGAACGCCTGCAACTGAGACAAGATTTGGGCTTGCTGATGCGGGTCCGAGTATTTCTGGGTAACCAGATTGTCCGGTGATGCTTCGGAATTCACAATGGCCTCGTAGAACGACGAGAGTGCAGAATGGATCTTCCCATACTCGGACCGAGCTTGTCCGCGTATCGACTTTGCCTGCTTCAGCGCTACCAGGGCTGGGTCGCTGCCCCTGTTGTCTGGGCTCGAATCTGGCGCGGCAGTCGACAGATTGATGCTGTCAAACCCGTCTGACAGCGATTTCAACTCTGACAACGAATCCGGTGCATTCCGAGTTGCGGAGACGGGTGGCTGATCGACGCTTCTCACGCTGGCAATCGTCCCATGAGCACTCTCGAAGTTTTTCCTTGCTTCTAATTCATCCCAACATCCCATGATTTTCAGCTTCTGAACCCATCGCGTGTCATCATATGCCATTTCCCGTAGGAGCCGTGACGATCGAGCAACTCGGATAAGGTCGACGGGGGAGAGGTAGTCAAGAATCAAGGTCATGATCTCTGGAAAATCATCATTAATATCTGCTCAGATCTAGAGATTCCAAGTTGGGATTGATTCACCTGCAGGGAGAGCCGCCCTTGAGATCTCCTCCATGGAAGCCATCTTGATGGAGGCCAGCACATCCCGGCGCGGCGGCGGCCGCCCTCGAGATCCTGTCCCAGTCCTCGCACTCATATTGCCGACTCAAAGTCCGCATCAGGACGAAACAACCCTCTAAAACGCTCTCCGTGTCGTGGACTCGAGGCTGCCCGCCGCAACGGCGAGGTCACAGCGGGCGGGTTTGTTCGTGTCGGGAGGCAACACAGGATGGAGGCGGGTCAGACGGTGGGGCGGTGCTGTCGTGTGAGCACCAAGCTTCATAGATGGAACATGACTGTCTATGAGGCTGCTGGCTTATCTTTTTGGGGCCATTAAATGCATCGGAATGGAAAGTCCTCTGTTTGCTGCCGCACTCAATTATCCATGCCTTGGCGAATCTCCCACTCCGAGCAGCGAATGGCAGGCTCGGTTGCTTCGTCTTGCCGGAGATGCAACAGATGTTGAGTAACGTCGGACAGAAGTACGAGATCCAGTAAATAATTGAGGAATAAGTTGATAAAAATTGGTATCAATGATATGGGCGTCTTCTAGATGTTCGTTGATCTATACGAATAAAATAAATTTCATAAGCCAATGCTAGATTGGATTATATTCTTTCCTAGGGACGTTTCTCTACCGGGTACGTGCGTACTGGAATGTTTTCCACGTTACCTAGGTAGCCTATTCATGAGACTCTTTTCAATTGCTAGGCAGAGGATACCTCGGATTTCGGCTTTGCTACCTGTTGGCATGGTAAAATCAAAAACTGTAGATTGCGTAAACGCACATACGGGATCTATCCCTACGTCGTTTAACCACGTCGATGCTGGTACGGAGTACGAGCAACCGACAGCCGACTTTCTTGTTCATGCAGCATAGTCATGACATGCCTGCCAGGGATCCACTTCTTTTCCAGAAACACAGTCGTCAAGTCATATCGCAGCCTGATCGTCGTCGAGGATTCGAGACAGTGATCAATAGATCCGTTTGAGTCATTTTGACGTCTTTCTTAGTCTGAGATCGAAATCACCCATTAAAACATCTTTCGGCACGTAATTGTCTCCATATCAAGCTCATTCAAGCTCATTCAAACTAGCCGCAGCAGCTACTAGGCAGAGCTATCAACATGCCCGGAATTATGAGCGAATATTATGGCCTTTCCGAAAGACGGTTGTGTCTATATCAAGAATCTGGATAAATAGTGTTCGAGTGTCTATGATCTGGTTTCAAGAACCTGTGAGGTGCTGTATGAGCATTCTGATCGGCGCAAGTCATCAACAATACTTCCATGGGAATATATCAGAACATCCGATGTAGACACTGACGCTGAGCACACTGTAAATGTCAGCTGTAGATCCGAGAAGCAATGACAGAAAGAAATAGCAAGCAGGTCTCTGATGTTAACGAGGTAGCATCTGAGGTGAGCAGTGAGTGCCCGGCCTACGGGAAATGTCGGCAGAAATGACTGACAGCCAAAGGACGGCAACCTCCACAACCACAGACAGAGGAGTCAAAATATCAGAACCATAGTCAACGCCTCTGTTGATACATCGTCCGAAACCATGTATCCAATACACCTCCCAGCGCTGCGTTGTTCTGAGCAGATGCTGGTGGTGTATGCCTATCAGACGAAGGCCGTTTGTGTTCCGAAAAAGTCGCGGTTTTCACCGACGGGAGCCACCAGCCAATCACAGCGAGGGTTTAGCCAATTCCAAACCCAAAGAGAAACTTGCCCAGCACCGGCCGACAACTTCAACCTCAACCTCCAGAAAGGACTCCCGCTCCCTCTGTCCACCCCCCCTCCCCCCCCCTCTCTTCCAGCTCTGCGGCTTTTGTGCCTCCACCCCTTCTCGTGATTCGATCGGAGGGTCTCAATTTCTTTCAGAATGCTGGCACGTTCAGTCCTCCGCTCGGTGCCCGCCCGAGGCATCGCACGCCCGACGCTGGGCAAGACCTCGACGGTACGCGACCCCTCGCCATTTGAGACCCATTGGACGCCGTGTACAAGGACAATCGCTTGTTGGCATCCGTGTGAGAGTACTTGGGACTTTTTTTTGCTAATAGAGGCTGCAGCGCGCCGCTTCCTCGACAGCCGGCCCCGAGGCCACCAGCTCCCCTTTCAACCTCACACTTATTGCTGCCGCCGCGACCGTCGCCACAGTCGGGACTGCGACCTATGCTTGGGGACAGGATGCATTTGCGATGACGCCTGCTGAGGAGGGGTGAGTCTTTTTTTTTGATGGGTTGGTGGTGGTTGAATGGCGGGTGGCTCTTTGCCCACACTCCGTTCCTCCGAAAGCATCCGCCAATTCAGCATCTTGGAAGGATGAAGGCTGACCATGCTCCTCTCGCAGTCTGCACGCTACCCAATACCCTTGGGAACACGCCAAGTGGAACAAGACCTTTGATCACGCTGCGTAGGTGATGCCCCATCCCGCGACAAATTCAACGTCTTCTTTTTTTCTGTGCCGACGGTTTTTAACGTTTTCCCCCAGTCTGCGCCGTGGTTTCCAGGTCTACCGTGAGGTTTGCGCTTCCTGCCACTCTCTTACCCGTGTCCCCTGGCGCTCGTTTGTTGGTGTTATGCACACCGTGGACGAGATGAAGGCCATGGCCGAGGAGAACGAGTACGACACCGAGCCCAACAACGAGGGTGAGATTGAGAAGCGCCCTGGCAAGCTTTCCGACTACATCCCTGCCCCCTACAAGAACGAAGAGGCTGCCCGTGCCGCCAACGGTGGTGCCCTGCCTCCTGATCTGAGCTTGATCGTCAAGGGTCGCCACGGCGGCTGCAACTACATTTTCTCCCTCCTGACCGGCTACCCTGACGAGATCCCTGCTGGTGCCTCCGTCGCCGAGGGCATGAACTTCAACCCCTACTTCCCCGGAACTGGTATGTACTTTTTTTCTTCTTGGGGGAGACCGACCTCGGTTAGAACATAGTCGCTAATTGCACCAGGTATTGCCATGGCCCGTGTCCTCTTCGACGGCGTGGTCGAGTACGAGGACGGTACCCCCGCCACCACCTCCCAGATGGCCAAGGACGTTGTTGAGTTCCTCAACTGGGCCGCCGAGCCCGAGATGGACGAGCGCAAGAAGATGGGTGCCAAGGCCATTGCCATCCTCACCGGTCTCTTTGCTCTGAGCGTCTGGGTCAAGCGCTACAAGTGGGCCCCGATCAAGACACGGAAGATTGTGTACACACCCCCGGTCTCCCGTCGCTAGATAAATAATCTGCAGGCTGTGGTTGACAGGCCGGGAAAAGCTCGAGTCTGATCTCAAGCCGCCTGATTGATCTTGAACACTCTCCCTTCTTCTCGGCCTGCCGATGACGACCTGCCTGTTTTGTTAGAGCCGTCTCTCAGAACACTTGTATCTGTGTACCCTAGATATCGTTTCCTTAAAAACCCTGTTAAGCTCAATGGATTTCATTTGTCAAGTAGGACTTTTCAATTTACTGCAAAAGTAGCATTCTCTCTTCTCCGTTATCATCACAGTAATTTTCTATGTACTACCTATAATACTTTATCTTTACATAGAATTATTTACGTCTAGTGCACTACTCACCAATCGTCCTCAAGCCATCCCCAAACACCGGCCTAAAAGCGATATAATAGCTCTTCCACATCGCCGCCAACAACACATCCGCAAACCGAATCAGCCAGGCCGGGCTGATGCCATCCGGTCCAGCGAGAACTCTGGATAGAAACAAGGTGAGCATCAGGCCCGGCGCCCAGAGAGCCAGGAAGAGCACCTGGCCGACGCGCTGGCGCGGGGTGGTCACGCGGTACGCTCTGATTTGGGCAAGGTACGCCTGGTAGGATGTTGGGAGGTTATGTTCTGCTGCGCCGGTGCGTATCAGATCCAGATACCGCGCCGAGGGTTGAGCGTAGGATGCGTCGATGGGGAGGTGGAGATGGAGAGGCGACGCTGGTGATGTTGTTCCCGGCGTGTCGGTTGCCGGGGAGAGGAGGGTGTGCGCCTTGAATGGCTCTGTCGTGGGAGTATCCGGGACAGGGTCGGAAGGGTCGTATTTCTCCGGAAAGGGGAAACAGTCGACCACCACGTCGCGGTAGCCGCGACCCCCGCCCTCCGTGGCGATGATGCGTGCGTAGTCCGACAGGGTGACCTCGTAGACAACGCCGACGAGGGGCTTACGCCACCGGTCCTTGCGGTATCCGTTTGGAAGCAGAGGTTTGCCGTCCCTTTTTTCTCTTTCTTCTTCTTCTTCTTCTTCATCCTCTCTGGTATCATCGCTCGTCTCCCCAATCCATCCTCCCTCGGAACCTGGTGTTCTGGATCGTGTGCCCGCGAAGCAGGGCTCCGTGTATGGGATCCCCGGCAAATCAAACGTAAGGCGCAGGCTGGGCACAAGCACTTTCAACTCCGAGAGCGGCCGGATTCCCCGTGTGCCACGGAAGGTTTTCGCCGCCAGGTTCGATCCGTAGGCGAGATACAGCACCGTCTGCGGGGCGGTATCCTCTTCGTCTCTCGCATGGTCATCTCCGACAACTTCGAGTTCGTGGGTCACGACTTTCTCCGGGAGCGACGCGTCCTTGTCGAGGGATTGCTCCAGGGTCGATGCTCGTCGTCGGCCTGTCGTGGTCTCGGGGAGAGGATCGGGGACATTCGTCTTGGGTGATGATCGCCGGGCTGGGAAGTATCTTTCAAACGCCTTGAGGGCGCTGAATGGCCATTTCGCGTTTCTTCCTGCCTGATCAGCCTCCCCCTGTTCACGCTTCTGTTCGTCAACTGTCATTATTGCTGGAGTTTAGTTGGATTGTTCAGTGGTTTGCTCTTGTGGTCAAAGAATCCATGGTATCTTTCACCAAATTACCACGGGAGACTGCCCTAATAGGGACGAGATGCCCCGTGCTACATAATCAGCACAGAAACGTCTTGAATTCAGTCGAGCATGTTCTACCGGCGAGCGGAGCAACCGCAGCGCCGTCGGACGGAGTTGATGTGTAATCAATAATCTGACGAGTGGTCATTCTTGTCCTGTGTTGTTTCTAATAGAAAAGGGGTTCATGCCTGTTTTCACCTCGAAATAAACTGGTGTCCCTGTCTTTGCCGGCTGATCCATCTCTTTTTGTACATTTATACAAATGATATTCCTCCGAAAATGTGTGGTTCTGGTGGAGATTAAGGAAAACTGAGATGTCTTCCGTAGCGATCAATGATGCTTCAGTCCAGCTTCAGAGGTTAGCTCAAGATCCGCGACCTCCCTTCATCTCAATTTGATATTCTAGTGACATTGGCAGGGGGAGGAATGTGGCTTTGCTTTGTGGACTCGGGTGGTTTAAATATGAGTGGTTACAGTAGACGTACAACTGACGGACAAATGGCGTGATATGCTGCGACTTGACTACTGCGTAGGCTTTAACTATATGATAGGAGTATAGAAAAGTTAGATTGAATAGAGTATCTGATACACTCTTTACTAATAAAGATCATGATGTCGATTAATAAATCCCAATAGGTGGTAACTACTACATACCTACCTCTCTTGCCAGAAGATATATAAAACAAATTTACAAATATGGTATCCTAATTCCAACAATCCCGCTCCATATACAATAGGAAGATAAATCATTATATATTTTTATAGGATAGAAAGCAACGGCTAGCCCTCTACAATAGGCTGTCTCTCACGATGAGGTGCTCTCCAGCCTTGCCAGGTGTGTTTGTCGAATACTCCTGTTGCGATTTCCTTGGGATAGTTTCCATTCCGACAAGTATGTGCTTGGGTCTCCCGGTTGGTTGTGCATACCCACCGCGCTGCTGAGCTTCTTCCCCTGCTCTTGCTCCCACCGAGCTCAGCCGGCGCTTCCAGCATTCAACACCCATGGTTTCTTGAGATTCACACAATACCCATTTTCCAGGCAATGAGTCTGTATCCCGCAGCAGGCGCTGTATATGTCGGGGGTACACGGCACGTCATTATCCGATGGTGATCCATCGGGGTAGCAATGTCGACGCAAGTACCCAGTGTGCTTTTAGGGTAGGACGGCCGGGACAACAGTTCCTAGTCCGGATCCAAGGTAGGAAATGGCCCATCCGAGGCTTCCTTTGGTCCTGGCATCGGACTCGATACAAGATGACGGGTGTTACACATTTTCCGTCCGTTGGCAAGGGCTCAAGGCAAGGGAGTTGTGCGAGTCTGCGGTATGAGTTCTCATTCGCATCCAAGTATCAGGAAAGCGGGCTCCTCTACACCTTTGGCTTGATAGGTAGCTAGTGGGAGGCCAGATACACTGTGTCTCCTGTATGCTGCAGAGTTCTTCTGGTGAATTACTTTTCTCTCTTTTCAGTGAAAGCAGCAGAGTTTCTCATGGGCGGTGATGCAAGAAGATCACTACTTACTGAAGACTTCCATACTTCATACCTAGAATTCCAAGGCGATGAATGCAAGGAGTTGATCTCAAGATAGAAGTTGAAGATCATGGATTGGCTTTCCATTATTGGTTGCAGATATCCGCCCATCTTGTCTCTGTCGACATTGACTAGTACGGAGTCCCTGGACGTCATGAACCATGACTAGCCCACAGCCAGCCTTTTACTTCTCCAGCAACAAGGGTTCAGATAATGCCTCGCTCTATTTTCACTGTTTTCCCGAATGGATGAGGCGAGTCGTGACTTTTGATGTGGATGACTAAGGCGAGTAGTTACCCCGGATCTACGGATGCAGGCCACACGGCGATTGAAATTCTAGCGGTGTTAGTCCATAGCGCCTTTCAATGGCTCGCCAAGTAGTCAGGTCCAGTAGTGCCTACCTAGTTACTGAAGACATGCCCCTTTCTTCTTGCCTCACAAGCCGATGTCGGGCCTTTCGCTGGAATAGTTACCCCGCACTGCGTATTTGGTAGAGTGGCCAGTGGCGGAAAGCAATATGGCGAAGTTCAGGACTTAATTCCAACGCCTCTTTTCTTCCATTAGCCGTATTCTAGCCAGTTCCTCAGGTGGTTGCCTGGTGACTGGAGGCTGTGGTAGACTGAAGATGGCGTGTAGTCGAACGTCCCGAGGTATTGAGGATTCCAGGCCAAATCTGGATCAGGACACCGGGGACTATCACGTGGTGGACAGCTGACTGATCTGGAAGGTGTGACTCGTCCGCAAGTTTGACTGATTTGCTTGGAATTTAGAGAACTTGAGAGGTCACTTTTTTTTTTTCTTTCATAATTTTTTCTGACTTGTCCTACCCTGACAACAGCCCAGCTTCCTTGAGTTTGATGGTTGTTACTATATATTGAACCCTCTTATCAATTAGACCTGTGAGAAATCATACTATATAGTTGCCTCTCTACTGCAAGCAACCCCACTGCAATATGTCTGTAAGTAATTGCGACGGAACTTCAGCAAGCGCCCTTTTGATCTTGACTGACTCGAGTACACAGTTCTTCATTGAGAATCCCAACGTGGGCAACCACGACAACCTCGAAGATGCGAGAAGTACGTGTTTTTTGCATTTTGCGATCTAATTGAGATGGTCCATCGCTAACAAGTGCTCTTCTCCATAGTTCGTGGCTATAACCCTTTGACCCCTCCCAACCTCCTGCAACATGAGATCGCGATGAGCGAAATCTCGAAACAGACCGTCCTGGATGGCCGTAAGGAGGCAGCTGCGATCGTCAACGGCACCGACAACACACGCCTTCTGGTGGTCATTGGACCCTGTTCCATCCATGACCCCGATATGGCGCTGGTGTACTGCGATCGACTACTGCAGCAGAAGGCCAAATACAAGGACGAGTTGCTTATCGTCATGCGCTCCTACCTAGAGAAGCCTCGCACTACTGTTGGCTGGAAGGGTCTGATCAACGACCCTGACATTGATAACAGCTTCAAGATCAACAAGGGTCTGCGCACCTCCCGTCAGCTTTTCGTTGACCTTACTGGCAAGGGCATGCCTATCGCCAGTGAAATGCTCGATACCATTTCCCCCCAGTTTCTTGCGGACTGTCTTTCTGTCGGTGCTGTCGGTGCTCGTACCACCGAGTCCCAGGTCCATCGCGAACTTTCCTCCGGTCTGTCTTTCCCTGTCGGTTTCAAGAATGGTACCGACGGCTCCTTGGACGTGGCTGTGGATGCCATCGGTGCCGTTAACCATCCTCACCACTTTCTTTCAGTCACAAAGCCCGGGCTGGTCGCCATCGTCGGAACTGTCGGCAACCCCGATTGCTTCGTGATCCTGCGCGGAGGAAAGAAGGGCACCAACTATGATGCCGAGAGCATTAAGGAGGCTAAGGAGAAGCTGACCCAGAAGGGTCTCAAGCCTCGTCTTATGGTCGACTGCAGCCATGGCAACTCCCTTAAGGACCACAGAAACCAGCCCAAGGTTGCGGCCGTCCTGGCCGAACAGATTACCGCTGGCGAGACTGGCATCATGGGGGTGATGATTGAAAGCAATATCAATGAGGGCAGCCAGAAGGTTCCTCCCGAGGGCAAGGCGGGTCTTAAGTACGGAGTCAGTATCACCGATGCCTGCATTGGCTGGGAGGATACCGAGTCCGTTCTCGAGCTCCTGGCCAAGGCTGTTCGCGCTCGGAAGGAAAAGATCGGCAATTAGATTTTCTTCGGTTCATCCCGACTCCTACGATAAAGAAAAGTTCGGTTGTCATTCCACTTTCATGATCATGTTCTTACGGGTGATTTCAATCTGCTACTTCATGTGGAATGGAAGCACATAAACTATTTAGCGTTGCGTTTTTTTATTATTTTATTTTGCAGGCTTTTCTTTTCCCACTTCAAGATCTTTTCATCTCCAGGCTAGCCATAGAGTAATTGGATCGAATCTGGTTCATACCGTTCTTACCTACTAGGTAGTCATGACGTCTCATTGACATGATATTTTCAGCTTCTTTCTAAAGGAAGCATGTCCGTTCCCAGTTGCTAGGATTATATCATCGATTCCGGCCAGAGATTTACTTTTGTTTGTGTTCAGCTCTACAATTCTTGGTCCATAAGTATGACTGTATGAGAACGCTTGAAATGTACAAGCCCAATAATTTCCATTATCGCTAAGCTGAGAGGGTCATGAGTATATGATGAGATGAAGAAATCGCTGCAAATATGAGATGAGAGAACCTTTCAACAAAAAAAGAGTTACAATATGTATGTATGTGTATATATGGATAGGGAGGGCTATGGATGGCCTCACGCGGACGCCTCCACCCATCGGCCTTCGCGAACACTGAGCTCGGGAATCTTGAAGTCGACGATACAGGCCGCGAACGAGGGGCGGCGCTTAATAGCCACCGAGAGAGCCGTAGATGCCGACGATGCCGGTTCGCTGTCTGTCGAGGAATCCAGACAGTCTGTCATGATCTTGCGGAGCTGCTGGCTGGAGGTATACTGGCCGCCAAAGTCGCGGCGGTCGTCTGTTTGCTTTCGTTTGCGAGAGGCGGTGGTGGACGGAGTCGTCGCTGGAGAGGAGGAGGAGGAGGAGGAGGAGGAGAAGGATGAAGGTGCGGGCGGAAGGTATCCCAGCTCAGCCCGGTCGATCAGTTTTGGTGAGACGAGACTGCCGTCCGGACCGACCGAGAGGGACTTGCAGGGGACATCGCCGAGGGGTCTCGCCGGGGAAGTGAAAGTGTCCACGTCGATGACGTTGGTTTCGCCGGAGGCGCCAAACGCCCAGACTCGGACGCCGCCCGTGGAGGACTGGAGAGCTAGCTCGACCACCTGGTCCATCCGGCCGATTTCCTTGCCGTAGATCTTCAGCGGCCACATCATTGCCGTCGGGCGGTAGGAGACGCTGAGCAGGAAATCCCAGTCGCCGCTCTGGTTTTGGGCCAGGCTTTCCCGCCGCTTGCGACCGACATCCAGGAACCAGTCCCGGGCAAGGTCACTGTCGCCCATGACGCTGTCGCCCTGCCGTTCACGTTCCCTGCGGATCACATTGAAGACGTCCAGCGGCACGGAGTACAGAACGATTCGATCTTCGTACGCGGCGACCACGCGCAGACCCCAGCTGAGGTCGGAGCCCGCGGCAAAGACGGTGGGGATCCGTTGCTCTCGGTTACTGTCCATCGGGTCCTTGCCGTATGGAGGCACGCAGATCAAGGCTCGTGTCAGACTAGTCGGCCCACCAATCGGGGCATCGGATCCGATACAAAGCAGTCCCGTGCGTGGCTCCACGAAAAGGATATGTAGCCCATCATTGATGGGAATCGCGCGGTAGTGATGGCAATGGGTGGCGCGAACGAGACTGAGATTGCCGGTACTGGCGTTTGTCCAGCGGGTGAAGGAGTGGACGTCGGCGAGCAGATGGAACTGACACGACGGTCGGGCTTCGCCGTACGATGCGTCGTCGCACTGGCATCCTTGCATTCCTGGACCAGCCAGAGATGAGATTAGGCGTAACTCTAATGGTGTTCCTTCTCCTGGGCGGCTTGGCAGGAAGTGGAGGATCTCCGACGGTTGAGACATTGGGAAATGCTTGCGACAGTCCTGCCTGGTCTTCTCGTCTACCCAATGCAGCTCGATGCCGTTTCCGCACCCGAACGCGACGCATCGACGGCCCGGACAGATGGAAACGCTGTGAGGGGGGTCGTCTGGCGAACAAATGTCACGGTAAAAATGCTGGGGAGTCATGGTTAATGGAGGCATTGCTCGCGACACCAACGACTCTTGATCCGAAGACTGTCGAGCGATAGACTCTGCTGCTCGGGGGCAAGTAGGATCAATATCACAGATCATACCCACCCGACCTTGCAGTAAAGCCGCGACCACAAATTTAGGGGCGGTGGTGTCGATGGTCACAGACAGAATAGCGGCGGGACAGGCAATGCTACAGATGGGGGCAAAATCCAGGTCGCCAAGAGCATTGATAGAAACTGGGACCGAATCACCGACCTGCCGTGAGAGAAGACGGTATATATAGATCATGGATCCTGAGGTGACAAGAAGATAGTTGCCACAGGTGCTCACGTTGAATTTGGACATGCCATGGCTCTCGTGCTCTTCCAGCGACACGGTCGCGTGGGCATGAGAGAACGATCCGCGGTTCTTCGAGGCCGGAAGGCCGTTGGATAGGTTGGAGAAGTCAACGATAGACGTTGTTAGAAAACCCGCTCTTTCAACGTTCGTCTTGCGTCCGGATAGGAGACACTCTGTTGCAAACCGTTTGCTCATCCGCCACACCAAACTCTCTTCTGGCTCAGAGGGAGAAAGGCGGGAGATCTGGCGGTCCCGCTGCCAGGCATCCCACCACCCTGCTCTTTTCAGCATGCTCTCCAGAAGAGTGGGATCTAAGCTGATCCGCATCCACTGTGAACATGTCTTCCTCGCATTTTCAAAATCGCGGGGACTCAGCATGCAGTAGATCTGCAGTAGAATCTCCGGAGGGACTATGTTGGCAGCAGGAGGCTCTTGGGAGGGTTCTGGCATGATCGTCATCGTCGTCATTTGCAGGATCGCGGCAACAGGGCGTGCTTTTTGAGAGGACAGTTTCTCTTCTGGCATCTGCATGTTCATCGGCGCACTACAATCGGTAGAGCTCAGGTCATCATTATCTCGGGCAAGAATGGCGAATCCAAGCCTCTGATCAGAGGAGACACGCTCGAGGTCGGTATCAGATGGAATCTGCAATGCAGGCATTCTTATTCCGAGCTGGTCTTGGTCACTGGCGATTTCTCTCACGCGATCTTAGCTCGAAGTCGTAGGTCAGACCGAATCCGTTGGCGCTTTCAAAAAAAAAGAAGAGAGAAACGGGGCAATCGATTGAAAAGACAAACACAGGGATAGGGAGCCCTGACAAGAATATGGAAGCACAGAGAATAAGTCCGAGTCACCAGATGTGATAATGGGCTGATAAGACCCGAGAATCCCAGTATCGGACCGGGGAGAATTGTAGCGTGGCGGCGGCAGGGTAGGTCTGGCCTCGGGTGGAGTAATCGAGCGAACAATCACAGAACAGATATGGAATCAGGCAAAACTTGACGTGATCAGGTGCCAAATTCGACGAGAGAAGCATGTAGGTCCAGCTTTACAAGGTTGACAAAAGCACCTACTGGCAGACAAAACATGCTCGAAGAGTCGGGCGCGGACTTAAAAGTCGAGCTTCCAGAAGGATAAATTGTCAATAATACTTAGCGAGGAATCGGCGTCCTCCGTAAAGCCTGGGAAGCGTGTGCCCATGCGTTGGCCCTGTTTTCTGTCTGGCTCTCGACAGGGGTTGGGATGCAACCCACAGCACCGGGGAGCTTCGCTAGCTTAATTCGCAGAGATCGAGGTGGGCAGGGTTTGTGGCGGTGACGATGGCTTTTTTTTACTCCGTAGTGCTGTGATTGAAGTAAGTTTCCCCAACCCCGAGTGGTGATGCAAAGGAGAAGACGTGAGGAGAAACCAACCAGTCTTTTTATAATTTCCTCTCTCCCTCTCCTCCCCCCCCTCCCCAGGGGCCTTAAATACCAGCTGGGTAAAGTCCCCATACTTGACACAGCCAACCAGCGGTATCTTCTGGAATTCGCCGTCGTGGATCACGATCCCAATCCCCCAACAGCTGTTCTGACGTCGATACACGGTTCCGGGGCCAGGGACGAGGAAGAGCTGCAGTCATGCCCCAGTGAGGGCACGGCGATAGTGGAGCCCATGTCGACGATCCACCGGTCCACGGCAGCGTAAGACCGAGCTACGCGAGACGATTGTCGGGCAGTCTCGATGATAGCGGGGGATGGTCCGACAAGGACAAATCGCAGGGCTAAAATTCCCTTTCCTTTTTTTTTTTTTTTTTCACAAGAGGCGCGGGCGTTTTGCCCCACGGTCCGAAGGAGGGGGGATGAGCCGGTGGTTCTGGTCTTCAGCGAACAACGGTTAGACGAGTGAGAAGCGTTCATTGCCTTGAGGCCAGCTGGAGGAGGGGGTCCCACGACAGGTTCCCAGAAATGGAAGTCTTCGACAGAGATCGTGGGCGGGTCTGTCCAAGTCTGCATCCACCGTTAGTTCGAGGCAAAAACATCAACGTATCGTCAACTAATTCGTGGCTTACCCGCGATTATTTTGCCATGGGAGACTTGCTTCTGCCACATTCCTCTCGTCCTCATTCCAGAAGAGGGCCTTATCGGCGTTGGCGTTGGCGTGGGCGTGGGCGTACGGAGTAGGCGTGGGCGTGGGCGTGGGTTGGCGTCAGCCTGTGAGGGGGAGGTGAGTTGGCAGGAATCCAAGCAAGAGAGGAATTTCTTCTAGAAGGGGCGCAGACACTGGCCAGACTGCCGAAGAATGCGTGTTCTTGTCCCTCTCGAGTCTCCAGAGTCCAACCTCCCCCGTTCTCTCCCCCCCTCTTTATTTCTCCCTCTGCGTGCTGCCTGCTGTTCTGGCGATGCAGGAAGAAACGACTCCCATCGCACGTTTGTTTTGATCGGACACGTGCCCGCAAAAATCACACCACATTCTCTCAACTCTGCCAGTATCTTCATCTCCTGGTTTTACTTTCCCCCACGTACTACTCTCTATCTATTGGTACGAAGCACAGGCAACACCATCGCAACTGGTAGACAGATTCCTTCGTAACAAACCCCCCCCCGTTGCGCAAGAAAGTAACCACCAATCACTACCGGTGGACATGGTGTACGTCTTACAGAGAATGCCACCGTCAAAACTTCCAGCTGTATGGACTATGTAGTAGAGACGGGCTCCCCGGGAAGAACTCACTGCTCACCCTCTGTGTCACCGCTATATCCCCACCGAGGAATGCGACCTTGCTCATCAGGGTGAAGGGAAACGAAAGCCCGCTCCAGGCAAGACAGACGAAGTTTGAGAACGCCACAGGCTATCTAACCTCATCATCTGACAGTCAGATTTTGATTACTCTATACGGAGTAGGATGGCTTCGTAATTTTTTCCTTTTTCCTTTTTCCTTTTTTTTATTGCAAAGAGACCTTCTGCACACTAAATTAGTTGCACGGGAGGCCGGCCTGACCATGAGGCTAAGCACCTTGTTTAATTTGGCGGTGTTCGGCTTTTACAAGGAAATAGAGTACAAAGTAGAATCGGCCACTAAATAAATAACTGACTAGGTAGTTGGTGCTTATGTAGGTCTAGATCGTGGAGAGCGAGTGTCCCATAGAATGGCGGGTCGTGATAATTATGAGCTCAAGAGATTCTATGCAGAAATCTATGATATCCGTAAGGACAAAAGACGACATGAAAAAACCATGTCGAGATCTTCTCAATCTAAGATTCATGAGGGAGACAACTCGGGAAAGTAAGCGAGAGAGTGTATCAGAGAGAAGGCGAGCAATGCAAATTGGTATCGCAGTCATATATCATCAAGTGGGATTTGGGATATCGAGGACACGCACGAGTAATGTGTAGTGGTGTATTAACATTAGAAGATTGGGGTG